CCACGAATTTTGATCCGTGGGGTGTTCTTGGGCCATTTGCGGTTCTACAGCCTCCTCAGAAATGTCTTCCTAGTCGAAGGGTTTTTGAGATGGTGGAGAAGTTGGGATGGCAAAAAGCTTTTGATCATCTGCAGCAGAGAGAAGTCCACGATTAAAAAACTCCGCTCAGGGCTTTAGCTCAGAATTTAACCCACCTTCAGACAAGATATGCACCCACAGGCGCAAAACATTCAGATTAAAATATGACAGCGGAAAATTCAAGGCTGGGAGGTTCCTTAGGAGTAAGCTGGGAATGAATCCTGATTTTGGACGATCAATCTGCCACATGCGAATATGCTCAGGTTTCTTCTCCTGTTCATCTTTCCAATACCACAAGGCCAACTTTTTTCTTACGGCTTCAAACGTCGTATTAGCTGGCAGGGTTAGATGGCGGAATCCGCCTGCAGACCTGGCAGTGGCCATCAGATCATGAGCATCAAATAAGCTATTATTTACCACAGAGACATCTTCGAGGGAATATATCTCGATGGAAATTGGAGAAGAAGAGATGAATGGAAGCTCTCCGTGGTGAAAATAGTGCCTGAGAGGCTCTGCCATCTTCCATGGCTCAATTTTTCCAGTCAAGAATTGAGGTAAAACATCATTTCGAACATACATCACAACAACTGCAACGTCACGCCCAGATCTATCATAATGACTTCTTGCATCTTCAGAGAGGACACCTTCATGGGCATCGATCGCAGCCTTCCTCGTAAGACACTCAATCTTGTTGTCGCTCGCATCTTCGAAGGCCAGCCAGCGTGTTCCCGGCCCACCAGGACGGAGGATGCTGTAGAATTGCCCCGAAGACCGTTTGCCTTTGTGGACCACAAAACCATAAAGGCTGTATCTCCCGACGCGAGATTTGGCGACAATACCAGACAGGTCTAGTTCTTCATCTAGGCCAACGCGACGAGAAATAAGATTCCAATGGTGACTAGCCCGGTCGAATATCTGGCGCGCCAGCTCAACGTGGAGAACCGCTGGAAGCGACCACTTTCCAGGTTTACCACTAAAATATCGTTTCAAGCCTGATTCAATGTTGTCTGAACTTTGCGCTGGAATTCTGATTCTCGAGTTGTTGAAATCTCCGTGGAAACAATTGACACTGGGTGCTGTTTCTTCAGCGGAAGTGGTGTCGGTAATCGTACGACTCACGTTCTGGCCATCAAAAATTTTGGACAATTTTTCGAGAGCATCGGTGCCAACAAGTTCTAGTTCGAGGGAACGACGAAGCCTCTCCCAAAATTCCATCACATCCCTAGAGAATTCTTCCAGATTTCGCAGAGTCCGAGTGACAAAGTCGGTATCAACATGAAGATGTGGATGATAGTCGCTTCGCAAAGCCCATAGAAGCTTTTGCAGAGATTCACACAAAGGTCTCGGTTTGACGCCCGGGGTAGTGAAATGTTCTAGAACGTCAACACTCTGTATAGCTTCGCGGAAAGGGGCTAGCAAGAGCCATGACACCAAACCAGCAACCTCAAAGCTATACTTGACGACCGAATCCCCCATTGGGCGGTAGCCAGTCAGGCTTAAACTGTCCCAGACTGGCTCACTATCACTCGAATGCCACCACAACGACTGCGTTGGGTCGTCAAAAACACGAATATACGCATCAAAGGCAAGAGTGTCATCCCGCAGAAGAGCTTGCCTCTGGCCCCGTTGTCGTTGATGAATCCGGTCCCAAGGGCCATGGAAGGTCGTCCAGCCCCAATCCACGTTATGGGAATTAAATTGGTGGCACGAAGACTGCATCCAAGCAGTTCGGGGTTCATTAGGGTTGTATAGAATAACGCCAATTTGGGCAGACACCCTCCAATCTCGGGGCGCAACAGAAGATGACGGGGATTCAATTTTCTGTTCGCCTTCTCGCTCTTCTGTGGGAGCTGGTTCGCTGTCACCTTCAATAGCAGGGTCTTGCTTCTCATTCCCTTGAGACGTGAAAGATTGGGTGCTTGACAACTTGCTCGAGTTTGCAGTAGCGGGGATAGTAATGTCAACCTCCGGAACCAAATCGCTAAGTACGGCATTTGGTGGCCCTCTGAAAACCTTGAATTCGGTCTCCGGGACAACTCTGTCTGGTTGCGGAGGTGTTGATGAGGTCTCGAGATATATACTTAGGGAACCAGTGTTATTACCTCTAGGAAAAAACTTGATCGTCCAGTAAACACCCCCGATATATGCGGCTGGGGATCTCATTATGGTAGCGCGATTTGGGTTTTCCTTGGTACCCCGTACACCTTTGAATATCCAGGTCAAGCGAGCTTTCTCTGCAGGTTTATATTCGGGGTCATCGAGTTCTCTGTAGAAAGTCTTTTCCCAGTAATCATCTATAATTGAAGAAAGCAATTTGAACATGTCAGTCATCGAATGCGCGCATGAGAGAGAGAGTGTGTGTGTATGTGTGTGTGTGTGTGTGTGTGTGTGTGTGTGTGTGTGTGTGTGTGTGTGTGTGTGTGTGTGTGTGTGTGTGTGTGTGTGTGTGTGTGTGTGTGTGTGTGTGTGTGTGTGTGTGTGAGTGAGAGAGAGGGAGAACAAAACATGGTGCGAACTTGTCATTTTGAAATGGTTAATATTTATAAGACGTACAATCCAAGGCACTGTAGTCCGCATCGCCAGACTCGATCTCCTTCAACTCAGCCTCATCAGGAGCGGAAGTGTCTTCCTCAATGTCGGCCCAATCAGCGGGTTCTTCCTCTTCAACAGATGGTTGTTGGGAATTACCCTGAGAACCATCCGGCGAACTGTTCTGTTCAGCTTGAGGGTCAGGGGATTCCGGCGACGAAAGCTCCTGTGATAGAGGTCCTTCTGAGGGTGGTGCGCCTTGTGAAGGAGGTTCTGGAGAATTATTCTCCATGGCGGGAACACCAATCGTAGTTCGTTCAGGGAAATTTAGAGGTCCAGTTTCAGTGGTAGTTGGAGTTTCAGGAGGTCCTCCTTCAGTTGGTAGAGTGTTGATGGTTGAGTTTGTGTTTTGTTCTGTTTCCATTTCCATATCCATCTCCATGACTGAAGCGGCGGGTCTGGCAGGGTCAATTCCAGCACTTCTTCCTGAAGGGGTAGAATTTGAAGAGACTTCCTCAGGCTGTAATTGCGTATTATCTGGGGCAGTATCCATGGCGTCCTCTTCTAAGGACGGCTGCGGGTCCAGTTGAGGAGGAAGAGGGTTAGGGGAAGAAGTGAAAGAAGTGACAGCAGCAGCAGTAGCAGCAGGATGAGGTCGAGGAGAAGCAGAGGAGTTTACCAAGTCTTGGAGTGGGCCCTCGACGTCTGGAACTTGTGACAGTCGGTCAGGAGCGGTTGGAGTATGAGTGGAAAAGGGGTTGAACTGGAAAGCAGATGAGGGAGGCATGACGGATTGTGAGGAAAATGGAGAACGAGATCGGGGATGCTCTGGCGAAGAGGAAGAGTGGGGAAGAGCTGGAGCAACCGGACGTTCTACATTGACGGGGGACTCGAAGACAACATCCATTGCTTGTGCTTTGGCACCGAGCAAGTGTCAGAAAGAGGTTGGCGAGAAGGGGAGGGCGGTCTCAACGAGAGACCAGCTCTAGGGAGAGGAGGAGTGAGAGGTCAACAGGTTAGCTCTATATATCAAGGCAGAGGGAGGAGAAAGGATATGATAAATACGAGAGAGAATGAGAGAGCAAACGACAAGAAAGGGAAAGCCTGTAAACTATTTTAGGAACTAGATATCTAACTGGGTAGATAGACAGACAGATCGAAGAAGCCCAGGGGTGATATGACAAGAATGCAGATTAGAGCAAGAGATGACCAAGTGGAATGATAACAGGAATGATAACAAATAATAGCAAGGGGTAGTATAGTAGGGGGTAATGTAAGAAGGGAAGAGACGAAGAGATGGAGAAATGAAGAGATGAGGAGATGAGGAGATGAGCAGATGAAGAGATGAAGAGATGAAGAGATTTGAGGTTGAGGATGAGGTTGACAAAACACAGTACACCGAGATTTGCAGCGCAATTGATTGGCCGCGGAACTTCAACTGCGCCAGCCTCACTTTCTGGCAACTGCACTGTCAGTCACAGCGGGAAGAGGGTAAACCAACAAATACAAATGGAATAAACTGTTAAGTTACTGAGTGAAGATATCTACAGAGTTGGCATTGACGGACGGGGTGGGTTGAATTCTCCATTTCGACTTCTATTCATATTTCTGGATATTTCGCTGCCTCCAATCTCTAACTATAGTTATCACTGCTATGAGTCCAACTTATCCTAACGGCTGCCTTGAGTCAATGCAGTGTCTCCCAGCGGGTGAAAATCAGGTCCAAGCGGCTAGCTACCTGCAAGGCAGAAACCACAGGCAGCTGTGGAGAAACTCTTCTACCTCATGAGTACTTCGCATAAAATAAATACTAGGTGACGTTACTGACATACGAACATTCGATACTAGCTCGAATAGTTGATGCTGCCTCCCGATTGTAGGTATTGTAGGCACGAGTACTGTCTATAAATCCGTAGTAACTAATCCAAAAGCTCCCTCAGCTCCAAGCCAGTCGGTAACTCGGCTGGGGGGAAAAGAACCTCCATCTCATTCCATGGATCTCAATGTGTTGTTGGTCCGTGAGTTGTGGGGGATCCGTTCAAAGTTCAGGTTCAAAGATCCATCCCCGCAAGCCAGCTAAAAAGGATTGGCTGCATGTGGGGTTAGGACAATTATTGGCCCTTTTATTATGATTGGCCCTGTCTGTGGTTCTGGCCAACATCAACCGACTAGAGGAGAGAGGAGAACTTATGGACGTTAGATAAATATTTATATGCAAGGAGAATACTTCTTTAGCTTCAAATGTAAATAAATATGGTCATCTATATAGAGTAGGTTAACTTACTCTGGAGTTGCTCCGTATATATATATTATTTGATTTACCGAGCGCATTCATTCATTCATTGGCTTTGATACATGGGGGTACTACATTGGTGACTTGCATATAACGCTACCTATGGGAACATCAGGCAGCTATTAGGCTAAATTATTGCTGGGTGGATAGCCAGTCACAACCGCCTGAACAGGCTGGCAACCCAACCCCTCTGCGAAATAGGCGTCAAGTCCTAATCCGAACAACGAACGCTATGGCTATTTCTTCCCTCGCTGCTCTGGCCCCTGAGAAGCTCTCCAACAACCCAACAACCAATCTGCAAATCACATTCCCCCTTCCCCCAGGTCCTAGTAACTTCACTCTCTACTCCCATATGCATGGATGTATATTGTTACAGTTTTTACGGGTGATACAAACTGCGAGTTACTGGGAGAGGGTCGTTAGCAATGACCGATGGATCAATCAACAGTTCCCAGGGAGCGCAGGTGCCATCCATTCAAGATGACAACCCGCAGCTCTCCGTTTCCCATCCCCATCAGGGGATGCTATTCCTAGATGGAATAACTACCCCTATCAAAGTCTGTAAAACTGGGTGCGGTCAGTGAGAGCGCCTGATTTTGACGCCATTACTTAGCGCATTTCTCGACACAATTCGCTAGGTTAGACGGTTGCCAGGCCGTTGATTAGGCAGTCTCCGTAGGGCAGTTGCCATTACCCAGTAGAACGACGCCTGGTCAAGCCTAACTAGTTAGTAGATAACGCACGCCGTTTCATAATATATTAATAGTTAATAAAAAATATAATAATAATTTAGTTAATTCATTAATAAATTTATTTTTAATTGAAAAATGAAATAAATTAAAAACATTGTTTATAATATTAAAAAATTGTGAAAAATAAACTTTATTATTATTTTTCATTAAAATAGAAAAATTCAAGTAAAAATATGATTTTTATATATATATATATTTAATTTTTTTTTTTTTTTTTAGCTTCTTCAATTCTTTTTATTATATATAAAATAATTATATAATGATGTCTATTTTGATCTTTCCTACACCCTACTGCCTTGCACTTGGGTTAGCCACCATATCTCAGTTGTCTCAATCGTCCGGCGTCCCCATTTCTGTTCTCCTCTTCTTCCGCCCTTGATGGCCCCGTGCTTCGACTTTCCCTAATGCTGGCAAAGCCCGGATGGCGTGGAAAACATATCCTTCTGCACCTCCCCGGCCAGTCATGAGCGGATGTGTCCGACCTGGAAGCACTTGCCACAACCTCACTCGTGACGTTTGAATTGTCGGTGCTAGGAGAAGCGTCGGGTCAACTGGAAAATCGGCTTCGTTGATACCCGCAGAGGGCTTCTCGGCATCCCCCGTGTCTATTTCACATCCTTCATAAAATCCGGCACTGCGAGGGTTTCCATTTTGTGATGCTGTGGATCCAAGACATTGATTCCGTTGCCAAGCCTCACGCTTTAGGTTCATATAAGCGGTTCGTCGCGCTGTGGAGTAAAAATCCGCGAGTCTCAATAACGGTTCAATATGAGGGGCATATACTACTACAGGTGCTGAGCCGGATAATAGCGGTACCGTATGTTTCAATATAGAGGTGGGATCCATCAAACTGGCAACTATCAGACCGTCAAATCCTCCTGAACGGGTTTCGCCAACGACGTTGCGCACTCTGGCCCACCGCCGGCGCTTGCGATAGTACATGCCCCGTTTATTGGGTTTCCAACTTAAGAGGGTTGCATCCGACACAACCGGAGGCTCATTGTTGTATACGGGGTCTGAATGCGGCTCAAGAAGCTGCAGCCAGGATAATGTCTTGAGGTTGGTGTGGAGGGGGTGAGAGGGAGATGGGTCGCTAGCATCAAACGAAAAATACTTTAGAAGCGACAGGTTAGGCTGAGCGTTGGCGTGGATCATTGTGAGGGTAGTGTTGGTGGAGGACATCCCTAGCGTACGTCGTCGATGACGAGGAGAAGAAGAAGGTGACGACGAAGAAGAGATGTCAGCCTGTCCAGGTGGACAGTTGACAGGCGGTACAGAGCCATCTGGACTTGAGGGCCCACATGGCTGGGATGTAGAACCTTTATATTTCCCGGTTTCAGCTCGTGAATCAACTCCGGCTGCGAAGTTTCCTGTTCCAGCCTCAGGAGGGTAGAGGATTCCCATCCGTTCTGCCATGGCCGCCACAATCAGGCCTCCTGTGTCATCGACTACCAGCCAGCGACCAGCTGGACGCAGCTTGGCGGAGTCTGTCGTTATAAATGCATCGCCGCCATTATGGACATTTGCCCAACATCCTATAAGCCCAACAATCTCGTCCCTTAGTTCCATGATTTTAGCAGCATCTTTCTGTTTTAACATCCAGTTGGTGAGAAGAGGGACATCTAGCGGGAGGACTGAAAATCGCTTGAGATACTTTTTCCTCTTCCTCAGGGTGTATTTGGCCAGCGAAAACTCTGTTTTTTGATCCAGGCCAGAATGAGATTCCAACAGCTTGTTGATGATTTCCCTGCCGGCTCCGGTTGTACCTTTCTTCAACACCTCAATCTCATCCATTGTCATTAACTGACTGGAGTTGTCGTCCACAGTCTCCCGATTGGTGCGCATGGAGCTAGGGTCAGTGCCATCGGGTTCCTGACTCCCCTCAAAATCCTCACCTTCTCCAGGCAGAGAGCCATCTGCCAATAGCGATTCGGTGTGTAGCTCTGCGGCAGGCACAATGCGGAGTGCATGGTTATCGTCTGTATCTGGGTGATCAAGAATCTCGAATGTGAGATGATAAGGTCGCCCGATGATTTGGTTGGCCTGGAAAGAACCGTATTTCCCCAATGATATAATTCTAGACAATTGTGTTAGTCTATATAAAGATGATGCAAGGGGAGAATTTAAGGGGTTTTTAAGGCAATAACAATGGCGGAGTTTGAGGATCAAGAAAAGCCAAAAACAAAAATAACAATTGCATGAAGACTAGTTAAAACATACGTATTCGGGACTATCTGCTGGATCTTGATAGTATCTGAGGGCAACCCCAAGCCAACATAGGCGTGGGGCAGGACCCTTGAATGCATATGAGGGACACAACGAGAAGCCAGGGTCGACTTCCTAGCTGCTTGGTGTAATGACTACTTGAAGGAGGCTGTTGCGAGCAAGTTTCTATCTTGGTTCCAGTTTGCCTTTCCTGGCAGATGTGTGTGGTGTGATTTGTGTGTAAACTTTGAAAAGTAGTGAAGATATCTATGACATCGCGCTGAATATGTTTAGTTGTTGGCTGCGCGACAGTTGAAGAGTATTTTTTTCTTGTATTTCATTCGTAAATTACGGTACCTGTTTGAGGTTGGCAGATACTTTTACCTGGTACTGTACTTGTACTGTACAGGACAGCTAAATAACCCGATATACGTATACCCGGGAGGGAAATTAAAGGGACACGGATAATATGATAATCCGACTGCCATGACGCATCAGTCAGGCGAATACGGTAAACACAGCAAACATGCCGTTTAGGGTTAGCTAGCGCAAGCACCGTGACATTGACATTAACTAACTAAACAGGTTAGTTGTATGTCATGCCTGAATATGAATGCATGGACCTGATAAATCATATGTACCTATATATATATTTCTTTCCCACCCAATGTACGAATATCTTCAGCTGAAAAGGCGATAACGGCGAATAGAGCCTCCATACAGGTACTCCTCGTGACTGACGACAGTAAGTTTAGTTGGAATTGGGATCTCTTGGTAGGTTGCGCTCATTGGAAAAAAATCCTACGGAGCACATGCTATTTACTGCTAGCTTCCAGTGCACACACTTCCAAGGATCATGCCTATCGATGGGGGACATGGCAATTTATCCTTTGGTTCGACGGGCCAGCCTAAGGGGCTTCAGTACCTAAATGAAGACTTTGTTCCGAGAAACTTGGCCGATGATGCCCAATATGAACTGGAAGACGACACGGATTTCCACTCCCACTACTCAGAAAGGCGCTCTTCGTCCCCATCGACCTCTAGTCTAGAAGACTTGGAAGATGCTGCTTTGCTAGACAGCGAGATCGCAATGCGATCATCGTTATTTCCGTCCAATTCTTCCATCCATGGCCCCAACGCATTTGCTCCTCCCTTCTACAATCGCCCGCCTACTCCGCTGCCACCTTCTCCCTCTCTAACATCTCTTCTACGACCATCCTTTTCTACTACCACATCGCGTCCTACAACCCCGGATAGCTCTGACGCTGAGACCCCGAATGATACAGAGGCTGCAGTAGCGCGGTCTGCACGTACCGCAATTGCAGTACCGCGTGCCAGTCCTAAGGTGCCTACGTATGAGTACTACGGATTTGTACTTTATCTTGCTTCGTCGCTGGCTTTCGGTATACCCTTTTTCTCAACCCCCGCATGCTCCTTCTTGCTCATTAACTCTCTGGGCTCTTGCTGACACAGCCTTCGGCAGTTATATATCTGCTGTGGTCATATCTCCCCTCGCCATTCCTTCACCAGCTAGGGATTTATTACTATCCTAATCGCTGGTGGTCACTTGCGATTCCATCTTTCCTCGTGACCACTATAATTTACATTTACGTTGCATTGTCCTCTTATAATACCGGCTACCTTACTCTGCCTATGAGTAGTATCGAAAACATCGTTGACGACGTGGCAAACATTGCAGTTATCGATAGTAAAGGCAGGAGACGCCCCGGTGGTTCAGAGAAAATGAATCCCCATGCTGCTACGGCACAAACCATGGGGTCCCAGAAGAGAAAACTGGAATGGAAGTATATTTGGAGTGAAGGAACAGACGCCGTGATGGATATACCGGTTGGTGGAGTGTGCGAAGTGCTTTACGGATCGGAAGAGCTCAATGATCATGAAGCTGAAAGGTTCAATGCCGCCTATCCGAGCACGATACCTTCCCATCTGGAAGGTGATTGATCATATTCCCAATATTTCCTTTGCCTCATATTTGTACCCGAAGTATATGAATACAGATGCCATTAGGGAGGAGGAAGACCGCGGGGTTGGGTGGAGACACTGGGACTACCAACCACCCACCCACCCCCGAAATCGGAATGGCGTACATTTATTGCTCGTGGTGGGCTGAAGCTGTTGGGGCTCCTTCCTTGGAAGTTGATGGGAGGCCGACTGCTATGATAAATAACAACGAATTTCTGACTTCCAGCAGCTGATGACAGTTAGTATATATATTTCCGCCGCATAGATCTTCATTTAATGGTAACTGGGACTACTCAGTGCATCTCTGTAACTCTACGAGCATCAAATCTAACTGCCGTAATCGGATACTCCAGACATCAGAGATTGTTTCTGAACTAGAGAAGAATGACGAGTAGCTCAGATTTTCATCCAAGTGTATATTCTTCTACTCTCTTACAATATTAGTTATAGTGCTTCTCACGCTTTCTTTTGACACTTAGTTCATTCACACTAAAGTATTCTCACTTCACTACAGAAGAAGAATCTCTAGTTCAACAAATCATATTTATGAATACTTCTCGAATTAAGAATATATGAAATATGATAAATAATTTAGTACTTTCTGTTTACGCGCAGCCAGCTGCTTGTAATATGGATTAATGTTGATCCGCTCCGACCCACCAACCATATTCAGTTTGCTCAGGTTGATCCGCTCTTGATCCTCAACCAACCTACATATTGTTCATTCCCACATTCTAATCCCCAGTTTTAGTATTCTCATCGCAGCTGCCTAGTTAGATAGATGAATTGAAGCTTTTGTCTTTATATCATCATGACTCTAGTTTGAGCCATGACAGAGTTGGTAAATGATTTACAGTGTATCGTGGGAGATCTGTTCTGGCTAGGATGAAGGTCAGGTCAACATGGCAAGTTGGGCCAAGCCTTTTAGTGAAGTCGACTCATAGTACATCCTGCATAAATGAGTATAAATGCTGATGATTATGAAGGTATTGCTTGTTAGTTAAGGTCAGTACTCATTAGGTTAACTAGTTATAAACAAGTCTTTTCTCTTCATTCTGGGTTATTAGTTGATTTAGTGGAATTTGCATGTAAATTAATAGTCCTTGAAGACTTGCCATTTAAGACAGTCTTATTATAAAGTAGAGTGAGATATCTTATATAAGTGAGCAGCCTCATGAATTGAAGTTATTTCTTGATTTTTAAGAGCAATAATTGCAAGCTCAAGTCTGCCCTCTATATCTACAGAGGTTTTTAGATTTTTATTGCCGAATTGGTGGCATTCTTGTGGTTTGAAGTGTGGCTTGCTTGATTGGAGAGTTTGGAGGATGTTTTGGCTGACTCGCCTGTTGTGGCCCGACTCGCTTGTTGGAATGAAATGGCTGGCTCAAGTTAACTTTAGTTAACTAACCCTAGTCATCCCAACAGCTTCAACTAACAACTTGTTTCACGGACTATTACCAACTAACCCAACTATCAAACCTCACTCGACAGATCAATGAAATGGTGGATTTGATCGCAGTCTGCTCTGTATACGCTGCTGGGGTATGATTTCTTAAAAGAAGATCTATTTCTTTCTCTCTTGAACCTCTCGCCCAAATAATAAACTCTTCCTGACCGATTATCAAGATTAATAATTCCAGAGACACCCCGCGTCCCGCCCTCCTCCTCCCACGTTACACATCAGTGATTACTCTCGGTTAAGGCAGAAATATATAGTGTGATCGGATGGTGATCTATGGAGGGAGAAGAGGATCAGTGTGATAGGGATAGATATTGCTATTACACCAGTTTGGGTTGCGATTGAGGTTTATTTCTACAACTTGCTCGACACTAGCTCGACAAGAGGGCCATGAGCTGGAGTGAGGCGAATCTCTCTGAAAAGCCCCACCATAAAGTGATAATAGATATATGGTCATGGGTTTGAGTAAAGAGCCATCGCAGGATACAGATACCCCGGAGGGTTGGAATACCTTATCATCGCACATGCCCTTACACTCTCCACCTGTTGCCTCTGCCACAACTCACTCCAACCCCTCTGTGCCAAAGCTGCCCAGTGCTGTTGCGTTGAACCAAAGCCCTGTGCCGAGTTCTAATGTGGCGTCCGATGATATGCCCAACACCTGGGTGCAAGAACTGGCATATCGCCCAGCTACCAGGAAAATGTCACCTTCCTCTCGCGTTGGTGAGTCAGATTTCCTGCTGCCGTCGGAAGGGCACGGCAGATCTGAGAACGAGACGCAGATCCGAAATTCACCTCATGGGCAGTATGAGGGAGTGCGTGGCGGTGCTTCTGCTATTGCTTCTAGAAGTGAGACCTCAGTTGGCTCTTCTTTTGATGATGGACTCCCTTCCTCCAGCACTGGTCGGTTTCAGTCAAATAACCCCTTAATGAGAGCCAGACAGACCAATAATGGCGCATTGAAATACCCTATACCTGTTCTAGACCCATTCGATTTTTCACAAACAAACAATTTGGATCATAACCAATGTGGTAGGTTGTTTCAAAAAACCCCGCATTTCTTCCATATTCCCCCCTCCTCTTCTAATATTCTCCGCTCCAGCAGGGAATTCCGTCGCCCAGTCGCCTAGTCCACATGGCCTAGATATGGAATTTTCACAATTATCACCTCCAAGGCTTCGAGACAGTAGTTGCGGGCTTGAAGATAAAACTGTGTCGCTCGAGGCAGAAACATCTTGCTCGTCCGAGGAAAAAAGAAACGACGCAGTCACTTCTGATACTAGGTCTGTAGTAAACCAACCCTTAGTTTCATACCCTCAATCTGACAAAATCGACGTTTTGGCCCAAAGTTTGAAGCCTGCAGATCTAAACATTCAGGAAACCCCCAAATCTACAGAACTTATCCAGACAGTTACAAAGGATGATCCAGAAAAGCCTATAAAAAGTCTGTTGGACGATGAACCTGAATCGTTGCCAGGTATCTACTTATCCAGGCCTGATAATCTGGGCTCACCAGTCCCCTCAACGGTCCCCAACTCGACCATACCAGCGTCTCCCACTCTGTCAGGGACCACTGGATCTGGTCAATTCCCTTCGGTGCCCCAAGACAAATTAGCTGAGACTTATGACATCCGACTGGTTAACTGGACAGACGGGAGGACCGCCTTGCGTAAATCGCCAATGCTAGTGCAGAATGAGAACGGGCCTTGTCCGCTCTTAGCTCTCGTCAATGGGTTCGTAATGCGAAGCAAAGCTGATTCGCCGTCACCGATAACAAAAGCACTTCAGTCTAGAGAAAAAATATCTCTGGGTTTGCTGGTGCAAGCCCTGTTCGATGAACTCACATCCTACACCGATGGAGCAGACCAGCTTCCAGATACCGAAGCCCTCAGCTCTTTTCTTATTATGCTACATACAGGGATGAACGTCAACCCTCAATTAGTTCTGGTAAGTGTTTAACTATGCAACTCCGTCTCTTCCCTGTCTTCTTACCCTTGATTTTATTATTCAACTTTTATGTTCCGGGATTGTAACTAATATATAATAGACAGAGTACCCCTGTGATACCCCAGGTACCTTCCTCGAGACAAATGATATCCGTCTCTATAGCAGTTTTAAGGTACCGTTAGTTCACGGTTGGCTGGCAAGACCATCTTCGGCCGCCGCTGCTGCACTAAAGCGAGTGGCTCAAAACTATGAAGATATACAGCTGCTACACTTTCGCAAAGAAGAGCTGGAAGATCGTGTCTTTCGTGGGGGGTCTCTAGATCCTGATGAGGAGAAGTTGATTGAAGATATTGATACAATACAGCATTTTGTCAATGTCGAAAATGCTACGCAATTGAGTGTTTTTGGTTTGGAACATTTAAAGAAATGTCTTGAACCTGGATCAATTTCAATTCTCTTCCGAAATGACCACTTCTCTACGCTGTTCAAGCACCCGTTGTCATACCAGCTTTTCACCCTTGTAACAGATGCTGGGTACGCTAGCCATGCAGAAATTGTGTGGGAAAGTCTGGGTTGATGTCAATGGTTGTAACACTGGCTTTTTTTCAGGGGATTTCAGGCCAGTTGGAAATCTTTCGCCCCCGGTCTCCCTACAAAACACCAAGCAAGGAGGTCCCGTGACTTCAGGAGGATCAACTCTAGGAGACAATGTAAACGGGAGTGTCGAAGAGCCGACTGAGAACACAGAGCAAACTGACGCAGACTACGCTTTTGCTTTGGCCCTCCAGTTTCAGGATGAGGAGGAACAGCGGCGAACAAATCCAAGTCGCCGATCCCGAAATCCAACACCGCTGCTACTGTCCAATATTGGATCCACATCTTTACAATCTGAAGGAATCACTGACGCTCGTTCGAATAGTGGGTCAAATTTTTGTCATCAACAATCAACATCATCCACGGGTCGCCGCGTCCGAAGGGGCACTCAAGAGGTTCGTTCACTTATACCGCCTCGTGCTCCTGCCGTCGATCCTGGCATTGACGCACCACCACCAACGTACGAGCAGGCCGCCAACAGCCCAAGATATAATCCTCCTCCCGGTCACCTACAACGTGGTGACTCACAGGGTAGCAACCCAAGCATAGTTGGGCCAAGATCTTCCAGCTATGGATTCAATCAAAATCTCGGACGGAATTTTAGTCCCTTTCGAAATAATAGACACGCTCCCGCATCATCTACCTCTCTGCCACCTCGACCTCGTGATAAGGATAGAAGCAAAGATTGTACGGTTATGTGATCAAGAGCAACCGATAGCTAGCTATTCGAGCTTCATCTTCGGGAGATATATGGCGTTCTTGGAGTGAATTCCAGTTCCCAGAGCATTCTTTGCTTTAACTTACGTCTTTAGATAATTCCCCCCCTCCCGTTTGTTATCTAAGGTTTCCCCCTGATCTGGGTGCGATTTCCTTATTGAAAGTTATCCATTCCCCAAGTCTTGACGGGATTTATGCATTGCGACATTACGAGAAATTGAATTCTCTTAATTCCTGTATATTTGCTACTACGTTGTCTAGCCTTTGCGACTTGTTTGCCTTTGACAGCTATTGGTCCAGCAATCAGTGTTTTTGGTCCTTGATTCCTGCGCGGCCTACTGTCTGTTGTTTGTATGTTACGCGTGCATTAACCAGCTTTAGTTCACTGGGAGTTAAATATACAACTCCTTTCAGTATCGGCATGTTTTTTGGCTTTAACTTCATGAATCAATGAGAGACTAGCATTGCTCCGCGCAGTAAGTATGTAATATTTAGCTGTGGATCTGCGTAAGCCATCTTGATATCGTTAATAACCTTCAAATATAGAGTAACAACCATCTGCCATTTTCGCTTGCCCTGCGCTACATCCTCCGACTGTTGGTGGAAAGTTGTGCAATTAGGGCCTGAAAACTGGTGTCCGAAGAGATGAGGTTGAAGAGAAGCTGATAGTTAAATTTATAAAACATAAATAGGAATTCAGTGTATTCGCATGTTAACTCATGGTAACAACTGTAGTCTAACTCCGAAACGACTCAAGTGTAATGGATGGCATACAGGGCAAACATTCAAACCGACTTGATCAGTCTGATGTTCAATGCAAATGAACTGAAGGTGCCGCAAAAACGGATCTAGGAGCAAAAGAAATAAAAATCAAGATGAGCAGTATTGCAAGGGGAGATAATAAAGGAAGTACGGTCATCAGTTTCACACGCTATCCCATACAACCTGCTTGTTATTGGAGAGAAGCCCCGCCAACTTAGGGGGGAGGGATTGGAATGAGGAAACACTGAAGGTAACGAGTGCGATTGCGGGAACATATATGTACAGAATTCGAGTGCATGAAAATTAAATAAAGCCCTAACCATCATTAACATAGACGAACATCCTCGTTTATTCATGGTCTCGAGTCTCGGGAGTAGGCACGGTGATGGGCCGATCCAGGATGCCTCGAATGGAGCTGATGCTGACTCGGGTGTTTGTGCTGACTCGAGTGTTGATGCTGATGCTGATGCATTGGGAGCAATCCTTGTTGCTGCGACCCAGGGTTAGGGTGAGGAGCAACACCAACAGCTGTATACGTAATGCCGCCTTGAGAAGGCTGATGCAAGGCGGGTGGGGTGTAAGGTCTTCCAATATTTGGGTTCTGGTGCGGGCTTGGGGCTGCAATAGAGGAATTGCCCGGTGCTCGACGCGGTTGCGAATGGGCTGGGACATTGTGCCCGAATGGCCCACCACTTTGTTGGCTCCCTACACTGAGAGGGGGCATGTGCTGATGTGATTGGTGTTGGTGTTGACCATGTCGGGGTTGCTGCTGCTGTTGCTGCTGGGATTGGCGTAGCTGGGCGTTGTGGTGGCGAGGCGAAGAAGGCGGGCCCATGTGTTGCATATGTTGCGAATTACCACCAGTTTGAGCATTATGCTGGTGATTATGTCCAAGTTGTCCAGTCGGTGGGTGGTGCTGACGTAGGTGCGGCTGACCCAAGTGTCCCTGAGAATAAGATGGGAGCTGCTGTGTTTGGGATAACCCTGGAGTAGGGAGCTGGACTGGAGAGGCTGGATGCTGCTGGGAGGACCGACGAGAGTATGAGAGCGCGCTGTGACGATGTTGTGGGGATGGAGGATGAAGCGGTTGTGCATGTAACGTCATGGGAGAATCGCGTTTCCCTAAGCCTATATTCGGTTGACACTGAGATTGGGCCTGGAACGGAGCGGGTTGAGATTGCTGTGATTGTTGCAAAGGCTGGGAATGGTACGAGGGGTGGTGTTGCTGCTGGGTTTGTTGATGAACGTTCGATCCGGGGTTTACAGTTGGCTGTTGACCGGTATTCATGTATCCTACACTTGAGTTTTGCTGAGCTGATAAACGGGAAATTCCATGTTCAGTATCGCCAGATGTTTGCGACTGCTGCTGTCCTCTGGGGTCTAGTCTTGACATCCAATCCTGAACTGTGGTTCCAGATCCTGCCATGGAGCCAGCAGAGTAGCTGGAATATTCTGGGTAGGAGCAGGACGGAACGGTTGACAGTTGATTTGCTTGCGACCCCTGTGGGTGCTGTGGCAGATACTGCGATCGATGCTGCTGGGGCTGACGAGTAGAGTGTAATGATTCGTCCTGAGAGACAGGTTGCGCTTGAAGAGAAAGTGAATGCGATGTAGAATATAACTGCGGAGTGTTTGAGGGGGAAGGTTGATTACTTGCGAATCTCTTTCGCGGCTGTGGTTCTTCAGCATCATCATTTAAGATGTTCATGATATTGGATCGTTTGGCAGGTACTTGGCGTGGAGGATCCTGAAAAGCGATACTTGAGGTTGAATTTGGACGAGCATCCTCTTTGCTGGGCGACATTACGGGTGACTGGCGGCCAATACCTAGAAGGTGGCCAGGTGGCGGCAACGCTGATTTTTGCTGCCCAAGGTCATTGCGTAGGGGAGCTGCTGAATCTAACCCTTGTTTCGGCATCCGCTGCACTGGGGAAACGGTCGTTGGTGTTGAAACTACTTTACTCGAACGCCTCGAATGTGTTCGTGCCACCGACATAACTGGACTGTGCGCTTGCGCTTGCGATTGCTGAAGATATTGGGTTTGAGAAAACCCTGCTGGCTGAGTTAGTGACTGATATCGTAATGAATCGTGGTTCTCTTGAGATAGAGCCTGTAAATCTTCGTGAGACAAACTTTGGACGTGCAAGGCTGAGCCTCGCCCGGCATTTTGCATGGGTACTACATTTTGTTGCAGTTTCTGGCATTGGGGTTCTTGAGATTGCAGGTTTGGAACCGGTGTAATAGGCATTACCGTCCGGGCATCCTTCCGGTCGTCACTGAAATATCCAGCTCTAGGACCTTGTTGATTGCGTTGGTTTTGAGGCGGCTGAGGACGAATCGATCGTGGTTGCGGTTCTTCGTTCATAGCCTGTAGAGGAGCTGTTGTCGCTTGGGCAAGAGGATAAAATCTGGGCTGTGGACGGTCCTTTTCTGATTGCGAGCGAGGCTGAGGCTGGCTGGTAGAAGGTTGTGCGGCGGCTAGCGTAACAGCGGGAGCTTTTGACTTAGACGCCAGCGACGTATCCACCATCTCACTAACTTCAGTGTTTGGCGCAAGCGGCCGTGGGGTAACAGAAGACGGGGTTGCTTCATATCGTCGCTTGGGAGGAATACTCGGAAGTGGAAGGGGTCCTGGTAGTTCTCCGCTGAGCTTCTTAGCTTCAGCTAATTCAGCATATTCTTCCAATGAGGTTTGTCCAGAATCAACACGTCTCTGGAAATAGTTTTTGACCTTGTAGGGTAATATGTTAGCTGAGGTAAAATGATACGCAGTGGATTACGGAAGTATAATATATTTACCATGGTAGGTGTCTTTGTTTTCATATACTGGGAGATCGCGTCAAAATCTTTCCCGAAGTGACGAATTAGTTCCGGGAATTCACGTTGCTCTGGTACAGACCAGTAGCTTGTTGGCTGAAGGGACCCTGATTTGGGCTCTGCTGTCCTTGCTGGCGTCTCGGGTTCGGCAACATCAAAAACATAGGCGGCTTCCTTCGTCCGCGGTTTAGCAGTTTTTGTCCGAAGAATGGACGCATCAGCAGCATCCTTCTGCTCTTCCATTTCCTTTGTTACAGGCAACTCTGGTGTAGCATCCACAGGTAGTTCAGGTTCAACTTTTGGAGGAGCTGCAGCAATTGGCGTTGTAAGAGTAGACTGTGGTACTTTTGCCCTCCTGCCACCACGTCCACCACCTCCTCTTCCACCACGTCTACTTACACTTTTCTCTACTGTCTGTTCTCCAGATTCTTTGGTATTGTTTCCTCTTTTCCCAGAACTGGGCGTGGGTGTGCTATTCTCCGTATCTGGGCCAACTTCACCAAATGTTGGAGCGGCTGCACGACGGGGTCTACCAGTGTCAGTGACGGCGGGGATTTCGGCTTCCTCACCTTCATATTCGGGCCGAACACCCAGATCTGACATGAGAGCATTGGATTTTGAATTCCTGGTAGCAGCAGTAGACTTCTTCTGGCGTCGCCGTATGGTTTTCCTATTTAATTTGGCTTTGTATTTATATTCGTGCTTTGTAACATAGTAGTGATTGATGCACGCCTGGAAATCTCGTCCAGGAAGAGACTCAGCAATTTTACCCCATTTTTTGGGATGTGCTAAGAATGCCTCCGTGAAAACCTTCTGTTCTTCAGGTGTGAAATTGACAGGAGCGGGGTAAAAAGCGAAAACTTCAAACGCAGAAGAGGGATCTACAGCGTGGTTTGTATCCTTGAAAACAAAGGCCTGTTTTTCTTGCTCTTCGAACATGTCTGGGATAAGTGCTTCCTTTGACATATCGGGTTTTGCAGATCCTTCTTTCATACGTCGGCGCGCTTGCTCTTCCTGGGCAGTGATGGTAGACGCTATCAACGCATTTTGGAAGTCCAGTTCGCTATTCAGTTTATATCCTCTTCGTCCTTCACCAGCCGTGCTGGGAGTAGTAGCAGCTCCTGCACCCGATGGAGGGGTGGGGGGACCAGGGGTAGTCATCTTTTCTTGTGCATTTTTGCGATCCAGTTCTTCCACGGTGATCCTCCAGGGTTTGTAGTACCCAGCATATTCCTGTCGGAGCTTTTCACGTTGACGAGCTATTTCTTTACGCTGCTTGACAAGTTCGCCTCGGAGTGCTTCCTTCAGCCGGTCATGGGTTTGGAGAGTCTCTTGATAAGCCTCAAGGTCAGAAAATGGCGTGGGTGGTCCAGAATTGAGAAACGGAAGATTTTCGATGGTTGGTGCTTCAAGAGAAGCGCCAGGTTGAGCCTTGGCAACAGTAGAAGATTGTTCTGGCTGCTGAATGTCTTGATAGTCCTTCGCCGGCAGTGGAATGGCAGCTAGTGGTTGTTCTGGGCCTTCATTCTCCATTGCTGCATCTGGCACATCCAAATCTGTAGGCACCGCAGCCTCAGCTATGATACCCAACATTTGGATTTTCAGCAGTAGGTCAACTATAACCGGATCTTTGAGGGTAGGAGGAGGCATTTCAGACGCTAATGCTTGCATTTCTTTTTCAAACCGTTCCTCCCCTTCGTTGAAATCTTCCTCGTCTAGGTCATCCTCATCCGTCTCTTCGCCGCTAGATTGTCCAAACATGAGCGGGGTGGCAACTTGTTCACCCATCGAGGAAATTGTGGTAGGGGGCCTCTGGTCTTCAGCGTGAACTTTCGCGTTAGCTTCGTCAACTATGTCTTGAGATTGATCGAGTGAGTGATCTACGCGCTCAGCAGCTAGTAAAGATTTGGAGTCCTCCTGCTGGGGTGAGCCATCAGCCTGATAAGGTCTATAAACTTCGGATACTCCCAATGATAATTTGTCTTTGTCTTCAAATGGATCACGTTTCATGGGGAAGGCAGAATTCATGATCGAAGGTCCGCGATTTGCATAGCCAGGGCGCACCCATTGATTGCTAGCTTTCGGCGTGCCTCTTGGCGCATTAGGTCGCTGAAGCGCTCGGGGGCCTGTGGGTACGCTTGCAAAAGAGAGTCCAGGAGAAGTCTTTGGACCAGGAGACCTAAACGGGCCAGATGGTGGGGCAGGGGGTGAACCAGACCGACGAGATAGAGAAATGCCTCTTCCCATTGATTGGGAGGAAGGTGGTGATCCTGACGAAGAGCTAGGTCGCGGACCAATCCTTGCACTGAGAGGGATCTCCTGGGCCTTGGCATCCGATGGTACAGAAGGAGTGACGGTATCACCCCCGCCGGATGAGCCTGTCGAACCGAAAACATCGTATGTAGTAATAGTGGGAGACTTTGAGGATGATGGGAGATTTCTTCCTGAGCGGAATGGCACCTCATTTTTATTTCGAAAATCCTGACTAGGCGGTCGGAATATGCGCTGATCGTGTGAATATTCATGGTCTGATCTATCAGCTTTTGGTCCGGTTGGGGTGGATAATACGGTCGCTACCGGACCATCATTGTGCACCTTCTCTGGCTTGCCAATAGGCGACCCCGAACCGGCTGGTTCCTCCGGTGGCTTTGTTTTGGTAGTTGATATAGAGGGGAGGTCAGCGGCTCCAGGTTTAGGACTACCCAAAGAGCGAAAAGCCGGTACTTCTGGTGCTGATGGGGGAGGGGAATTCTGTGACACTGCTCGATTTTTCTGTGCATCAAATCGACTTGCAGGATGATATTCATTGTGATCTTTGTCCTCACAAGAATCCCGGATGTTTTGTGCTGGGACCACAGATTTCCTATATGTACCGTGGATCTCTGAATTGATGGTCTTTTTAGCATTTGGTATTGATGACGACGATGGCGTTGGCGATATGGGAGGGACAGTAGTTGATATTGTAGATGCGCTCTTAAGTTCTATCCTGGAGGAAAGTCGATCTTTCTTCCACAAATCTGAGCGTTCGGAGAGGCGTTCGCGTTCTCTGTCATCTCGTTCGGATCTCCGATCATCGTCGCGTCGGTCAAACCGATCAGGGCGCTCTAAATCCCGATCCCGATCACGATCACGCTCGCGATCTCTCCAAGCATCCCTCGAACGACTTCTCCGTCGGAAAGAATCTCGATCATCCAAAAAGCCCCGACCTCTGCCCCTGTCACGGTCACCGCGGCCTCGCCCACGCAACGGAGGCCCGCGAAGAGGAGAAGCGTCTTGAACCCCGCTGACCAGTCCGGCGGGTCCATCCCTCGAATTGCGTCGTAATCTTGGTGGATCTGAATCCCTAGGACCTGGTTCTCGCGAGTCGCGAAAATCTCGTAATGGGGGCGACCTTGATCTTCCACGACCAAAGGTAGCACGGGAATCTCTCGAATCAAAACTCCGATCCCTTCGAGACCATTCCCTATCAATATCCCGCCTGAATAGAGGGACGCCATCTCGCAGATCACGAATATCACGGTCTCGCTCACGGTCTCGAAATTCGCCGCGCGCGGGGTAACCCCTGCCTCTGGGACCAGGGGGTACAAAGGGGCCACCTCTTGAGGAGTCAATTAAGGCTTTTGGTCCGCGAGGTGGCTCCCTCCCCAGCGGGGTAGAATTGACATCGTCTGAAGCACGAGGGCCAGAAGGGATATGGGAAGAACCGTGTGCAGCTGAAGGGCGACGGTCGTTATACCGATGGGGGGAACGTTCTCTTGGGGGAAAGCGAGACGCCATGAAAGGAGAAAACCATTCAACAAGCACAACACGAGGGAACTGTCGTGAAGTGCGGTGTGGAACAGCGTCCGGGTGTGAAAGTGAAGTGAATCAGAGAAGGTGGAGTCGTTGAAGATATTCAGGATTCGAGGAACCAAGCGTTTAACGGTTTAGCAAGTCAAAAGTCAAGAGGATCTTTGGAAGGACTAATCAGCCACGTGACCTTGAAAAGCGCCAAAACCCGCGGGGGGTACCCTAGGTAACAGACCTTTCCTGCTCGGGACTAGCGTGTTTTGGAGGTGGCGTCAACAACTCGACGATGCCTTACCTAATCAGGTAAACAAAGCAATAACTAGTTAGTTAACTAGTTACGTTAGTTAGTTAACTAGTTAACTAACTAGTTTGTTAATAAGTAACATAGTACTCTCTGTTGAGGAGCTATGTATTCAGATATTTAGGCACAAGCCGAGCTGCTAAGGCAACGAAGGAAAAACTCATGAGACGAACAGTTTTATTGGCATAAGAAGCAAAGAAGTGAAGTGAATCGAGGGTATAATATAGAAGGAGGTTAAGAGGAAAGTACAGACAAAAGTGCTTGTATTGTATGGAGTAGTAGAAGAAGAAAAGAAGCCCAATGCGAATGATGGTGGCGGTGGTGAGAACTCCTCTTGACAACAAACATTACAGAGGACTCATCTCTATGTAGATGGAGGCAGTTATTCAGTCAACGGATCATCAGGTCGACACAGGTCAGCAAGATAAAGTACAAAGGCGAGCAGAAGTAGATTATGTACTCAGAATTAAGTTTGAAAGCTCCCCATACTCTCTTGTTGGCACTCAGAAAGAGGGGAGAGAGAGAAAGAGAGAGAGAAACAGAACTGCAAGGCTGGGTGATCTATATATTCAAGGCAACATTTATTTAATTCTCCGTATTACTCTCAGACTTAGGAGAAGAATGCGCCTCAGGGGAAATGGAAGATGATTAACACTCAAAGGCAACCTTGAAATGTGTGTTCTATGTTGTTCATATTTACCTGTCTTCCTCTCTTCCTCTCTATAGGGCATCCAGTGATAAGCTGAAGGTGCCTGGGCAGCTTCGCACAAGCTGCTGCGCGTTGGCAGGTGCTGATTGTGTGAAGGATAGATTGCTTGATTGATTATGAAGCGATCGCTAGCTACGCGGAAGTTATAGTTATACGGTGTGGATTACGTAAGAAGGCGGATAGGCCTGACAGATTGTCTGTGCATTTGAAGACAGGCAAGGATGGATGTCCATGGATCCACACAGCTGGATGAATATCACAATAGTAATAGACAGTATCACAATACTCCATATGGCAACTTTGGAATTGACGGAATATATTAAGGGATGGAATGTAAAGTAATGCGGTCTGTATGAAACTAAATGAAAGGCATATATATACTTAAGTGAACGCGGAAGGGTACAACAATCAGGTTCAAGATCATGTGACACTGTTGTTTGTTAAATCTCCTCAGAGCTGGAATATAATAAGTTAATCCCTTGTCCAGACAATTTAACCTCTAAGCATCCAGTCCAAGGATTATTGGAACAGAAAATCGAGAGAAAAGTTTAAAGTTGGTTGGTTTATTTGAACTTACTTTCACTGCTCAACATCAAATTTCTGTCTTTTTATTTTAACTTTTGATCAATATTGATATTAGAACAAGACAAAGTTTCAATTCACCTATCTAACTAGATAGTTTAAGATAATAATACTAAACTGAGAATTAGAATGTGAAATGAAAGAGCAATTGAATATTAAAAGATTGATAATTAAAGCAGATCAATCTTACAGAGTGAAGTATATCAATCTTAATTTATATTACAAGCAACTATGCTTTTATCTTGACTCTAGATTTGACTTTGCAATGAGACTCTGCTTTCTTAAGATTATTACTAGCAGTAAGTGCTACAGCCAGACAAAGCTTCTACAGTCTGAAAATTAAAAATGAGTGACTGTAATTACTAGTCAATGTGTTAGAATGAACTTTATTCTCATATATTCAATGTGAATGAGAGAGAGAAGTAAAAAGTAGAATAGATCTAGATATCAAATTCAACATGTAGAAAATCTAACTAGAAATGAAGCTCAGAATTTTATTATTTCATTTGTATCATGGCTCAGTCTAGAGGCATGATGATAATAAGACAAAATTTTAATTCATCTATCTACTAGGTAGCTATGACGAGAATACTAAACTGAGGATTAGAATATGAGAATGAACAAGCAGCTGAATATATATAGGCGGTTGAGGATCGGAGCGGATCAATCTAAGCAACTGAATATGGTTGGGGATTGGAGCAGATCAACCTTATCCCATATTAACCAGCGATAGCGCTATAACAAGTTGTATATATTCTTAGACAGAATCTCATGCTTAGCAATTGCAGTCTTCAAGATCTTAAATCAAGTCTAAATAAACTTTATATCCTCACATTTGGTCTGATCATAATTATAGTCTCTGGAGCAGCAGATCTGAAGCTCTGAACAGTGTGTCACTAGATTTGACACTTAGTTCTTGCCAACGTGGAGGAGGGGGGAGTGATAAAGATGATAAAATTCTATATAGTAAGAAGATAATTAGCTGTATTCTCAACAAATGCCAGCTGTAAGAGAAATTCTTGCTTAGCTTGATTCAGCACTTATTTAACTAGTTTATTTTCTTCAGTCTGAGTTAATTTGATTGAATTTGCATTTAGATTCATGCAATCAGTTCAGTCATTGAGTTGATAATTTAGAGTAGAGAATGACATATTAAATACATGTGCAGCTTCACAAATTGAGAATATTTCTTGCTTTTTCAAAGTATTTATCATGAACTCAAGCCATATCTCTCTCTCTCAAGAGAATTTGAAGTATTTTTATTGCAAATTGATGGCATAATTGTGCATTAAGATAAATAAGTAGTTAAATAAGAAGATATTTTGAATTGATAATTCACTTGCTTGAGTGATCTGCTTACTTGAAGGAATTACATTATTATATAAATATAGACTTATATAACTAACTAATATTGATAAACTAAGTTTTATAGTTAAATATTTCAGAAAAAGTCAATATACTTAATAAGTTTTGAGGAAAAGTATTAACAGCTGCTTTAATATCTATTTATTTAGCTCTATGATTATAAAATAATATCTTTATTAAAGCACAGAAACAACTTCTGAGATGACTCCTCAGCCAGATGGCCCCAGTTAATATTCCATATATATCACATTGTAAGAATCAATGCTGGTTTTGAGAGGAAAGAAATAGTGTTGAAGAACAACTGATTGTAAGCAGCAACAACTGATAAAGCTGAAAAAGATGCTCATCACATCTTGAGCTTGATATACTCCTTCTATGCAGCCAACCAAGATATGATTCTGTAGAAAACGTCCCTTCCTTCATCAACAGTTCTAGCAGTAATATCCCAATAGCTGTACAGCTCCCCTCTGCGTAAAAAAATGAAGAACTGTAGAAACATCTGAAGACGCTTAATTGAAACTCGAGAGGCAATTGATGGTAGCTATTCTTCATAGTAAAGTGTCATGTGTTACTGTTTCTAAATTTCCTTTGTTGATTTCCTTTGTTGAGTTATAGACTCAAAATAAAATTGACTCCTCAGATCTACTACCATCTGCCTAATTCACAGTAGTTCATTAACTAACTATCTAGCAATATGTATGACAAAATCAATTCCTCCCGTGTGGATCATGCTGGGTTGCTGGACAATTGTAGAGAAGAACCACCTGTTCCTTCTCCGAATCGCTAGTGGCCGAGAGCCCTAATAGATAAAAAAGGAATTAATTCGTTAACTAGCGGATTTAATAATTAGTTAGCATCCCTCTAGCTAGAATGGATCTGAACCTCACAGCGTCAGTTTATTTAGAACTCCATTCAGAAATCTCATTATGAGATCCGGTTGGTTAGTTACCGCGTAACTAATGCAACAGGCGTGGCATCGAATCGCTTGGCTTCTTCAATCAAACTGGCCGAAATTGCTTCTTAGGACCCGCTTTTGCGGATTTGAGGCTTGGAGAATCTTGGGAGTCAGCTTGAGAATTCAATTTACAGACACTGCCAACGGACACAGCATTCATAGCATCCAGTCATCAACTGGCAGTTAATCAGCTTCTGGAAAATAAACTTTTAGCGCAATCCACAAGGGCAAATTTAAGTTACGGCACCACTGGTTAACCTGTGTTCCTCATTGGCTACCACTCATTGCTCAATACATCTTGATAGCGCTATAAAAATCCATGTGTGAGACAGCTCCAATTTACATGAAGCCCAGTTTCTTTTAATAATGCAAGTATTGTTACATCCACCAAACTAATGCAAGTTATGATAAGATTGTCTCCCTCAATCGTCTTCAATCTCAAATTAACTTGCTAAACGGATTTTCCCTGCCGGGTTTCAGGAACAACACACCTGAAATTCAAATCGATTGCGCCCCCGCACCCAAACAGAGCCAGACAATCTCTGCTAATGAAGCACCGAGGCCTTGAAAAACTCTGTTTCTTACGTTGGTGAATCGCATTCAGCGACGCAAGGTCATAACGTGGACATTGGTGAATATACATTGCATGGTGTAGGTCTCTAGGTCGTTATGGATATCATAGGATATGTGCGGAGACGGTTCGATTCGACTCCATGGACGCATGTGCCGGGTCCTGGACACCAACGTAAAGGGAGATAAAATCCCTCCGAGTCCTCGAGAATATCTTTTCTCAGCCAGTTAGTAACTCGTGGCCAAAACTCCATATTACACTCTACTGAACAAGCCCACTTATCAATTCTCTGAAACCATCTCTCACATAACAACACATCCGTTTGGAAGCCGCAAACTTTACTTCTCATACCAGAAAATGAATGCATTCAACGGTGTTGGTTCTTCACCAATCCACATTGTCCCGTCCCAGATATCCGTTGTGGATGTCTGCCTACATCAACAAGGAAGAGTGGTAGCTAGTAGAATAGGAGGATCACACAAGGAGGGATATGTAGCATGAGGTTTAATTGGCAATCATAGTTGGTTTCTCATTTGAAAGGGGAAGATCTGATCTGCTGTACGAAAACACTTGCATCTGGGGCTGTTTGTCTCACTGGCGTAGTTATATCATAAATAATTACTAGCCAGATCAATAACTACGTATTTGCTTTTCCGACTTTTGTTTGGTTTTCTTTAGACCAGCTGCAGGCTTGTTCCTATAACTTACATGTATATAGATGGTGTGGTGGGGTTGAGGATAACCTAACTACATAGTTATTGAACCTTTCGCCGGCCCGAGGAAACCTGCCACTACCAACCACTTTTCCAGCTTTCAGCACCACAAGTTGCCACCTTATCTAGCGAAACGACTCTTCCAACAATTGGAAATCATAACGCGCTGCTTTACAAGCAACATGCTGCCCAAAGCGAAGAACTTGGATGTCAATCTCTTGCCTCCAGAATGCCAAGGCAAACTTTAGTTAATATCTAAAACAACATGCAGATAAAGTTGCTTAATGGAGAGAGACACCTGATACTCCGAAGTGGAAACTCTGGGCGCTTCAAAGATTGAAACCATACTACATGCAAGCTAAGGCAGATGTGTGCGTAATTCCCCTTTTAATGGGTAAGCAGGAAACCGATGTGGGTATGGCAGCCCCAAAGTCACACCCAGTTTAGGGCTCAGGGCTTTCTATGCGCCTCATCCCTATATCGAATGAGCTCTATACTGATCGCCCTGATGAAAATCCAATAATAACTGTTGCTGTTGGGAAGATTGTACATGTTACAGAGGTCATCTCCTATATCCTACTCCCATGTTGACGTACTCACCATCAAAACAGTGATGGCGAGTGATAGCTACGAGACATAGAGAACGGGAAGCATGGTTTGATGGATACTCATGGAACTTTGCGTTAAATGGTTCTAGGCAATGTGATTCTTCTGCGATTTAGCTTCGACCTTTGGTTCCTTGGTGGTTAACACATCGAGGAAAAGAAGAAGTTGATGAAGTGAATTATTAGTTAATTTTTAATCGAGTTAACAAGGCTTGACTGTGGGGTTTCTCTTAAATAACCAATTAACTAGTTAATTAGTTACTCAACTGAAAGAGGCTATCACCTGATTAATAAGGAATCAATAGTTAACTACAAATCACTCACTAGTTAACTAGTTTAGTTAACTATATTGAATATGGTTAGTGGGAGTGAATGTTTGGTTATGAAAGAAATTACTCATCAGGTGTTACCCTGTTGCATCATAGCTTCTCTTCTGTTGAGGGTATATGAATTTAAATCTTCTGTCTTAAAATAATGATCCGTGACCTCCAAAGAGATGTAGTAACCGTGAAACCATTGAACATTCGAGAAGAAGATGTTTTAATCCTAATTTTAATGGAATTTTGTTTGATTTGTTGTTTGATAATTGCATTTTAATGAAGAACTTTATTTAATGCATCTATAGTTTTGATGTCCGATCTGGTTGGGTTGGCCGGATCGGTTGGAAATTAAGGTTAGCTGATTAACTATAACTAGTTAGTTAGATAAACTACGGAGCAACTGGTTTACTGATAGTTATACACTCACTTCATGTGATAACTGGCAGCCAGTATAGAATAGCTTGCTAGCCTTTCTCTTCATTCTCTCTTCAATGCAAGAGATTAATCAAATCTACATGATGTTGATCTCATGAAAGACCCACTAAAAGATAGATAACTCAAATCTTGAATAAAAGTCTTGTACTTACAAGAGTCAAAAACAAATTAAAAAGAAACTGAAAACTGAAACTTCTTCAGCTGCTCGTAAATCAACACTAATGTCACTGTTAAAAAATAAACTGATAACTAACTTCTAGTGATTTGTCTTGCAGTGGTTGAAGTGAGATCTGCTTCTTCATGTGACTGAATATACAGGCACTGTAGCAGTACCTAACAAGCAGCAGAAGCATATCCACATTTCTTTTGATGTGGTTTCCTTGTAGCCGACCATGGTCCCAAATACTACTACCACCCTACCTACCAAGGCTTCTATCTCTCTAGATTAAGGACCGAAGCCCCACAGGCAAGCTCTGGGCTGTCGACATCTTATACACGGTTGTATAGAGTTGTATAATGGGCAGGACCATTACAATGGATTAAGCGGACACCTGCTTCTGGAAACTACATTCCCAGTATTCGATGTGATACCCGACAGAGCTGCTGATGGCAGGCGCCTACGTTCCCGGCGTGCCAGGGCCTGGGGAGCTTGCGTTTCCTGCGCAAGTTACCTTGGAAGCGCGAATGGATGCTCAGACCTCTCGATGTACCCTGGAGGCAGAACAGCATGTGTCAGTCTCTTGATATTAGTGTCTATTCTTAAGTGAGGTGGTAAACTTTACGTCGTGTTTTTCCCGCGCCTCTCCTCCTCCACCCCAGCAAAATAAATGAGCCTCGTGATATGGGCAGGTTGATACCCTAATTGAACTGATACCCTGATTGAACTGATACCCTGCTTAACTGATACCCGGAAATAATGGTAGGTTATGGGGTTGATCATCTCCCAGAGAGCCGCTGGTAGAAAACAAATGGTAAAGTTGTGTCGCCTCCAGACATGGAGAGCGCGACGGGTACTAGACTATGCCGGATCAATGGTACAACCACCCAGCCACGGCAAGCTCTGGGAAGATCTGGGGAAGCATTGCATGGAGCGGTTTCATGTTCTAGTGAGCAAAGTGGAAAAATTTGCGACTCTCCTCAAAGAGACATTAAACAAGAGTAGCTATAGCTACAATGTTTACATGCATGGATCCTCGGTTTCAAGAAGTGGGAGCAAAAACCCTGCAAGTAAACTTCACATGTAACCTCCAGAGAACTCTGAGAGGAAGAGTGTCATATCGCTTCTAACAGTTGTCGATAAGTTCTCCTTGCTTCTGGCAGCTATCGTTCATATTCACTCCTGGATCTTCAACCCCACAGCTACCAGCACCGGTAGATGACTGGTCACTGCAACATCGCATCCAATCTTTCGACGACTGACGTTGTTCCCCTAATACTATTCAACAAGGGTCGACGGATTCAGTCCTATTGCGGTGTTCTCTGGCCTGTGACAATGTACGCCTCCAAAGATATAAATTCGAGCTGATTTCCGCTCCAGAGGTCAACATTTGATCATCGTCCAGCACAACAACAAAACAGCATCTCTTGCGATCTACAATTCCAACACAAATCTCTTTCTTGAATATCTTCTCTTGAAGACTTGTTTCTTCTTCACCTTTTATCCAAAATGCAGTTCTCCAAGGTCATCGCTGCCTCCTTCTCCCTCCTCGGTGCCGCTGTCGCACTACCATCCCCCCAGGCCCCTTCTCCTAACGCGCAACCTGCGGTTAAGCACGCCCTCGGCCAGTTCAACCAAGCAGTTACTATGTTTGAGAAGGCAACAGCAGCTGCGAGCTGCAACTGGATTAGTAAGTAGCCCGTAGCAGGGCCATCAGAGGGCCCAGAGCCATGTGCAGTATATATCCTGTGTACTAACAATGGTGGATAGCATGTCTGGAATCTCTTGCCGCCTCCAGCGCTGCTTGTGCTGCCGCTCTTGGAGAATTGGGACTGGGTATGTCGTTTCCAATGCAGAGGACCATCGTATGTTCATGCACGTGGTGCTAATATCCCCTAACACAGACATCCCCCTTGACCTCGCCTGTATTGCTTCTGCTGCCTCAACCAGCGCCCAGGGCTGCGAGGGATGCTTCTAAATCAGCCCGAGGCCCGCCAGGATATCTTACACAGCTCCCCCACCGCTTCGCGGGGCATGTTAACCAGTCGGCTTGGTATTTTTTTGTTTGTCTTTGCAGTATGGTGTAGTTGATATCTTTTTTCGCGTTTGATTTTGCTTTGGGCTGCCCACTGTCCACATTCGTTTCTAGTCTGTTTCGATTGGCAGTAGTTTTTCATTCACAAATGAAATACTATGAAATACATTTACATGCATTGGTTCCAACTTTCAGAGTAGCAGAAATATCTATATTTCACATGTTTAATCCCAAATCATCTTGGTATATATATATATCATTGGACGTTGTGTTGATCAACAATCCTGCATTAATATTAAATCAACCAACCTGGCCGGTGTAAATTTGGAATGACGCATGGGGAATTGCTATTATTAGTCTTTAACTGCCGCCGGCTTTTTTGCTCTTTAGTGTTGTGGGGTAGCGAGAAGGAGGGAAGCATGCGGGCAGACGGGGCACATGGGCGCACACGGGCACACGGGGCAGACGGGGCAGACGGGGCAGACGGGGCAGACGGGGCAGACGGGGCACAACGGGCACAACGGGCACACACAGATTCTTCGAAACGCAGGTTAGACCCCACGTTGTGACCCAGAAGGTTCTTCTCATGTTTCAGGAGTAAAATTCACAAAGCTAAGGTGCAGATTATGTAGTAATGTTATCCTGCGAACTTGTAACTACCTAGTTAGGTGACTGCACAACCTTAAAAGTTGAACTCTAACCTGCGGTTGATCGGATAACCTTATCGTTCAACTAATTAAGGTTATCCGCCGATCTTCTTGGGGATTCACTAGCTAACCAACCACCTGGGTTTAACCAACTGCATAGCTAGTTAGTGATACCCCGTAGTTACCGTACTTAATTTGAGGGTCAGCTAATTAGTGGTAATTCTCCTATGGTCCCCACCCAAACGTTCTCGCACCGAGTTGGCTGGCTAACGGGGGGCGCCCTACTCCACGAAGATCCACGAAGATGATTTGGAGGAAGATCCAGTGATTTGAGTTACAACCTTATCATATTAGGTTAATATCGGAGCATGTCCCATGGGTCTAACCAACTAGCGCCCAAGGGCCAATGGTTATCTGATTAGGGCTAGCTCACCCTCGAAGCCCTAACAAAACCCCGATTGGGCTTAGACGATCGCTCTTTCCCCTCTTTCCCCTCTTTCCCCTCTCTTCCCCTTTTCCCCTTTTCCCCTTTCCCGAGCCAGAAAACACCCGTACGTCCTTGGCAGGCTTGGCAGGCTTGGCAAGCCCGGGCATCCGCAACTGCCGCGTTTTGCAGAGTTCGCGGAAACGTTCCACCCGGAGACGCGGCAAACTTCCACCTGCCCTGGAAACTGCCCCTGGACAGCGGGAGCAATTTGGTTTAGTTAGTTACAGGCTTGTGTTTGTCCATTCTAACTAACCATCAACCAACCATCAACCAACCATCAACCACCATCAACCACCATCAACCACCATCAACCACCATCAATCATCACCACCACCACCACCACCACCATAATTCCAACGACATTCTTTACCATTTTATCTCTCTATACGCTCCTTATGCCTATATAGGTAGTAAAAAGGTAGCGATGGGTGTTTATTTATGACGCTAGAGGTTGCTGTGGAATGCTATGGATAGCTGTCCACTGCAACCAAGGGCTCAGCGCGCTCATCCCACGCGAGAGTTATGTGTCACTCTATTGGACAGTTGGGTTGGGATAGAGATGAGCAAATATATAAAACCCTAGAATCTCTACCACGTCTAGCAGGGATGGTTAGCCATATGCTTGACTCGTTGGTCCCTCCCTCACCCTCCCTCCCCCCTCCCTCCCCCCTCCCTCCCCCCTCCCTCTGCCTCCCTCTGTCTCTGGCTACTACAACTTCCCCTTAATCTTTTTTTTTCATCAAGCGGGTGGTTGTTTTTCCGCCGTTCCCCACTCGCTTCCAATCTGGGCTGGAACTAAATTAAAAATAACCCAACCTTAGATCTCTCGCATAGCATCCATGGTTCCAAGCAGGAGTCTTTTTCCTCTTTGATCCATGTGAACGCTCATTATGGTTCTAACACTGAGTGAGCCCCTGGCTGAGACCGCCAACCCCACCGCCCGTCCCACCGCCCTAGCTGAGATAAACAATTCATCAAATGATAGTTAGTTCTGATACAATCCTAGGAGACCTACCTTATCACCCCATGGCTTCTTCAGTTTGTGGCTTGAAAAATCTCCAACTCGACTATGCACGCATACACGCACGGGCTGAGCCTGAACGCTGTCATTGGCAACAAAACACCTGCTGCCGCAACTTGTCAAAAGGCCGTTCTTGCATATGCCCTTCGACCACAGACAAATAATCACCACCTTGGACTGTTAATAATAATTACATAACAATAACGATGATAAAAGGAATTCTTCGACCGATATTTCCCTAGAAATGCTGCGACCTCCTAACAGCTTCATATTATTTCCTCCTGTATTTTGAGAGTATATAATATTTATATACCTTGGTAGATGTGTATATATATATAAACCATAATATACGATCTATACTATGTTGGTTTGATCCAACATCCTAACATCGGAACCAGTGCGCGCCGCCTCCCCCAGTTCTGTTGCTATCTGCGTGTTGGTAGCTGAGATAGGAGCGTCGGCCATGATGTTTTTCACTCTACTTCGCGACAGTTGGACCGGCTTCACCGCTCTGGAGAGACGCAATATAGCTCTCTACATCACCGGGATCATGCTTTACAAATTCGGCCTGGAAGCCTTCAACGGGTCCATTGTAGCTCTCGCCACCAATAGATATGACTATGATGCCTTCATTTCAAACTCGACATCCAAAACTTTCGAGCGAGTCGGCCTCCTCACGGGGCTTAACCAGGCATTTCAGTGTATAGGCGCCATCCTCATTGCACCACTCGTCCGAAGGGCGCCCACAAAATTAGTCCTGTCAACCTCAGTTTTTGCCTTTGGCCTTTTCGCCGCCATGCCCCTCATCGTGGATGCCAGCACCGGTGGGTCATTCGTACCCAAAAAATTCCGCACCAAACACCCTCGAAATGACTTTTATTACTATGGAAATTACAATACTGATGGATTAATCCCCATCTACTCTGTCACAGGTATCGTTTACGGGATGGTGGAGCTTATTCGTCGTGTCATCCCTAGAGATCTTGTGGGCGGAAACGTCCAGAAGCTTCGCCGTGTTGATGCTCTTGTTCACATCTTCTATGAGGTTGCCGGTACCGCTGGCGCGTTCTGTACTGCTCTCGCCCTTATTCCAAATCTGGGAAATAACTATTCCTTCATTATTACCCCAGTTTGTTTTGCCATGGCGGCTGGCACATGGTCCTGCATAACTAATCTGGACTTCCAGCCCGAGGTGCAGGATATTCTGGCAGAACAACCCGCCTACACCAAAGCCATATTTGGATCCTTTTTGTTGTTTCTGGAATCCTTCTGGACTGGCGGAAAGCTTATGTTTACTAATCGCCGATTCATCTGGCTGCTGCCCGGATACGCCATCGCCCTCTACGGTCACAGATATCTAGAAAACGGATTAGCTCCTGCGATTGCCCGTCGGTACCTGGGAAATTCAGCCTGGTCGCAGGTGATTGTTGGCGGCTCGAATCTGGGCGAACTTCTAGGCGCAGCATTCGTATTTTTTTTTACAAACCTCGTCACCACGCCCATTCCATGGATCCGGCTGGATTCCGTGATGCTCTTGGTCGTATGGTACTTACCCTTCTGGTACCCTCCGCAGGGCCAGGTTGCCTATGCCTGGATGGTAGCTGCCACCTTCCTCCCAATTTCCTTCGGCTGGGCGGCCGGAGATGTCTCTCTCGCCGCATACATCCAGGCGACACTTGCTCGCGTCGAGTCCAAGACCAAGAATGTCTCCGCATTGGGCGCTGTAATGGCTTTTCTCTATTCTACCTACATCGTCATCTACGCCATCACCTCGCCTATGTTGGGTCGGTATATAGACATTGTCTTCAATGAATCGGGTGGAGCAGAGCACGATGGCGACATCCACCCTGCTATCATGAACATAGGAGCCATTCAGTTTACCATCTTGTCCATTATGATCTTGGCAGCAACGTTCGTACCGCAGGGGGCCTTTGCGTTCAATCCACAGATGCTCTTCAAGCAACGCCTGGACACGGAAATTGCCAAGCCTAGCAAGCTGGATGACGAGGTCAAAATGACGAATTGGCGTAGCGATGGGGAGTCTGCAGAGAACCACCACACAAGTCACAATGGGAGTTCACATGAAAGTTCTTATTCCCACCACGGGCGCCGGTGTCAGGAGAGGCCATAGTACGGAGTGCAATGTATCAATTCCAAGCCTTCCTGTCATTCCCACTTTTTCGCCTTTGTTTCGTGGCGGCGTTTTTCCAGCTTCTTTCCCTTGCCCATTGTGTAACTATCCATCTCCACCCTATGGCCACATGCCAACTAGAAAAAGGTTCTCCCCCCCCCCCCCCCCCCCCAAAAAAAAAAAATCTTCTGCACAGCAATCCATTTCGCTGACACTATAAAAGTTGGATGTATGATACCCTCGTCTTGCACTCTATACCTTCCCGTCCTGTCGTGGCTGGTAGATAAGGACATATTATAGAGCTGGCCTAAGCTTTCGTTGTGAAAGACTATTTTACGGACTGTGTTGATAAAATAAATAAATTCCCCCTTGCAAATACACCCTACAAAGGACAAATCATAGACACGTCCACGTTGTCATATGCAGCTTCATATGAAAATTGGACAAGGTTGCGTTATTCTCTGATATCATTGCATTTGATATGGACCGGTTGACCGAGCGACTGCTGGATTGGGGAAAATGAACAGAAGAAGTTGAATCAAAAGAATATGCCGGATTTGGAAAATGTATATTTTAGGCCATCAGGGGAGACAGCTTTCTAAACATAGCAGGAAATCAATAATACGAAGAGAAAGAAGGAAGGAAGGAAAAAATAAGGAAGACGAGGAAACTATCTCATAGCTGCTTGCCCATAAACTTTCGTTTGGCAAAAGCGAGCCACCACTACATCCGTAACGTGGGGGGTTAGCTGTTAAGTGAAAGAGGACAAAGGTATGTGTGAAAAGGGTTACGGGAGGAATGAATATACCTTTGACGGACCAACTCCTTCGGGGTATAAGCGGGCATGTAATCGAATGGCGAGTTCTTGTCGAACCTGAGAGATGTATCTATAGCAGACGTAAGTTTTTTTTTTTTTTTCTTTCTTTCTTTTTTTAATAAAAGAAAATAATAATGTAATAATATTTGTTGCTTGACATACTGTCTTAATGCCTCTGCATCCTGGCGATCGCGAGGTGGTTCGAAGGCCTGGTTCAGCGGGAAAGAGGCATCTCCGGGGATTGCAAAGTGATCGAGAGACGTGTTGATGAGGACCTATATATTGTGTAGTTTCGTTTTGTTGTTCTTATCGTCAGCCAACAAATCCAAGCACATACACACACACACACACACACACACACACACATATATATATATATATATATATATATATGACCCGAATCGTAATTCTGGCCTACCTTTTCCGCTTCTCTGGCAGGCATGCCCGGTTTAACTTTAGTAAGGCATTCGCTGACAAACAGGATGCCGTATATCAGCATGCGATCCGCGGGCCCCTTGATTTCGAAATTTCGGAAGAAGGTATTTGCGCGGTATAGGGAGAGAATTTCATCGAGGCAGTCGTATGATTCGCTGTCCGGGTCAATGTTTGACTCCAGGGTGCCGGGAGGGAGTGCGGGAAGGGTGTATGCGGGGCCACGGGTTCGCGTGCGGAGAGGCAGGACAGGGAAATTTCCTATTGACAGACATGTATGAGAATAGGGATAAGTTTCTGATTTATTTCCGGAGTATGCGTGGACATGCCTATGGTTGGGACGTCTGCTTCCTGAAGGAAGATGGAGTGGTATGCCTGGGCAAATACACGGTCAGCGGGAGGAGCGGAGAGTTTTAGTGTTCCCCCGTAGCTGGGTAGAGAGGGGGCACTCAAACCAACCGGCATATCGGAAAGTCGATGTCTGGGATACGATCCTAAACTGGATTCCTAGCTGATTTGTCACGCCGGAGATATGATCTCATGTTGTTCTGTTGTAGTTAGTTAAAGTCAACTAGATAGTTAATGTTGTTGGGTTGAGGCTGATTATCTAATATCCTCCCAAACACTGCGACCCTTTTGATACATTAATTAATTAGTTAAACATATTTCACCCACTAGTTAACTTGAATCTCTTGATCACGTGATATAAAACTCTATTTGGTAACTCCTTATTATTGACTTTGCTCGGCTTCACTGTACAACTAATAACCCAACATAGCTTTCATCGTTTTAAATTGGCAGTGTTTGTAGGTACGACCAGTGATATGATGATTTAGGCTTGTATAAGGAACATTATACTGTCCGGCATCTCTCCACTGGCTTAATCTCTGGGTTTTGAATAGCTAAAGTAGCCAAAATAAGTTGATTTTCCACTTGTGTTGAAAATATATGCAGAATATTTTTAACTGTATGAAGCTACATGATTTTAAAATGGTGCATACTAAATTAGACTATCACATGAGCAAACGACCCAGTTAGTGGTTTAATGTACCTTAACTCCCTAGAAAGTGGTTGAAATACGTTTAACTAGTTGGAAACTAGTTACGGATTACGTTAGCCGTTGTCCCAGGCGCGTTCGGTCCTAGATGTCATGTGACTCTCATGTGATGTCATAAAATGTTTCTTTGACGCTAGTCCATATTTGGATTAGAGCATCATTTTAGATTTTCCGGTTCCTAACGAACTTTATCAACGCGACTTTTCTGTGGCTCGTTGGTGCGCGAGTGAACTAATTGACCATAATCGAGGAATATCCCATAACTGGGGCGCGGACTCGGACACTCAAAAATTCATTCTTCAACATTTTAACATTTTTTTAAGGTGAAACCATCAGACACACATAAATTTGATGTCCGCACTCTCCTAGACCACTGGAGCATACGTCGAAACTGCTTTGTTGCCCATTAGTTATATATACACTTGCCACGATGTCAGACTTGGAAGATGAAATGGACTTGGATGCGCTGCCGTCCAAGAATGCTGTTCAGTTCAGCTCCGATAACACCAATGCAAGAGGAAAACGAATAGCTGCAGATCTGCCCGTTGAAGCAGAGGATAACCTGCCTTGGTGATATTTTTATTTGAACTATTTTCGTCTATGATTCAACGAGCTAACAGCGTATATACTTGGGAAGGGTCGAAAAGTACCGCCCAAATAGCCTAGATGACGTCTCCGGACACCACGACATCATTGGTACTATTAACAGATTCATAGATTCAAACGTGAGTGCCCAGCATCATCTCTATGAATAATCAATCTCATGAAATTTACCAGTCTAATTTCTCTTACAGAGACTACCTCATCTACTTCTCTATGGTCCTCCCGGGACTGGGAAAACATCAACCATACTTGCATTGGCGCGGCGGATATACGGAGTGAAGAATATGCGACAGATGGTTCTCGAGCTAAATGCTAGTGACGACAGAGGCATAGACGTTGTTAGAGACCAGATCAAAACTTTTGCCAGTTCGTTCCCCACAGTTAGTTGTACATTTTCTGGGTCCATGGAAATGGGCACTGTTTTAAAATGCCTCCTTATTTTTATTTATTTATTTATTTATTTATTTATTTTTCAATTTTGGTATGGTGTGAGGCTAATAAGGGGGACCTTCTGTCTTAGGCACCAAACAAATATTCTCGATGGCTCCAGTTGCCAAATCAGAGTCATCCCTTGGGGCTTTCAAGCTAATCATCCTCGACGAGGCAGACGCCATGACCGCCACTGCGCAGATGGCACTCCGTCGTATTATGGAAAAGTACACCGCGAACGCTCGATTCTGCATCATCGCGAACTATACCCATAAACTCTCACCAGCCCTACTGTCACGATGCACACGATTTAGGTTTAGTCCACTAAAGGAAAAGGACATCCGGGCACTGGTTAACCAAGTTATCGAGAAGGAGCAGGTGCGCATACAACCAGAGGCAATCGACAGCCTTGTAGAGTTGAGCAAGGGAGACATGCGAAGGGCGCTGAACGTGCTCCAGGCATGCCATGCGAGCAGTAAGTTGACAAGAAATACGTCCTGAAATCTAAATCAACCAATCAATCAAATGTTGTTTCTTATAAAGATTATTTAACGTTTCCAGGTATACCGCTTCCGATGAAAAACGCCCCGAAAGATCGGCCTTCTGCGGAACACGAAACCGTCTCACAGGAGACCATCTACACCTGCATCGCAGCGCCACATCCATCTGATATTAAAACGATCATCACTGCGCTTCTCACAACCAGCGACGTGACATCATGCCTAAACACAATTCAAACATTGAAATCAAACAAGGGCCTAGCGTTAGTGGACATCCTAACGGCTCTATCGGCCGAGTTGCAACGGATTGAGGTCCCTGCAGCAGCACGGGTAGTTTGGATGGAAGGGCTTGCAGATATCGAGTGGCGGCTAGCCAGTGGGGGAGGGGAAATGGTGCAGACGGGTGGGTTGGTAGGGGTTGTGAGGGGAGGATGTGAGTTAGTAGTAGGGAAACTGGGGTCGTCGCGGAGAGTTACAGTGCCCATGGAATTATGATAGTCGTCACATCTGGATAATTTAACTTAGTCATTATTTAATGCCATGCCAGATTAAATTTTTAATAGGCAGCCGGACTGCTACTGCTTTTGAAATATTTTACTGCAGCGGGCTGAGTATCCTTGTTATCCTTAAGTATTGGAAGTAATTAAATCCAATGTTGGTCCGTCGTGGGGCCGGACGGAAAGGTGTGGGGGGTGGGAAACCCGAACTATGTAACTATCTATCCACTATGAACCCGAAGTTAGAAGTAGGGGGGAGGAGAACTCCTGATATAGTTAACTAGTTTAATCAGTTAAAAGACGCGCTTATTTCAAGAGCAGAGTAATAACTAGATCATTAAAGTCAAGTTAAAATAGTTAACTGGTTACGAGAGTCAACTAAAAACTGGCGTTGTTCTAATAGTTACTACTACTACTACTACTACTACTACTACTACTACTACTACTACTACTACTACTACTACTACTACTACCACTACTTCTACTACTCCATTGAGTTTGAGTTTTAGCCGTTCCCGGCCCCAGCCGATCTAGGTTACCTTGCTGCCCTGAAGGATTAGTTAAACTTGCTAATTTTGTAACGCCCTTTGGCTTAAAAAACTCAATCTTGCCTCAAATCTTTCCTTAGCCCCGACCCCGTGTGAAATCACGTGATAGTTCTCCCGATCTTTCCACTGAGTATTTAAACCGTTGGCTATTATTCACCGTTGAGGCGAAGGCATCAAGCTGTGGGAGGAAGTTTTTGGAAATTAACTGCTTTTCTGACTGCTGCTCTTCTGTCCGACTCTCACAGATTCTCTAAACTCACCATTGATTGAATCTCCGCCAGAGCCTATTGCATGAAAGCCCTATATTAACCTCGCCCCGATCTGCCACCATGCGCTCTCGAACCATGCAACCCTCGTCGGCACTGCTGGCTCTCACTGTGCCCCTCGCCATCTTCACCCCTGCAGCCTCTGCAGAGACAGTGTTGGGCGCCTATATCTTCTCCCGTCACGGAGACCGCACTGCCAAATCTACCCCGCCTACCGAACTGACCACTTTGGGCTATGAGCAGGTGTTCACTACAGGCGCCTACTATCATAACCGCTACATCTCCCCCACCTCTGACTTCCGGATTCTCAACATAAGTCCGGACATTGTAAAAACAAAGGAGGTCGTCGCATCTGCACCCGAAGATGAAGTGCTGCAGAAATCAGCCATTGCTTTCCTGCAGGCGCTTTACCCCCCAGTGGGAGGTGTCGCAAAGTCCACGCTGCGCAACGGGACCGTGGTCGAGGCGCCCTTGAACGGATACCAGCTCGTAGCCATCGAACAGGTGTCCACGGGTGGGAATAGCGAGAATCTTGCCTGGCTGCAGAGCGCAAGTAAGTGCCAGAAGGCCAAGATGAGCAGCAACGAATACTTTACATCAAAACCCTACGAAGAACTCCTCAGCTCGACGGACGATTTCTATAAATCCATCGCACCCATGGTGGAGCGAACGTTCCCGGCGTCCAAAGTCAGCTACAAGGACGCATATATTATATGGGATCTTCTCAACGTCGCCATGATCCACAATTCCACCGACTCTCTCCCAGCCGATAAGCTGCCCTCCCAGGAAAACTTTGATCGTCTGCGGGAGCTGGCGGATGTGCATGAATTCAACCTTGCGTACAATGCCTCCTCCCCCATCCGGGCAGTCAGCGGTTCAACCCTGGCCGGCGAAGTCCTCTCCGGTCTCAGGGAGGTGATCACCACCGGTGGCTCCAAGACAAAACTCAACGTTCAGTTTGGTGCCTACGCCATTTTCCTCTCTTTCTTCGGCCTGTCGAAGCTCTCAGAAACCAACCCCAATTTCATGAAGATCCCCGACTACGCGTCCAGCATGGCATTCGAGCTGGTGACCAATGCCTCCACCTCCTCGTCGTCTCCATTCCCCAACCAATCTGACATCAGCGTCCGGTTCCTTTTCCGCAGTGGCAGCATAATTCCCGGTGCTCCCGAGACCGTGCCAGTTGCATACCCACTATTTGGCCAATCGGACACGCTCATGCCGTGGTCCGAGTTCGAGTCGAACATGGAGAAGATTGCTATTTCTACAGAGAAGGAGTTCTGCAAAGCGTGCAGCGAGACCCCTGAGCGCTGTGATGGTGGAAGCGATGAAAGCGATGGTACAGCTAGAGCATCGACTGGTGCGGGTAAAAGAGACGGCATGTCCAAGGCGGTGGCTGGTGTTGTTGGTGCAATGGTGGCCTTGGCTGCGATCATGGGCCTTCAGTCATTGATCTTCTTGGCTGGTGGGTTCAGGTTGGTAAAGAAGTCTGATATCAAGGCATTTAGGGAAGTTGAGAGGAAGATCCAGCCATGAATTGCTTGAGGGCTTCTAATGTAAATATGTTCAGTACTCATGTCCTCCCACGTGTCGCGCAAAAGGGAACCGTTTTCCCTTATCTGAATAATAACGGAAGTATATCAACAGGATAGTTATGCATCAGTAAGGGAAAAATTAGATCTGCTGGTTTCTGAGGGATGGATGGGGGCAAAAAACTTAAAAAAGATTGATTTTGTCGCTCGAAGCTGGAATAGAAGAAATGTTCTATTCCACTTTTATCCCATCTTCTTTTTAAAAAATATAATTGAACGAGTTAAAATAATTATAAACTAATACCCACTCACTGACACTCTTACTAATTAAACTAAATAATAGCTAACTAGTTAGCTCCTGGGCAGCTAAATTCATAACCAAATAAATGGTCAACTCACAAGCCTGGAAGGATGAGATGATGATGATGATGTAATCAGCGACATCATTTTGTTGAAGAACTTCATCATAACAGTTGAATGGTCCCACCAAATAAACATACATAACTACATGACGTTTCCCAGTCCTATTCCAAGCCAATGAATGGGGTTGTATCCCTTCTTCTTCTTCTTCTTCTTCTTCTTCTTCTTTTTTTTCCCCCTCCTCTTCAATAGTTAATTTAACAGGAACATTTCACTCTATCGCTCTAGTTTATCTCTCATCGTCAAACTGTTCCGAGTCGCTTCACCAGAACCATCAGACTCTGGTCCCTCCCTCTCTAAAGGAAAAGGTGGTGGGGGAAAGGTAGGTAAATGGTACGTGCAGAGCGGGTGAAATAAATAAGCCAGTCTCTGTTCTTCAATTCTGCACTCTCGAGAAAGGTCTCTGCATAATGTCGTCGCACTACAATACAGAACCACCTCCAACTGCATCTGCAACTCTCAACACCACCGCCGGTCCGCTCCATATTTCTCTCTTCGCAAAGCAAACACCTCTTGCATGCAAGAATTTCCTCCAACATTGCTTAGACGGGTACTACAAAGGCACGGCATTTCATCGCGTCATCCCAGATTTTATAATCCAAGGCGGCGACCCGACAGGAACAGGCGCGGGAGGATCTTCGATTTACGAGGACCCAGAGTTTGAATTCGACCCACGCGATGGAGAGAAAGTGGTTTTCAAAGATGAAATACATAGTCGACTACGGTTTAACCGGCGGGGATTGGTGGGGATGGCGAAGGCAGAGGATGGGACATACGGGAGCCAGTTCTTCGTGACATTGGGGGGTAGTGCGGACAGACAGCTAACTGGTACATGTACGCTGTTTGGGCGAATCGAGGGAGATAGCATCTATAATGTTGTAAGGATTGCGGAAGGGGACCTGGTGGAGGGCACAGAACGGCCTGTATATGCAGTTAAGGTTACCGGCTGTGAAGTGGGGGATTTAGGCCCGTTCAAGGATGTTTTGAAGAAGCGGGAGAAGGTTGCCGTTGCCGCACCAACCCCTGAAGAGGAAGCGAAGCGGGATGTCACAAAGAAGAGGAGAAAGGGCAAGGGCGCAAAGGTACTATTAAGTTTCGCGGACGATGATGAAGAAGATTCGATAAATGCAACTAAAGAAGCAAAGAAGCCCAAGTTCAATACGAGGCTTGTTACAGCTGGTGCCAACGCTATACTGGAGCAAAACCCCAAACTGGAGGATAAACAGCAACCAGAACCCGCAGTATCCTCTCCTACACTCACGAATCAAGAAGATAAAGATGCCCAACCTGTTTCAAAACGGCGCAGGTCTATATCCCCTTTACAATCATCGCCTATCAACAGCAAACCATCCAGGGACCCAAACACCCAACTTCCTCTTCCAGACCCAGAAATGCCATCCCGCTCCCCATCTTCCTCCCCCGCTCCTCCCACCAAACAATCGGCATTATCTCGCGTCACTGCCGAAATCGATGCGCTCAAAGCATCCATGCGCCGAAACGTCTCTACAGCCGTTGAACCCCCCCGGAAAAAGTCTGCACTGGAGACCTTGATCCCGGAAACTTCAATAAGAGGCCGCCGGCGCCCAGCTCCCGGCAGTGCACATGGTGCTGGATTGAGCAATGGCACATCATCTCAAGATGCCGAGGCGATGAGAATCCTCAACGCCTTCAAAGCGCGGCTGGAGCAGGCAGAGTCACTCTCAAACCGTTCCCAACTAACCAAAGACAATCAAGCCAAAAGCAAACCCCGACAGGACAAGGAAAAGGACGAAGAGGAACAAGTGTGCGACCTTCACTTCATCGCACACTGTCAATCGTGTCAAGCGTGGGATCAAAACGGCGCTACCGACGCAGCAGCTACGAGGGGAGATGCGGATGACGACGACCCTGTCGACTGGATGACCCACAAGCTGACCTTCGGTAAGGATATGCTGGGCAAAGATCTAAACTGGAAGCGCACGCACGAGGATGCCGATGGGCTCGTAGTAATTGATCCGCGCGAGAAGGAGAAGGAAGTTGTTCAGATGGCAAGGGGGAAAGGGAGGGGCCGGGAGCGGGAAAGGCAGCGGAAAATGGAGACGGGTCATCAGAGGGAGTGGGATCAGAAGGGGCGGTGAACAAGAGCTATATTTGTTGATATATAGCTCTAGACGCACGGAGGTATAAGTAGTGATTCATACCTTTGATTGGTGACCATCTCCTATTGCTGGCACACCTGCATCTTTGGGCCAAATCCCTAACTAACTATACTGTACATTATTATGCATATTATTTTGGTTTCACTTGATATGCCTATTTTCTCCACACCGCAAGCAATGGAACTGGTTTGGTTAATGTATACAAATCCTATTTACCTTCTAAACACTTCACGGAGAACTATTTCGCTACTCCCAATGTAACAATTTAGTCAACCTCCCAGATTTCCAGCGCTCTATCTTCCATTACCACCATTCCTCTTAAAACCACCGACAAAAGAACAAGGGTAAAGGGAGAAAAAGAAAGGGAAACTTTAGATCCAAAACTAATACATACATTGCCCTAGACTTTCTTTCTCTGGATATGTACGTTCAAACATCCGTTCCCTCTTTTGTCAGCGGGTGCACCGCGTACCAGCTAACCCAGCGCCTTTAGAATAGTACACCTGCATACATGCACGGGATATCCACGAGCAGAGAAAGAGACAAGAAAGAAAGCCAAAGCTAATATGAGAAAGGAGTAGGCAGGGTAGAGGAGGGATTGGACAGTAGAGATGAAGTAGAAAACAACAAAAAAAAGAGAGAAAAGAGGAGGCGAGGGCACCGGAACGTGTTGAGACTTTCAGCCAAGTTAGAGAGGAGAAATCAGTCCTGAATGAAGGACAGAGCAGATGCTAAATATCTGGAGAAATAATGGAACCAATGTATGAAGAATGGAAGAGGTGACAAATTTGAAAGAAGATCTCGCAGGTGAATACTGTATTGAACTACACTAAAAATTGAAGTTGGAGAGGATATGTAATAAAGGTGCAGAAGGATATCAAGAACTTAAAAATAAAATTAAAATTAAGAAATAGAAGAAAAAAAGCTCAGAATAAACTATCCATAGTAATTAGAAGTACTGCCTCCTAAGTAGACCGTATCAATCACATCACCTAGAACACTCAAGACAAAAGGCAAGTTGCATGATACAGGTATGGGTTGCATTTAATGCAGCACTCAGTAAAGTGCAGTTGAAAGCAAGCAAAAGGGGGGACAGGGGGAAAACTAAGGAGCCACACAACACAACAGCGCCAGAAACAGAAAGAAAAAGGTGTTTAAAGGAGAAACCTGAAGGGGGTGATTCTTCTGCTTCTTCTTCATCTTTCTTCTTTAACTTCATCCAGGGAGCAACAACATCTATCCAATAGGAAGTAGGTAGATTAAACCCACGAGTAAAAAGAAAAAAAAAAGAAAAAAACATTGCCAAAAGGAAAGAGAAACCTATGACGGGATATTGGAAACAATTAATTTACCTAGAAAAGCATCGGATTGTAGACAGACACGGCAAGCGGTTGAGAGGTGACTATACGGGAATTGCCATATGGTTGAGGTTATGTGACATTTAACAGAGTATGTAAACCCCACGCCAAAGGTGAGCAGCAAATAGAAGAGTAGGATTACCGCACCCGTTTCTCGAAATCAGGGGCATAACGGATGGGACACTATTTCTTTGTCCCAACAGCATCCGGGACAATCAGAGGAGCTGAACCCGGCATGCCGTGTAATGTAACAGCCTTTTTGACAACTCGGGAGTGAAGGCGGCAACGAAAAGGAAATACAATTAAGAATCGAAGAAAAAGGAAACAATATAAAAACCAAGAAACATAAATGAAAACAAGTGGAAGCGAATTGAAAAAACTGGGATCCCTATACAAGCTGGACAAAGTTATAATGCAACGCAAAATGGACACGATATGCCGCGAGTTTCAAGCCGGAAAAGAAAGCATAAAACTCTAGCGGGAATCACTGTCGAGAAATACAGCAAGTCAAAATAAATAAAATTAAAATAAAACAAGATAAGAGGGCCGGAGGAAGATTTTTTTTTACTGCTGTTTTTGTTATTTTTCATCACCATTTTCATCATATCTTCAATCTGCATGCAATATCACTGCACGCAACAGAGCACACCTCTGACAATTCCAGAACCATAATAAAACGTTGGTTTCCTATTTCCCATTTAAACAAGTATCAAGGAAGCAAGGGGGAAGGGAGAGGATCCAAAGTTCTTTCATGGTTGTTTAGGCTGCTCCAAAATTACTAATCTAATCTTTCCATAATATCATCCTGGTGTAAAACTTTTGTATTTTGAGCGTCTCTCTTTCGATAGGGTCATTTCGTCATGCGTCGTTGAATCGTAAAGACATACTCTCGTCTGGGTTGGGAGAGGGGGAAATCAGTTGTAGGTATTACTATGTCTTTTATTCATGAAATGATATACATTTCTCGCCGTTATCTTTGATTTGTTGGTCTATATTTACTCAACAATTATCTCAACATTGGAGCCGGATCGCAGTTCGTCACTTCCTCGAGTCTGATGGCCATTTTGGCGGCGAAAACCGGATCCACGTTCCGGGGCAGGGCCTCTGGGTTGTCTTAGGGGAAGACGTTCCTGGGACGATTGAGTATCAAAACCCAAACCGATAGATCGGTTGCTCCCTATTGGACCAGTTGTGGATGGTTGGGAATCCTGCTGTTCCCAGGAGAACATTCCACGAAGGCGTCTAGGACTACCCGAAGTTGGACCACCGATGCCTGTCCCGAGGGAAAGGCTTCCCAAAGTGTTTGCCAGCAAATTGTCATCACGCTGACCGCCAATTGTAGAACCAGAGAGGGTTGGTGTCAGAATGGGCGTGTTAGACGCACCGCTTGTATTCCCGTCGAAAGGTTGAAAACGAGTTCCATTGGACTGTAGAGCGGCGGGGAAGCTAGCAGAGGAGGGTACGGGAGATGGTGTATATGATCGAAGGTCCGCAAAGGATTTAGCTGCTCGTAGATTCTGGGCATTTCCAAAACCACCAGGAGAGTCAAGAACACTCAGAAAGCCTGAGTGATGGCCACGAAGGGTATTGAACGGGCCAGGAGCATCGCCTCTTGCCTCACTGAAGTCGATTGTAGCAGCCCGGTTAAGGCCACGTCGGGACGTGTCTGCAGTTTGGATGCTGGTGGGATTCGCTGGACCGGGTGGACTTATGTTGGGATCTGTTGCTCTGAACACATGAACCTGACGCTGGTCACCAGTCCCTCGCGAGGCATGTCCTAATCCCATATTGTGCGCGAGAGTGTGAACGGTGCGACGTTGCAGAGGCGACAGCTTTGCAGAGAATATGAGAGCTTCTCTGCTCGAATCTTGTTTAAACAGTAGAAGTTGAGAGTAATATTTAAGCGTTTCGGGTTCATTCATGTTAACTTCTATTCGGGTCAGCAGAGAATCGAGAAGACATCGACAAAACAAAATGATAAAAGGAGTATAGGAAGCAAAAGACGTACTTAACTCCGTACCCCGTTGCGAGACCGGTGATGGAGAGGTTACTGGAATGTTTGATGTCAAGGACGTCAATGAAGGTTGCGAATTAAGTTGGGAATTAGGCATTGGGCGATGCTGTTCCTCTAGCTGGCCCCTGCGCTCACGCTTTTCGCGCTCAATCCGTTCCCGCTCTTGTAATGGTAGCATTTTCTTATATTCAACCCTAAGTTTCCTTCCCTGAAGCTCGAAATGGTTGAGAACTTCAATGACGGTGGCTGTTTCTTCAGCAGAGGTAAAGTTTGCAAAAGCCAGCCCACGGAAGACTCCGTTGTCGAAATGGTAGTTAAAAGCGTATGGAAGTGGCAGATTCATCTCTGTCATGAGTTGAACTAGCTGTTCTTTTTTCACAGCGAATGGAATGTTCTTGATGACTATAGCGGTCGGAATGAGCTCATCGTCTCCCTCAGGGCTTAAATTCTCTGGACGCATTTGATTTGTTTGGAGATGATTAGTAGGTCCCAAGCTGAAGGGACCTGCGATTCCAGGCTGCTGGTCAAGCCAAGTCTAAAAATGGATTCTGTCAGTGAGGACGAAAGTAGTGCAAACGATGCATTGCCAACTTACAGCTGGGAGGCCAGTCCTTCCACGTGCAGCGGGCTTCAATCTTCCAGTGCCGGTTCCCGTCCCTGATCCTACACTTAACGTGTTTGCACTTCCAAAACCGCTTGAATTCCAAGTTTGGGAACCAGAGAGGTCATAGGTATACGAGTTACCATGAAGGGTAGGGTTCATTCGATCCAGACGGACGGAGTCGTACCGTGCCATAGGGTCATCGTACATACCAGCAGACATGGGGCCGAAGACATCAAAATGCCTGGATGATTGGCGGTGGAGTTGTGGGTGAGGATGATGGCGCTGCGAGCCAGGAGATCGAGAAGCGGAATTATCGTGATACATGTCCTGAGACTGAGGGTGATAATTACTCATAGCTGCTGATGGGAACAGAGTGCCCCTTTCAAGGAGGGTTTTTATGGTAGGAGAAATTGGAAGGAGAGGTTGGTTTAAGTGGGAAGGGCGTTTCTTCGTGAACGATGTGGTCGGATAGACACGAGGGCCAAGCAGGCGGTTATTTAACCATAGAGACGAAACTGTAAGCAAATATCAAAATAACAGCGACAATAAAAACGAGTATAGTTTCTTCTCTTCTTTTCTCACTCGAACGGCAAGAGGGACCTCCTAATATAATCTTTTCCAGGAATATCTGAGTAGTCGTTAACCGTTTACGCTTAAATCGTTGCTAACTTCAGGTCGTGGGACTCTCCTCTTTTCATAAAATCAGATGAGAAGGTCCAGTAGAGTAGATTTTGAGCAGCTGGCAGATATTTCTGATAATTGGAACGTATGGCGAAAGTACAAATCGCAGGGGAATCAGACGGTGTAGACCAGGTCGTCCAGGTCGTGATCATCAGTCGTATGCAGCGTCAAGTCGTTACGAGAGAACGAGAGAAGCGCGCGCAGGGGAAGGAAGCGGAAGAAGGACAATCAAGAACAGATCTTCATATACGAGCTTGAGCAGAAGGACGAGGATGACGACGATGATGACAGCGGTGATGAAGATGATGACGACACGAGAGAGATGAGACCATGTGGTTTGATGGATCCGCCCTGGTGACAGAAGTCAAGATGCATGCATGCATGCATCAAGTACCTGTGTGGCGTTGTTACCAGTACATGCAGAGGGTACAAACCAGGTCGAAACAGAGCAATAGCAAAATCAGAGAAAAGAGGAGATAACTAAGAGCAGGCAGACGGGAGGGACGGGGTGAGATTGGAGGAGATTAGAAGAGGATCAGAGATTGTTTGAGAAGAGACGCAGTAAAAAGTCGAGCTAGCCGGGAACAAGGCGTTGAAGGGAGTGAGCGATAATGTGGTTCAGTTAGGGCAGCCGGGCCGGGGAACACCACCCCCCCCTCCAAAAAAAAAAAAAAAAAAAAAAAAAAAAAAAAGGCCAAGGGAAAAAAGAGATTGAGAGGCACCACAACCACGGTCCACACGTTGGTGGGAAGCCGTTGAGATACAAAAAGGAATCAGAGTTATCACTCGGCCCACGGCAGCAGCGTAATCCCAGAAGGCCAGATAGCGAAGGGATGTGGGATGTGGGATGTGGGATGTGGGATTAGGGAACTGGAGGGGAGTTAGAGGGGGAAGAAGTTCAGAGAGGAAACGAGGTCCAGGAATGAGGTCCAAGGCAACACGAGGGACAGAGCCAGAAGAACTGCGAACCTAAGTTGACGAGACCAAAGGGAGTATTTAGAAGAGGGAGGAGGGAAGGGGAGAGAGAGTAGAGGGAGAGGCAGAGAGAGAGAGAGAGAGAGAGAGAGAGAGAGAGGAGAGAAAGAGAGAAGGGCAGAAGAAGTGAGCGGGACGGATGAAGGGATGAGATTAAAATTGAAGTTGAGGATGAGGATGAGGGCGAGGTTTATGGTTGAGAAGGAGAGTTGAGGATGGGAGGAAGATGAGAGGTGATGAGAACATGAAAAGGATGAGAGGCGGAGAGGCGAAGAGGAGGAGGATAGGATGACAGGAGAAGAACGAAGAGAAGTTTTTTTGGTGAGAGAGACCACCAAAATAGAAAAATAAGAGAAAATAATAAATCAACAATAACATCAAGAGTTAACTTAATACTCGATACACACACAAAACGCTGCAAATTAATGAATTCTAACATAGACATCGTGCCCGGATTACAGCTCCATTACCCCATATTAATTACCGCCTTTAATTCTCTTGAGAAATCCCCACAGGCCATCCGCTGGCCTGGTGGGTTGGGCGGGTCGCTGGCGGGTCACGCGAAAGTCGCCCGTCACCGCCACACCAACCACGCCGCTGCCTGGCCGGTGCCTCTACCGCCAAAACAAAACCACCAGCTCGAGCAGTCATTCTATCTTCCCCCGCAGGAATCACCCCTTTATGGATGGACCCTTGGAAGTCGGCAGCAGCCCGTTAAAGAGTCTGAACCAGTTCCTCCGAAGTTAGTTAACTAGAGGTAGAGCGTAGTTACATGATTTGACCCCCAAGTTCTTAGGCCTAGTTCGCCATCTATCTATCTTCAATGACGCTGACGTTGCCTCCCTTTGAGCTAGATGGACACCTCATATGGTTACGAGTAGTAGTAGTAGTAGTAGTAGTAGTAGTAGTAGTAGTAGTAGTAGTAGTAGTAGTAGTAGTAGTAGTAGTAGTAGTAGCAGCAGCAGCAGCAGAGCAGCAAGTAAAAATTTGCTTCTTCCAAGCAACCCCCGGGGGGCCTGGGGACCTGGGGGCCTGGGACCTGGGACTATGGCCCCCATTACATTAACCAACGGCTCCACTATATACCCACATTTTCTTGGTGTCTGTGGATGTAGCACTCCCCCTTGATTGGGAGCCTCGGGACATCTGCTTGCCTTTCATTCTTCTTCCTCTTGGCTTCCGATATTCTTCTGATAGTCTGGTGGGTGTGAACGGAGTTCAGATGAACATCCGTTACTTGGCTATGAAATATCAATTGCCCAATAGTTACTCATTTGCCTGGAAGTAGGGTGAAAGGGTCCGTTACCAACGTGCCTGGGCAGAGAATTAATGGGAGGTTGAGAGGGCACAGAGTGGAGATTTTTAAGCAAACAAATCCCATCTTGGCTGGACATAGCTAACTAGTTGAAATAGCTACTTCATGAACTGCTGAATTCCTCTAGATAGTTAAATGATGCTAGTATATATTAAAGGAACACCCTGATGGAGTCTCTCTGCATGATCAGAGGAGAAAAACAAAAAAAAAAAAAAAAAAAAAAAAAAAACCCTCCATGCCTCAAGTCCTTGATTATAGCTAGCTAGTTGATGTAACAGCTGGACGCCCTGGCACCTGTCGGCCGATTCGGCGCCTGGGCCGCCATCCTTGCGCAATCCCTATTTGGTGCCCGTTCTGAGAGGTTACAACGAATAAGAAATAATCCATGGATAAGGTAAACTTGGCTGCCCAATCAACTGTCCACGTCCGCGCTGTTTCTCCCCAGAGCTTGGCCACAAAATCCAGTAGTTCAATGTTCCTAGAAATTGAGAAAAGCCGTGTTGATTCTTCAACTTATGACAACTACCCTTGCCTCTCTGCCTTTTCTTCTTCCAACTTCTTCACCTTCATCGTCGTCCTCGTCCTCGTCCTCTCCCACGACTCGACTCCAGACTCAAAACTCAAATACACCTCGTACCTCGATCCTAGTTCGAACCCATGATCCAAAATCTTCAGACAGGCACAAGCAAGATTGCCATCAGCTGACAAAACCCCTTCCAGAGGACCAGAGCGTCCTGGTTGGGTGGTCATGGAGCAATCTGAAACGAGTTCGTCGCCTCTTCTCTCCCCCTCTTTTCAATGTCTCATCACACAAAATGAGCGGTTATCCAATTCCCCGGTTATCGCTCTGTGCAGGCTTGCCACCGCCTCCGCGCGGTCAGATCTTCCACAACTAACGATCCAACCTCCCACTATCTGTGGTGGCTGCTAGCTACCTACTCCTGCGCCGCCTCTGTTGTGTCACTTTGCATGGGTCCTATATCTAAAATGAAATAAGGAATCCCTCTCTATCAGGACACGTGCATAGAAATATTGTCAACTTCTGGATATGTTCCTAGCTATCCTCTTTTCATTCTCTGTGGGTTAATAACCCTTGGGAGACGTTTCAATATATACATCAATGTAGCAATGTCCAAGTTTCAGAAAGCGCACATTGGAAGGCGAGAATCAAAATATGGAATACTATATCACATTATCCATACTTCCATGTATCACATATCGATCTGTCTCAACATATCGACATATCAAGTAAAATGGGATCATTGTCTAATCAATCTTCAGGACACCTACATATGAAAGACCCCAGCTCTTCAGGAATGCCATTGGTCGCACTTTAATTTGGATATTCTGCTTTTCATTGATAGCGTGACATATTCACCCTCTCGTCATTCATTAGAGAAGACTCCATGCAGCTGCCATTGTTTCTCCCTCCACTGTGCCCACTAACTAACGGAAGGTATGCAGATGAATTTTGAGCTAGAATTCTTTGATGGGTTCCCTTATGGAGCACAAGTTCCAGACAGACCTAGTCGAGGAACTAATCACCATCCAGTTTTCAGATCAAATCAACTTATTTGATGTGTGAGAGAGACGTCCAGCCTGCCATGGAATGCACGGCCATTAACAGCAGGAAAATGCCATCCCTCTCAGGTTCTTGTCCACTGACAACTATCTGAGATGTCTAAGAAGCAATACCGTTCAGCTAATTTGCCCAATGGCCAGCCGAATACTCCCTGCTAATGGAAGCAATTAACCATCATCCCCTGAAGAGTTTCAAGGTCAATTTGTGTTCAGTCAGAGCCAGACACAGCAAATCTTAGAGGAAGTATGGAGGAAGTGTTAATGTAGTTGCAAGGCTCACCCTGAAACTGAGTATAATTAACAACTGGTTTCGAAATTCATGGTTGAAATATCACAGATGCCGTTCATGGCAGTACAGATTGCCCCTTTTACGCAACTATCAGAATACTCTCCTGGTTTGGTAGAATTAAACTACATGCGCAAATATGATTAACTGCTTCATTCTCCCCGCTGTACCCACATGGTTGATATTAAATCTATCTGGTTGGCTGTTAATAGTATCACTTCCATTTTCACCAATTTGCTTCATACCATTTGATTGAGAAGGCGACTTGTGAAAAGTGAGAGAAGGACATGAGTTGTTGGAAGACCTGGGCGTGTTTTCAGTTAGGAAAAAATGGTTGATTAGAAACTATTTTGTTAAGTAACTAACTCGTAGTTAGTTTTCCCATCCTGAGCCAACTAGTTAACTACGCCACACCCTAAGCCATTTTAGTTACTAGCATCAGACCGGCCTGCCTTTCCCATATTCAAAAATAAAACACCCACACATGTTCAAAACTTCATTTAACAAGATGACGTCTGTGTCTCGATGGGAAAATCTGCTACTCCGCCCGGCATTAGCGGGTGCGATAGATAAACCGCAGCCACTCACAACCATTCCCGTTTTCCTGTACGGCACTGCGTGGAAAAGGGAAAGGACGGAAGATTTGGTATACCAGGCGCTCTCCGCAGGGTTCAAGGGTGTTGACACGGCCGCGCAGCCAAAGCATTATCGGGAAGATCTAGTTGGTGCGGGGGTGCGGAGGGCGTTGGCGGAAAAGAAAGTGAAGAGGGAAGATATCTATGTGGGTCGATTTCATACCTCCCACCAACCTCCCGACTTTCCCCTTCTCAATTCATCATGAGCCAGGAGCCGTTAACAACATGGGCATGCTCACTTCAGATACAAACCAAATACACACCTATTGGAGGCCAAGACCCCAGCTCTGTGCCCTACGATCCCTCATCTTCGATAGCAGATCAGGTGCATTCTTCCGTCAAGTCGTCGCTGGCCAATCTACGTCCGCTGGATGATACAATTTCTGAACAGGATGCCTACCTTGATGCTCTGGTTTTGCACAGCCCGTTACCAACCACTGAGCAGACGCTAGAAGCCTGGGTAACACTAGAAGAATACGTACCTTATAAGATTCGGAACCTGGGGATATCGAACTGCGAACTCTCCGACCTAAAAGCCTTGTGCAGTACGACAAAGGTGAAACCAGCCATAGTCCAGAACCGATTCTTCCCGGGATCACAATTTGACATACCATTGCGCCAGTTCTGCCGGGAAAACTCGATCGTCTACCAGTCATTCTGGACGCTAACTGCAAACCCGACACTGGTATGGTCTACTGAAGTTGGCATTCTGAGCCAGCAGGCCTGCATCAGTCCACAGGCTGCGGTATATTGTCTAGTGCTTGGGTTGGGGAATACTGTTGTGCTCAACGGGACAAAGAATGAAGGTCGTATGCAGTCCGATCTGGCTGCTCCAAAGGCTGTGGAGGAGTTTGCGGCGAAATTCCCTGAGCAGTGGGATAAGATATTGAGAGGGTTTAAGAAGAATATTGGAGAGACGGCTGCAATGTGAGGGTTTGACCTCTAGTCACCAGTCACCAGTCACCAGCAATCAGTTCTTCTGCCATACGCCGTCCTTTTGGATACAAATTTGTTTGAAATTTGTCGCGAAAACGCAGCAATCCAACCTCTTCCTAGAACTAGGTGGAAGGTGCTTGGTTGAGAAATAGTCTTTCTTTTATGGATCTCCATTGTTCTGTGTGGGTGGGGCAGGATTGGAGTCCGCTTTGGATGCATGAAATCCCATCAAACTCGTATGTGACATAAAGTCTAGCTAGTCCGTCCTCCTTCGAATATATGTCGCGGCGCTAACAAATGGTAGATAACAGCTTAACCCCGGCGAGAGTTTAAAAAAATGAAAACAGTGACTTTTCTGTTGACAGACACAGTTTTACGATTTCCCTTAACCCTTTATACATTCTTGAATAATGATTTTTGGATGAATGTATCACTCCCTATGAGTGATTGTGAAACTAAACTGAATGTGGGAAAATTTCTGCTTGCCAAATATTCAGACATTGATTGATGTTTCTTTCTGGGCGGATTCAAAAAGAGAGGATTGTGGTGCGCTCTCATGCTAAAAGAACAAGAGAATCACTTGAAGACACAAGTAACTAATTATGTGTGTCGATCAAACTCTTTCTTCAGTTCAGTTGGAATGGAGGATACACTTTTTCTTTATTGGTTTAAGTGAGGGTTAACAACTTTAGTGTATAATTAAGACAGGGAGCCAGACATATTTCGCTATGACATGCTTCTATTCTTCTGGGTATTACAATATCTAGACACGGTCTCCCCAAATTGCCTGCCTCCTCTCCTCAATATAGACTATACCTTGGTATGGATATATAATAGATGCCATTCCCCTTGTCCTTCCTCCACCCTAACCCTCTCCAGCCCTCATAGAGAGCACACCAACAACCTAGCAGCCTACCACCAAACACTACGTAGAAGGTTGGTTCTTCCTTGTGGTCAACCGGAACCCGGAGTAAGTTTCCCCGTTAGGTATCCAGTCTTGGCGTGTTTGCTCTGTTTATCCTCATCCGGGCCACACAGAGTTCGATATCGCCCAAACAGGAAGGAGGCAGACGGGTGCACAAATTTGACAGTCATAAGTTGGTTAAGTTGTTCGCCCAAAGAAGCAACAGCGCCCCCAGAGATTATCTTCAACGATATCTTTTAACGATCTTCAGCCTCCACCCTCGCTCTCAACCTTAACCTCATCTTCAACCTTAATCTTCTCCCTTCTCTTTTCTCCCTTCGATATCTACTCCCCGTGTCCACTTAGGCGCTATCTGATGTAACATAATCCCTTCATACCTGTTCTCCTTCCTCCTCGTCCGCAATTCAGAACTGGGCTAGTGACTTCATAATCAAGATATCCCCGCTACCCATTTCCCCCCCCCCCCCCCCCCTCTCTACTCACCACTCGCCAGAACCTGCCAAGACGATTGATTTCCTCCCGGCGTTTTAACTGATTGAATTGCGGTCGCCTTGCTCATATCGAACTGCAGCCTGTGGAGCATTCGTCCTATTGCCAGACAGTTACCCGGAAACTGTACCCGAATCACCAAAACTCCTCAATCCCGTTCGTCCATTGTTGATCCTCAAGAGATCTCTCCACCTTCCCGCGGATATATTTCCGATATCACAGTACTCCTTGTGAACCTCGTATTCAAGTATTTCCCATTGGTCCTAGTCGTAATCCATTGATACTTCTCCTCCCTTCCGTAAAACCCGGCTGCCTTCAGAGAATCACAAGTCTTTCCTTTTTTATGTTGGCCATGACGTCGCCTGGTGTCTCTCGTAAGAGACCCGCACCCGGCACATCTCCCATCATCCGCCAGCAGATAGCCCCAGCTGCAGACACTCAACTTTCCAATGATCAATTCCTGCAATGGGGTCTGTCTGTCCCCGCTCATCCAGACTCCTCTGCTCCCCTCGACGGCTCGCCGCAATATCCCATAGCGCCGCATCCCGTCGACGTCGACTCCATGCAACATTCGAATCAACTCACGCGGAGGACCGGTCACCAACTCATCAGCAGAACCCGATTACAGGATCAAAACATGACCCCACTGATTGACCAGGGTAGATTAATATCGGACGACAGGGGTGACCCCACATTGGCGGAAACAGAGGCTGAGCTGGAGCAACGAGCGCTTATGGCAAAGAAGGACGCCCAAGCGAAGAGAAAACAGATCCCACCGTTTGTGCAAAAATTGAGCAGGTATGATTTCCCTCATTTGACCTGTTGATTTTCATACATACCGAGATATATATTTCCGTACGTGTTTGAGTGAACTCAACACAAATCAACTCGTCCAATGTCCTAATATCTAATGATACCTCCCCTTAAAATAGTTTTCTTGATGAGTCAAAGAACACCGATTTGATACGATGGTCTGATGACGGAAATTCATTCATCGTCTTGGACGAAGACGAATTTGCCAAAACTTTAATTCCAGAGCTTTTCAAGCATAACAACTATGCCTCGTTTGTCCGACAACTGAATATGTATGGTTTCCATAAGAAAGTTGGCCTATCCGATAACTCGATGCGGGCTAGCGAACGCAAGAATAAGAGTCCCAGCGAATATTCAAATCCTTACTTCAAACGCGGTCATCCAGACCTTCTCTGGCTCATTCAGAAACCCAAGAACGTAACCGGACAAGGCCGAGGAGCCGCCAAAGGTGGATCACGTACAAAGACAGAAGTTGACGGAGAGGATGGAGAAAATGAGGATTTTGGAGACGAAGGAGGCGGCACCCCGCATGAAAGATCAAAATTCCGTGGCCAACTCTCTATCGGAGCTGCAGAGGGAACGCTGGGAGGTGATCAGCTGGCGAATGTGTACCGCGAACTTCAGAACATTCGTCAACAGCAGCAAATAATTTCTTCAACTATTAGCAAATTGCGGCGAGAGCATGAACAGCTCTATGGACAAGCAGCGACCTTCCAGGAGCAACATACTCGTCACGAAAATTCTATCAATGCCATCCTCACATTCCTAGCCACGGTATACAACCGAAGCTTACAAGGCCACGAAGGGGTTCAGGGGATTGTCAATTCGTTTGCTGGAGCCATACCCCAAGATAATAGTCAGGGGAATATTGTCAACATGGACAATTATATCGGAAATATCAATTCAGATCATTCTGCTCAGCGTCCTTTCAAGAAACAACCTTTGCTGCTGAAGGCTCCTCCTGTTATTGGTCCAGACGGACAGCCAATACAGCCAAACAAGTTGAGCCTATCTCCTGCGGGCAGCCACTATGATTTGTCCCAAGATCATAGACGGCTATCTGATCAAACTAGTGTAACATCCACGAATATTGAAGAGCTCTATGAGAGCCCGCATAACTCTGTTTCCCAGCCACAAGTCTCACACCAACAACAGCAACATGCAGTGCAAAACCAACGGAGACGGTCGCCTCAAACTGTAGAGGACCAATCTACTTCCAACCTCCCCCAGAAAGACATCATGTCCGTTATACAGAATTCCAATGCGAGGGATAATCTACCTGCCAATCTTTCTGATTTCCCAAGAATTCTCTCCTCGTTTGAGACGTCGGATGGTAATTCTCCTCTTACGGCGTCCCAGCGAGCCGATATGCTACGCCTCATTGCGAACCAGAACCATGTGTCGGATCCGACCAGCTCGGCTTCAAACAGTGCTCTAATCTCCCCAACCCCGCCTCCCATGCCCGCTAGCTACCCCACCCGCCTTGCCAATACGCGAGCGGAGATCGACAATCTTGTAAAAATGCAAGCTGAACAAGACCGCTCCGTCCAGAACCTCACAAACCTACTACAACCCTTAAGCCCCACCGGGTCAATCCCCGGGCTTGGCCCTAACAACCTGACCACTAGCGTCCCACCTCCTCTGGATCTGGACCAAATTTTCAATAGCGGGGACTACTTTTCAGACTTTGCAGATATGGAGAAGGGTGGGGGGGATATTTCTGGATTCAATCATGATCTTCAAACCGGACCGGGAAAAGAACTTGACTTTAAAAGCGACAGCAGCAATCACAACGGCAACAGCACAGTAGCAAATGATATCCACGCCAGTGATCTCTTTGATTTCGATGGTCTCCCTTCCACTACGACTAGCGATCCATTTCGTTCTTTGAATGCTCCAGTTGACGCACACTCAGTTCCCGGTTATTTTGAGGGACATACAGGGTTAAACAGCGACAGCAGCAATCTTGAAAATACAGGGCCAGATGATAGATTAAGCTCTATCACTTTCGGAAGTGGAAGAAGAGAATCAGACGGGGCTCGCATCACAGAGGCGTTTTCGAGTAGTGAATGTCCTAGCCCAGCAACCACAAGTGTTGATGAGAATTTACAAGGGATTGATGATGGGAATTGTGCTAGTGCTGGGGCAAACCCTTCGAACAAGAGGCGCAGAAGAAACAGGTAGACGTGTTGCAATATTGACGGTGTGAGCCGCAGATGTATTATCTACGAGAAATCATATTGACTTGCTTCTTTTGACCTTTTGCATGTGATGGCTTTCTTTTTATTTACTCTTTCTTTTTTAGACTTATCGTTTTTCTTTTCCCTTCCCGGACTTTGGGGAGGCTATGTGTTGGCTGAAAGTGTACCAGCGGCTTGCTTTCGCGATCATGTTCTTTACTTAAGCTCTGAACGAAAGCAAGAGCATCTTCTGTATCATACTGGTTTGGGGTAAGAGATCGTGTGAAGCTGGGTTTTTAGGAGATCAGCTAATTGGCATTTCATGGACTCTGTTCATGTACTGACAGAAAGTTTTCCTTGTCTGTCTGTGTATATTTACCTTCTCGATCTCAATCCATACATCTATCTACAACTACGGTTCTTGGACTATCTGTCTTCTGCTATTGCGACTTTTTCTTACTTCGTTTTTGCGGTTCGTTTTCGTATCTTGAACCCCTAAACCACTCAGCCCCCTTATTCTGTGTGGCTTTCATTCACCCGACTCCTTACGCGATCTTTTCTTGCAATTAACACCCATCGCAACTTTACAACAGCAATCCGTTACCACCCCGACCACCTCATCACCTTACACCGTGCAAGCCAGCCTGACACTCCACCGTGGCACTTGGCCTTTCGCCCATTCACTCGTCTCGCTCATGTTGTTGAGGTTGCACTCTCGCTTAGTGTTAGGGGTATAAATTCTCCATTTCACCCTTTTCTCCCTACGTCTCTCTTACATCCTTCTCACACACTTCACCAAGTTTGGATAGAATATCTTGGATACTCCTTTCTCTGCCCATTCCTAAGTCATCTCCTTTGGATTCCTTCTTCTTCTTCTTCTTCTTCTTCTTCTTCTCTATTTAACCCCATTTTGGTTTGCCACCTTGCTGGTATATCTCGTCTTGCCTTTATATTAGCCGACCCCTTTTCACCTCCTACAACAAAAACCTTTCGTGTCAACAACGCAGCAACTACAGAAACAGGCATACAGCCAACAAAGATACCTCTTCTAGGTATCGTTTCTTTTTCACCCCTACTTCCCGCCGTTTTTCTCTTCTTGGGTGCCAGGCAACATTTCTCGTTTTATCCTCTATTTTTCCTTTCTCCCAAATACCACCGCCCGCCACTTATATCTTGGAACTTCATCGTTTCGATCTTCTATATTCCCCAGCCACCTGTCCCCAATAACGTGTTTCCGGCTGACGCGGATGCTCGTTATTTAGGGTTCAGTCAATTAGTTTTCCTTTTGCACCACCCTTATCCTTTCCACCCTTTCTCTGAATATATATACATAGTTATATGTATATATATTGCAGATGCTTTCCCCTATCGCACATACCAAATTTATACACTCCATCTTCCAAAAGGGAAAAAAACAAAAACAAAAAAAAAAAAAAAAAAAAAAAAAAAAAAAACTATCCTCCTGCGTAACCGCGGTCAGGATCAACCCAAATAGCAGAATGATGACGTCGCAGAAAACGGCTACCTGTTGATATCTAAGATACCCGGGGGTACACCTGTCCTGGCAATACTTCCTGCCACTACAAAGGTTATGGGCAGTTGCAGCTAGATGAACCGTCTGAGGCTATATCCCCTTGTTCCCCGTTTTCCTCGAGACAAAACAGACGCACAGAATTCACTTTACCTACTGTTCGTGCAGCTTGTCTCCCTCAGCCAGCCAGACACGAAATGTCTCTTCCTCCCTTCCCTTCCCTTATCCTTTGGTCGGGAGAGTACATAGGGTATGCTTCTCAAGCACACGTGCATCGGCTTTTACCTTTATACTGCATTGCCAGTGCCCAAATACACTCTCTCACTTCATCCTCTTCTTCCGTTGAAGTCCGGAAGTCTGAGTGTATGTTCTTATGATGACACCATCAACCCCAGCAGAACTCGTAAGATTCGAATTCGTTACACCGAGTTTCGATCTCTCGATGCATTGGACTGGTTAGCTGCACTGAGGAATAGGCTTTTCAGTCTTCTCAACGGAGTAATTGCTTTCGGCCTTGGTTTCTTCCTGCAATTTTTCAGAACCATTCTTCTCAGTTCTCCAGCATCCTACCCAGACATCCGCGGCAATTTTGGATTTACTTTTATCCATATGTTGGAACCGAATAAGTTAATAAAAAGCCCATTGACTCCAAAATAATAATAATAATAATAATAAAAGAACAAAACACCCTCGATCGTGCGCTGAATCAATGTTTTTATTTAATGTAATTTTATGCAATAAATTATCTATCGTTTTATTTCGTAGATGGTCTCCTAACCCATCTGTTTCTGTCTAACTATCACACATCGTTGCGTCAAATCAATTCCCACCTAGATGAGCTATATGGAGCATCATTAATATACTCACTTGCGTCCAACGCCCATATTCCCCACAGCCAGTCCCACTCGTTCAATTTAAAATTGGAAACAAAAATCTTAGAAAGATATTCACTCCTCAACACCAGCTCCTTCCACTCTATCCACTATAAACTTAAAAACTTGCTCCTTATGCGCATTAAGCATTTCATTGAGCCCCCGGTTAGGTGAGCGGATCAGACGGCCATGCCGTTTCGAGAACTTGCGACTGTTTTCCGGCCCGGACCAGACACTGTGCAGGTGCGAGACGAAGACCATGGAGTTCTATATATGTGTGAAATAAGTGGGTGGTTAGTAAGGTTGACACAAGAAGCACCCGAGAAGTGGAAGGTCTAGGCGTAGATATAAAAGGTAAATGCAGACATACATCTTTATACCATTTCGACAACCAGGTGGTGGTGTTGCTCGAGACAGCGCGGACGGGGTTTTCAGCCACGAATGAGATGACACCATTAACGCGTTCGTGAACTCGTTCTGATTACGGTGAAGAGCTGCTGTTAGTACCTTTACGCTTCGTAGGGCCCAGGGGTTTGTCCGACCCTGCCCTCTGGATGTAAGCGCATACCTGTATTCACTAAGAGGTTTGTTAGACCATAATATGCATCACCTACCCCAAGGAAAAAGATGCTTGTTGCGTCGTTGGGTCTGTTTGATTGATTATAGATGTCAATTTCCGTAAGAAGAGAGGCGCAATGAGAGGAGGGGGAAATAAATACGCACTCGATATAATTCTCCCAAAGATACGTAGCAAGTTGGTCACTCATCTGCATTCGTGTGGGGGTCTCATCTTGGTACGTGTTCGATTTCTATTGGGTCACAAAAACAAAATGGAGTCAGAAAATGCCGTTTATTGAACACGTTCCAAAAAAAAAAAGGGGGGTAATTTTCTGCTCACCTTAGATGAAGTAATGTGTTTGGGAATGTTGACATCAATGACGCCAAAATTGTTCTGAATGGCCCATGAGACATAGTCCTTGATGACATCAGCCTTTCGTTCATGTTAGCCATTCCCATGACGTGGGGTAAGATGTTGTTTAGTTAAAGGACGTACAAGCCAGCAGTTATGTGGTTCCAATATGTTGGTGACAGGGTGTGGAATGCCCATGAGTTCAGGGCTGAAGGAATATAGGAAGATGCATGTTAGTTTGGATGGGACTTATATGGAAAGCTTATGGAATAATAATAAACGATTGACGCACGGGTCGTGAAAGATCACTAGAAGTGGATTTTCTTTGTCGTAATTTTGGCTACAATAATAAGTCTCTCGTTAGTTGGAGGACGAAATGGTGACTTTTACAGACGTAAACGTTATAGTTACCTCGCGAGCACTTGATTCTCAAATGATTTCGAGATTGTGTCTCGATATATGTAAAGATTTGTGAGCTTGCAATCGTCGTAAAGCTGTTTCGCTTGGTATTGCCGTATGATATCTGCAGGAACGATAAGCACAAGTTTCCTCTGAGCCAAGTTAGAAGCCAAAAATTGCCTTACCATGCATCCTATTGCCCTGGAATATCTCCGGAGGGCCTGTACAACAGCGGATGTAAGTAGCAGCTTCATATGGGAAATATAGTTGCCTCGGTAAATACCTTTCGGATAAATGCTTTTCCAATACGCTGACTGAATCATTGCGACTCTTTTTACGGTGTGCACTGCAGGTCTCGATGCAGATGCCGAATAAAGACGGTCGGGCGGTTCACCCATCAACGTCCTCGTTACAGCAAGCGCAGACTTGGATATTGATCTAAAATTATACCCTCCCTGAAGTACGGATGGTTAACTAGGCGTCATTGGTATTTTTCAGCTATTCAAGGATAGAACCTACCTCTAGGCAAACTGCCACTTTACCACCAGCCAAATTCATAAGCATACGGGTCATATGGGCATAGCAAGGAGGGGTTACAAAGCATCCTCCTAATTCGTCACCGGCAGCCGCATCGAAACCAGCAGATACTAGCATTATAGATTAGTGGATAAGAATACAAACGCCTGTCGGGGAGATAAAACGCACTGATAACTAGATCTGGATCGAATTCATAGGCTATGGGCATTATCACTTCCTGGAAGGCATACATGTAATCGCCATCACCCATCCCTTGTGTTGGCCAGGGAATATTGATATTCCTGGAAGATGTGAGCTAACGGAGACAAGAGCAGTGAAGCGTTGATTACCAGAATGGGGCAACTTACTTTCCTAATCCGTTCCCTTCACCACAGTGGTCCCAGTTACCTTCGTCACCACCGGGATAAAAGGAGCCATCCCTATACACATGAAGAGAGATATAAAGGATGTTCGGATCATCATAGAAAGCTTTTTGAATGCCGTTTCCTGCATATATGTGAGATGGAGAAGACGGTAAAACTCTCGAAGTACGGATTACTAATTACCATGATGTACGTCCCTGTTATCAAACGTCAGTCTGCATAAAACTCCCACCACTTTTGCTTTGAGCCAACATGAAACAGATTGATACCAGAACAAGACAAACATAACATACCAATCCAGAATCAATATCTTCCGACACTTTTCTCCGAACTCTCTCTGGCATACCCTGGCCGCAACGCAAACATTATTAAACAAACAAAAACCCATGGTTTTGTTATGTTCAGCGTGATGGCCCGGCGGCCTGATTACCGCAATGGCATTCTTCACCTGGCGATCCACGACGGCCTTACACGTCTCAATGGCACCACCACACGAGAGTATGGCAGATGTGAATGTGAGGGAATTGAAATAGATCGAATCCCGCGTGTGTTCAAGCGCGATCAAATCATCCTCGGACATATCTGTAAAAATTTCAAACATAGTTAGGGTTAGCCATTCGTTTTCAACGGTAACATATTTATACACTCATTTTTATTTCATGTGGCAAGAAAAGCAATATATATTACTATTATTAATAAAAAAAAAATGTAAAAATTTAAAAAACAAACACGCAGGAATGAAAATAGCAATAGTAACCCCACCTTTCGTGCTTTTAACAAAAGCATAATGTTCCGGATCATGCACCAACGCTATCTCTTCCTCAGTAGCATCTCTTGCCAATATTCGGTGTAGCGGCAGGGAGACGAGCGGTTTTGAAGACTCGGGATCCTCAACCAGCCCTGCCTTGCAAAGCTCCTTGTAAATGTAATAAATTCGCCGTGGATCTTCCGGATGGACGTCCAAAGTCGGCTTGACTTCGCAGTGATAACGCATGCGAATATCATAGCATAGACCTGTGGGAAGAGACGCAAGGGGCAAACCCTTGTTCTCTTCGGCCATGTCATTGGGCCAATCGGAATCTTCTTCGACCAGGCTGTCCTCGTCTGTGTTAGACTTGGATTCCTCTGGTGATATCCTTTCCGGGGTGGAAACTGTAGCATGGTCCTGTGGGGAATCGGCGTCTTTGGAAAGATTTATAGAAATAGGGAGCTTCTCTCGGAATGACTGGATTAATGATGGTGTTTCATCGGGAACTGCGGCTGTTGTTATACCATTTAATTCCAGAGGACTGGGAGGTTTCTCCGGAGTAGTACTCGAAGGACGACCGGGGCCAATGGGAATCATGGTAGGCGGAGCCATGCCGGCCATGACGACATCCTCATCTTCTTCCATGGTTGACATATGAAAAGTAAAGCTTTCCGAATCCTGATTCCGGCGTTAAATGGTATGGCAGGATAGCAGAAGCAGGGCTCAGCAGAGCATAATTCAAATCTCGATTTGAAGCCCGCGGAATTAAACCATCAAAACACCGCAGATGATACTGACGAACAGAAGGGATATCAATACAAGAGAGAAAACGAAACCCGCTAATGACGACCCCAAAGAATAAAACAGCAATTAACAAAGGGGCAATAAAAATTAAAAAGACAAAAAATTTAAAAAATTTAAAATAATAATAAAAAAAAAAAAAAAAAAAAAAAACCCTTTCCCTCCTGAGGTTGATGCTGTGTCAGATCCTAAACACAGGGCAATAGGCCTCAAACAAATCAGAAAGAATAATTAGCAAATACAAAGATATCTTTTCAAAGAAAAGGACAAGGAAGGAATTGTGTCAAGCGTTACAAATCAGGGATATAAATCAATCACGTCTGCAGAGGCGCGGGTGGGATATACACCTGAGAACGAGGTAAATAATAACTACCTAAAAGTAAGTTACTCTGAGGGAGATGAGATGTTGATGAATGCAATGCAAGGGGGCAACCGACTCCTCCGCGTTTTTCCAATTGAAGATGAACGGCCTTTTTCCTCAAAGGCCAATTCTCAGCTGGTTGAATGAGTTGGCGGTTGAGAATATTGAGAGACTTGGGGGGTTTGTTGTCTGTAAATCGGTTGTTCGCTGCCTGTGGCTGAGTTGCGAACCCACAAAAGGCGGAGAGGGAAAGTCGAAGTGCTTCGGTGCTGGGAAAATATTGTTCCGCGAAGGGACCACGTGACATGATGATTGGCGAGTTGAAAGGAACTGGCTGGTTGGAAGGTACCCTAACGGTTTAGTTAATGATGGTAAGTTAAATATAACTTACCTAACTACGGAGTAACTAGTTAACTAACTAGTTAACTATAACTAACTAACTAGTTAGAGGGAATTATAACTAGCTAGATATGATGATATCGGTTCGGGGCATGTACGGAATGGCTAATAAAAGAAAGAAGAATTTTAATCATCTGATAAATGGAACTTAGAGGGGCTCTTTAGTCGAAGTCCCTGGTAACTTTCCACTCCTACGCCCGGATATGAACAAGATCCGTGTTCATTCGCCCGATTATTATCTCGGCATCTAAAACTATATAAACTACTTCGGGAGCTGTAACTAGTTTAGTTAAATCTACGCCAATGGCAATGCAACTTTGTTTTGGGGCACCAATGTATTCTAAACACCAAGAGCAGATAAGGTCAGATCAGATAAAGGGAATCTTCGGGAACTTTTCTCCATACACTGGCACATTTTTAGCTATTATCCCTGAGATCATCCCTTATCCAGTTCTACCTCCTCATTCCTTGTTATCTCCCGCGCTTTTATTTTTTAACCACTACTAGTAATTGTTATGCTGATACCAACAAGTAAGCAATCGAAAATAAGAAAAATGAAGCGCTCTTTTTCCCATTTCACACGACCACCTTTTCTCTTTCTACTGCACAGACTTCCAGATGGAGAAGCGGATCTGAGGAAAGGGACGAATATTTTGATTCTTTTTAAATTTGTTTTTGGGGGAGGGGGTGAACTGTGAGGCAGGCGATTACATAATTTATATAAGAGGCGCGGGCAGATATTAAGGAGAATGCAAAGAGTTCAAATGTTGATCTGTGTCTGAGTCTGTTTTGAGAGTGATTGATCCATTATCGTTCCTGATCAAAAGGATGGCTTAGAGAACGCATCTCTCCCCGCTGCTCGCTGCTGATTGCTATTTGCCAGCGTCGACCTTGGCGATGTAGGCTGGAATAGGAAAGGAGTTAGATTTCCCTTGATAATCCTTTTGAAAGAGGTAGTTTGGAGTAGAATTTTTTTTTAAAAAAAAAAAAATAAATAAATAAAAAGAAAAGAAAAGAAAAGAAAAAGAAAAATCTTACCGATAAGGTCAAGAACACGGCGGGAGTAGCCCCATTCGTTGTCATACCACGAGATAAGCTTGACGAAACGGTCATTCAGGGCAATGCCGGCAGAGGCATCGAAGATGGAGGAGCGAGGGTCACCGTTCAAGTCGGTGGAGACGAGAGCATCCTCGGAATAGCCGAGAATGCCTGGAAGATAGATTAGCTAGGTATACTCACACACAATTTACCGCGAAGAGATTACATTGTTGTGACTACATACCCTTAAGCTCGCCTTCGGAGGCAGCTTTGACGGCGGCCTTGATTTGGTCGTATGTAACGGGCTTCTCAGTGCGGCAGGTGAGATCAACAACGGACACGTTGGCAGTGGGCACCCGCATGGCCATGCCAGTGAGCTTGCCGTTGAGAGCTGGGATGACCTTTCCTACAGCCTTGGCGGCGCCAGTGCTGCTGGGGATGATGTTCTGAGCCGCAGTGCGGCCACCACGCCAGTCCTTGTGGGAAGGGCCATCGACGGTCTTCTGGGTGGCGGTATAGGAGTGGATGGTGGTCATGAGTCCCTCAGCAATACCGAAGTTGTCGTGGATGACCTTGGCGAGTGGAGCGAGGCAGTTGGTGGTGCAAGAGGCGTTGGAGAGGACGGAGATGTCGGGCCGGTAACTCTTCTCGTTGACACCCATGACGAACATGGGGGCATCAGCGGATGGGGCGGAGATGATGACCTTTTTGGCGCCACCAGACAAATGGGCCTTGGCCTTTTCAGTGGTGGTGAAGACGCCAGTGGACTCGACGACATAGTCGACGCCGTGCTTGCCCCAGGGGATGTTGGTGGGGTCCCTTTCCTGATAGAAGTGGATGGTCTTATTGTTGACGGTCAGGTTGTTACCGCCGCTGTGCTCGATATCGCCTTTGAATTGGCCATGTGTGGAGTCATACTTGAGCATATACGCCTATGGTTGATTTAATTTGAATCAGTTTCTAGTCAGAGAGGTTGTGGCCATTTCTACTTTATCAATTGCCTGAAGAATTAGGCGTCACGTACAGCATAATTGGTTTCAATAAAGGGGTCGTTCACGGCAACGATCTCGACATCATCGTGCTCAACACTTACGGATATCATCAGCGAAAACAGAAACAACGTATTCTAGCAAAACCACGAATTGATAGAACTCACGCATTTCGGAAGACCTTGAATATACAGTTAGCAAACCAGGAAGATTGATCGAAACTGGGTTGAGTTGAGGTGGGAGGTTAACACATACGATGCGACCGATGCGACCGAAGCCGTTGATTCCAACCTTAGAGATAGGAGAATTAGATTTCAACTTCAGCACCGCAGGTAGACAGGTGTGCAGAAATAGCACCATATACATACCTTGACGACCATGATAGCTGTTGCTTGTTTGGTTATATGGTTGGTTGTTGTTTATTTTGGGGTTGGATTGGCTAAAAACAGATGCGGGGGGCAGAAAATGTCAGTCAGCGAAGCTGCTGGAAGAAACGACTAGCGGAGGTTTAGGGAGGTTAGGGTTAGCTAGCCCAGGCAATGAGACGGATGCCCTGGGAGCAGCTCAAGAAGTAGCAAGTAGCAACGGGTCAACAAGAGGAGAACAGGGATGGACTCACAAATACGAAAGGTGACAATGGTAAGAAGGTTGCTGAGAGATTTAGGAGAGAGGTTTTGAAGTGGAAAAGAAGAGAGAAGAAAATCAAAAGCGAAGCGGGGGGGAGGGGAAGGGGTTGGGAGGTTGGGAGGTGGGGAAGGGAAAGAAAACAAGGTGGGATGGGCCCGAGTTTAATTATATATTTATTACTCTACGGGACTTACTGGCAAATTGCTGCTTAAGAACTGTCGAAGGGAGGCAAAGAGCAACCCGGGGGTTGGACTTCGTCATAGGGAGGGGCTGTGCTTGACGCAATGACTCGGGAAGCAATTGGGTGGGTGTAACTAAAACATGCATGCCATAACATGTATATAACTTATAATACTATCCTGGTGTCTATTCCTCTATTCTGTCTCTATATGTAATGTCTCATAGTACGGATGGGTCTATATCTTTTTACAATACATACGGTATCTCAGTTAAATAATATAGTTGTCATATATTTCAAACTTCTTCCCCTCACCAAACAGTGTCCATGTTCTTCTATCCCATTCCAGGGATTCCACAGTATCCTCTCCCACCAGCCCCCAGCCAATAAGAAGTGACAGAGCAGGAGATCAACTGGAAGGTTCTGTCTGTCCTTTTGGCCCAGTCTCCCCGATCTTGCCGAGCCGCCCGGCTTTGTCCCAATCTCCCCTCTACGACGGACTTTGGCTTGCCTTGAAGTTCCCGCACAACACCCGCCTTGTAGTATTTATTGGACTTTGGTGTTATGTATGTCCCGAAGATGAATAGCAGTGGATATTTTAGTATATTCTCGGTGAGCTATGAGCTAGAATTAGGAGTGGGCTGGAGGATATGAGGGGGAAAAGAAATAGTTAGCTAACAACGGGAGTCTCTAAACTAATTAATTGACTGGTTAATTAGAAGTTAGTTATAATCTAGCATTTCCTTTGCAATTATCTATCGAGAATTACTCGTGTTTACCGATCGGCCCTCGTTGCTCGTCAGTTACCGCATATCGTGGCTACAACAGCAGACCCAGTCTGCTGTTTGTTGTTGTTGTTGTTGTTGTTGTTGTTGTTGTTGTTGTTGTTGTTGTTGTTGTTGTTGTTGTTGTTGTTATTGTTACCTTGAACAGACAGCATTTTCGCCGAATTACCCTGTTTGGAAGGTTTGTGGTTGTTAAGTGGGAACCCGCGGCTAGTTGCCCTAATCACGTGCCCCGCCATCTAGATTTCGGCTCCTCGTAGTTAGCCCAGTTAGATCAAACCCATTGGATGACTGACTTACGTAATCCCCCACGAGAAAGGTCCCAAAGGTTCCCACTGTTCCCACGGTTGGGCCTTCCCAACCTAAGTCAAACGTTCCTCCCAGTCCGGATAAAGTTCACTGGACTCGCAGAAACCATTTCTCCGTCTCCTTCCACTTTAATCTTCTCACCGAACATCTGAAAGAAGGGATTGATTGAGGCTGCAAGGATAGGCAAGGCGGTGTGATGTGGCTGTTGATTCTCCACGAGAGCATTGGATCGATCCAGTTTCTTGTAATTAGATATCTTGCCCCAACCCTGCTGAGCAACCTTCTGGGGGGGGAAATATATATAAAATAAATAAAATAAAATAAAAATAAAAAAACTGGAAAATTCGACGGCGGGTCCAAGTTGCAGTCCGGAATGTTCTGTTTCAGTCTCACATCTTTATTCCTATTGGACAGAACGGAATGAAATATCGGGGTAATAATTTCATGTGCCCCCTTCTATCTGATTTTCTAGAGTAGTAATGTGGTGAACTAAGACATCCCATGAATAAAAAGAGGCAAAAAATAAATACGAAAAGAAAAAGAAAAAGAAAAAGAAAAAACGTAAAAAAACGTATGCTGTTCGGTATACATGTCGCATCAGAGAGATATATACCCATGAATTGCCTTTTTGAAGAGGGGCTGTGGTCTGTGGTCACTCCGGTCGGTAAGATTGTAAGTCTATCGTTTTAAGAACTTCAGTCCCCATAAAACACCCATCCCGACAGGAAGACAAGACGGAAGAGAAAGGAGGCTACACTCTCTTATCCGTAAATTATTCCGCAACCCCCCGTTCGCGCGTTCACTTCATATGTATTCTAATGGACACTTCTTCCCTCCCTCCCAACCTTTTTTGTCCTCCACCAATCAGTTCCTCCTACTCCTCCTTCGCGCCCCCTCTCCAGGACTTCTCCGCTGACTCTACACTGGCCTTGTCCTTCTTAACCTCGCCCTGAGCCATCCCCATAAACCCACCCCCAGCCTTCCACGGCCTCTCCAGGTCGCCCTTAGCCTGTTGGCCAAACACATGCACCTTGATCAGGTTGCCCTCCAGCGCAGACTTGACGGGGATAATCGACTGGATCAGGAGCGGGTTTGTGTACTTGAAGTACAGGTGCATGACACACATCATGCCGACGCCCATCAGCTGGGACTTGAGTAGGCTGCGGAGTTGCTGCTTGTCATAATCCTGGACCGTTGTGATGACCGGCCGCGGTTCTTCTTGCGATCCCATCGGAGCGGGCTCAACGTATTTGAGGGTTTTTAGGTCTGGAGGAAATAATTCGGTTAGATATTGAATATATGACAGGACAGATGATAGGGATGGGTGGGCGCGGGAGATTAGGAACCTTTCTTCTTGTTTATTTGTGATCGCACGTACATGTACAGGCACAGGATGAAGATGTTGGACGCGATGTACATGGTGCGCACACTCAAAAGTACGTTGGGATCGTCAAAGGGAATTTTCTTCGACACCTGCATCATCACAAGGATGATCACCAGGTTTGTTCTATATGCAACGGAAACGTATTAGCCATGACATGTTGCTTGCATTTCTTTTCTTTTTCTTTTTCTTTTTTTTCTTCTCCTCCTCCTCCTCCTCCTTATCTTTCTTCTCCTTCCCTTCTCTTCCCTTTCTCGTCTCCATGGGAGCAATAACGTTATCACCCAGCTGAAAGACTGGCTTACATTTGCGGACTGAGAGCCATGTTGACTGGGCAGAGAGCAGCAGGTGTGTAGTTGATCCCGGAAGGGGATAAAGGAGAGATGTTGGGGATCTTGATAATGCTGTTCGTCGTCGTTATCGTCGCGATATTCCAATATTTTTTATTTTGTCTTTGGCAGCTAGCTGCCTTCGGACTTTGAAGAAGCGACAGCTGGCCCCAAGAGGAAGTCAGATCACGTGATATGGCCCGAGGCTCCGGCGTTGGCCCGAGCTTTTCCGACGAACCACCAAAGAATAATTACTACACGGAGTTATTCATTAAGATGATGCGTGTGCAGTGTGCTGACGAGCAACAACAAGCCTGGTTGTGCATGTCTCTATCTTCTCTCTGCCCAGATTAACTACGTATCGATGCAGTGGTTATACTCCATGCCATATCCAGTTCCTGGCAAAATGCCAGCACATCACCAGATGTGCTTTCTTTTAAAAACAGCACAAATACCCGAAGACGCAGGCATCCATTCCAAGATCCCAAAATCCCAAGAGTCTTTCGAAGATAGCTGCTTATATACCTCCCTTTCTGGAGATTGATTGGTAGCTCCTAGTTTTGGCGTCGGAAAACTGCGTATTACAAGGCCTGCATTCACGGATGGTTATTTGGACACATCGGGAAAGATATATCTGATTATTTAGATTTATCTTGCATTGGCATGGTGTGTACATCCTTACTGGCGTGCAGAGATATCCAATGAATTACAATACACTCAGACCCTTGCAAAAGCTGGATTCCATGGCAGCATCCGGAGACGTGGGCGGCGAAAAACTTCCAAGGATTAGGACCCTGCCACTGGGAGTGCCGCTGCATCTGAAAGACAGACCTGCGCATTATAATGGGTTTCATAGCGGCAACAGTCTGGGAACACCGTTCCTGGAAGCACTGACCTGCTTAGTCCCCTCATCAGTCCAAGACCCACCTCAACACGAATTGTTAGATACCCAGCAAGTTCATGCTGCAATAGATTTCTTTTTGCCAAGTGGCTCCCATCAATGACAGGTCTTCAATGCAAACTCCTTGATATCCCAAGCAAAATGATTTGATTCCAGACTCCAACTCCTTACTCTGTCTGAATATAATCAATTCAAATACCTAGCCGATAACAAACATCATGATTATTTCAAGGTATGTAACATGTAACGCAGTATTGGACTCTACCAGCATGCTGTATCTCCCAGAGTTCCCTTCCGTTTCCTTCCCAGTTCTCGCACCACATGATCGTTCTCTCACGGTCCATCTAACGATCATCTAACGATCGTCTAACTATCACCTCTCTTACTTCAGCCCATCCACATTATTTCAGCAGCCATCGCCAATGTCAACCCCAGCATCGATATTACCAGCGCACCATCAAGAACCCCATGTTTGTGTCCCTGTGCAATCTCCACCCTCTTCCTCATTTTGGCCATTGTCGACTGCCATTCCAAAACAGCACGGGCAAAACGACATGATGATCAGGTCCACCGAAATGAGTTCTTCGCAATCCACGCCATCCAAACATGGTCGGACATAGGATTCGCCCCGGTGTCTGCAGAAGTCGTAGATCTCAGTGATGTCTTCACACATTTTGGTTTATTTTTGGTTGGTTCTCGTGTTTTCAGGATTGGCAATTCCGCTTTCCTTGCGGACGCGCTGTTCAGGTGGGAATTGTGTAATATGGAATGGTATTAGTATAGTGTCGCTGGTTGATGTTGATGATATTGTCTCTGTTGAAAGGGAAATGAGTGGGAGCTTTCGGGCATGTGAGAGAGATTATTTTGTGAATATAATTCTCTCATCCAAAGCGTAAAGGAGATACATATTATATTTATGTAGTCAATATCGCTACACTACATGGGTTGGCATAAGAGTGATAGAACAGAATCTAGAAAGGATTTTGCCATTCTAGGTGAACAACGATAGCATATATAGTTCACTTGACATTGTCAGCGGTTGGTTATTGGCTTTGTCTCCTGACAATGTGTCATTAAACCATGGAAAATTCCATTTCGAGGGGGAATGTGAGAGGTACAAGGAATAAGTATTCCATTCACCATGATTCAGTGTTATAATAAACAAGGTATAACTTTGCCTTAAGGTATGTTCCCAGGGCACACTCTATTTCCTCCTCAGTTCAAGTTCATTGTTCCCCAGGCTGGGATGTTGGTGCTCTTTTGCGGTTTGAAATTTGTCTTGCAGGTTAAACTTGAAATAACTAAAAAGTTAATTATCATGTGGAGTAACTAGTGATGACATAATCATCATATCTCAACTTCTTCTGCCAACTGCTTCGACTTCACCCTTGATATACCCCTGTGGATGAGAATGGAGCATTAGCCATGACTTGTCAGTGGACTCGGGTCTATGCCGGGTTAGAACCACTATATTGGCCCTTTCCTGAAGGCTACATCACTTTTGGCATTTTGTTTTGTGTTTCACTAACCACCAATATAGGCATTTAACAGGTACACTCACTCAGCCTGTCATGTTTTGGCAGATATACCCCAGTGAACCTGGCGCTGCCGCCGAGGGGATGTCTGGAAATTAACTAGATACGAAGACTTGGCTGGTTCTGCTCTTCTCATTCTTCCCCTCCTCCATACTTCACAGGCAGGGGAATTCCCCTCTGCCGCTGCGTTGTTGCTGTTATTCCCCACTGCATTTTTGCCGCCTTACATACTACGCTGTTTGCTGTTTGAAGGGTTGAGGCTTTTCCCAATTAGGACTAGCGCGGCACAGCAACGCTATTTCTACCTTTTCTTTAAGCGACATTTTCAAGGTTCGACGTTGGTTTCTCATCTCCATCTCATCAACAACGCGAACTTTGCCACCCATCCGCTGCGTCTCCTCGTCCACGCTTACCGGCCATCGATTCAGCTCATCTCCCGACGCGACATACCCATTTCTGCGACTCGATCTTCCCCATCTCTTCGATATGCCTGGTGGTAAGGGAAAGTCTGTTGGAGGCAAGGGTGCTCCAAAGGATGCTGCGGGGAAAACTCAGAAATCTCACAGCGCAAAGGCTGGCTTGCAGGTTCGTATTTTCATCCCTTTAGGCTGCCCAATCTTCGCATCCCCTCCGGTTGTTGGCTCCCCCGCGATCTTCATCCGCCTATCCAACTACTTCCGCGATGACTCCATCGCTTACGTGTCTCGAGCAACAAGAAACTGATGGAACTGTCTGTTGGACGTCATATCGCCATTTCCCGTCTTAGGGATCGTGGATTATCAATGTTTTGTTCCTTATATGTTTGCGGGATGGACATGTTTCAATATCTTTGTTTCTGAGTTGCACGCTGCCTGCTGCAAACTTTTAAAACTAACAGAAAATTCATGTATATAGTTCCCATGCGGCCGTGTCAAGCGTTTTCTGAAGAACAACACCCAGAATAAGATGCGCGTTGGTGCCAAAGGTATACAATCATTTGTTGACGCTTCGCCCACTGTTGCCTATTAGTTCCTCTCTATTTATCTCCCTGATCATCAACCTCATACCCGCACTCGATAAATGCGATTAACCCCCTAGTTTGATTTGTCAAATTGTTCCTAACCTGTATTATAGCTGCCGTTTACGTCACCGCTGTTCTCGAATACCTTACCGCTGAAGTTCTCGAGCTGGCAGGCAACGCCGCCAAAGACCTCAAGGTCAAGCGTATCACACCTCGCCATCTTCAGCTGGCGATTCGAGGCGATGAAGAATTGGACACTCTCATCCGCGCTACCATCGCGTTTGGAGGTGTCTTACCACGTATTAACCGGGCGCTACTTCTCAAGGTGGAACAGAAGAAGAAGAATAAGAGTGAAGCATAATAAAAACATCTGAACGACCAAATGGCAAACAGACAAGGCACCTTTACATGTTAAGTGAACACATTTTTAATCAATAGCACAAAAATTTGTTCCAAGGGTGTTCTTTGAAGTCGATCCATTTTGTCCTTCTCATTCTTGTTTGTCATGGCTTGACTTTTATGATCTATGTGCTAGCCTTCTTTTCTTTTGGGATTTGCATGTGCGGCTTGCACTGAACCACAACTGATTTGCATGAGGCAACTACATTTAAATGTGGGAAGTGATGATGGCACAATCACTATATCTTCACTTTTTGAAGATATATAATGCCTGGAAGATTAGTACCTCTTTCCTTTCTTCATTCTCATTCGTGTTAAGTGGTAATGTTGCAATGCCTACACATGCCCTTGCTTTTCATACCTTTACTTGTTCTCTTTGTTAATTTTCTTTTTTTTTTCTTTGCTTTTTGTTTCTTCTCTTTCATTCTAGGGCGCTATAATGGTAAAGGTGGCTGGGTTTGCGGGATGAAAATTCACGCAGGGTACGGGAAACGGGGGAAAAGGCCGATTTTTCATTCCCCACAAATTTTCTCTTTTCTTTCATTTCCCCCGGTTATTGTTTTTACCCTCTAGCGGCTTATATTTCTGCTTCTATTTCTGTTCTCTCTCTTGTTATCCCATCATTACGTTGTCTGTCCACACAGTGCTGTATAACTAGGTTGCTCTTAGGTGAATTATATTATACAAAACACGGAATTTGTGGTTTCTATATCTCATTCACGATGATCTATAGGATGGATTTTTATCTTGTTCATGGTAGATGGCTGGGGGTATTCCAAACTCTAATCAATGTTGCCGATACCTTTAGTAAAAATGTGAAAATTCCGAACATCCAAACAGAACAGGGATAGATGTATTCCGTACAGTGACTGCAAGGAGTACATGTTGAGTCCAAACATTCTGGCCTTGGGGATTCGATTTGGTGCTGGAGTAGTTACTGTTAAGGTGATGAAATTGATACAAACAATGTGGACCTGACCCGCAGAACCACACGTCACAAACTCCACTTCCAATCGTCCGCAACAATGTTTTCTCATAAAGGACTTGGGTTTCAACATGTTTCATTCAAGACATGCATGATTTTTATAGTTTCATCATAGAATACTCGGGAGTTTAGGTGTGGATTGATGGTTCGGAAAGGAAAGAAACTGGAGATGATAACCAGTTACATGCAACTAGGTATACATGCTTTGTGGATACATAATCAGTCTTTATTCTTCCAAGCTTCGAAACATCGTTGTTCAAATGATAACGAGAAGAAAGTACTACCTCCACCTCCATTTGCAGTGAGAGACGATTTATGCTGTTGAATTTACGCTTGAGATACAACCAAGTCATGGAAAGTCTGGGCATTGTGCAGCCGCAGTTGAACCCGTTCGAATTTTGGGCCTGAAATTGATTTCATGACGGACTGCATGGAACTATGAGTGTAGAAAAGCGCACAATAATAATAGCACCAACAAAAAGTGTAGCACGAACATAGATTGCTGTTGCTCAGATCTACAACTAGATCTACATGACACTCTCCATCCCGCCTCACTGACTTTTTCCATCTTCAAACGTCTCAACAGGCAAATAATGTCTTGCTCAGGCATGTCAGTTATCACATGCGGAATAGAGAACCTCCCTTGACTATCAACGGGCCACTCAATAAGGGGTAACTATGTGTTACGTCTTGGCCAGCACATGTCCCTTTAACCCCAGATTTTGTGGAGGGGAGGGGTGGGGGGAAATAAAATCGGATATCCAGCATCAAAGTTGGTCGCACGACCAATCGACCGAGAGGGGGAGGTAAAAATTGGGTTGCTGTTGGCGTTTAACAAGGAACAACATGTGTCTTGAGCTATTTGGTCAAGTGATAAGTTATTTCTTATAGCTAATTACCCCTCTTGTCAGATGTCCAAGAAATCCTTGGAGAGAGGCTGGAATCCTGGGGATTTAATCCTTGTGCTGCTCCACGATATTGCTCAGTTCATACTTGCCTAGCCAAGCAATCGATATGGTGAGCTCTGTATGCACGGATGATGCTGGCTCAATATAAAGAAGGTCAGGCAGCCGTTCGATAAAATTAGTTACAAGTGACCACCAATTCCTTCAAAGATGAATTACACGGGCCTGAGCAGGGATACATGGGAGAACCTTGGAGAGTGCTCAGACAAAGCTAAGCTCTTCGAGGCAGCGTATACCGAAAATTCCGTCTCTTTGAAGAATCTGCACCACTAAGACCGGGGGCTCTAGGAGCTGCCCACTCAGCCGTTGTGGCGTGCGTCAGCATGAGTTTAACTGGAAGTTAGCCAGAAACTTTTTAGTGCTCGGCTGTTTTGGCCTTGGTGTGGTAGCAACTGATGGGAGAACTAGAGCACATAGAATCATCGTACATACATCGATGCATCTGATGCCTGCATTATCGTATCGTTGGTTTATAGCGCGTTCACTAACAGCTTTCACAGCACTGGTATCAAAAGCTCACCAAGACACCAGAGGACACCAGATGAAAATATATACAAGCTTTGTAGCAATGAAAAGGTCTCAAACATAGAGAGTAGGGATATGAACAAAACTAAGAACATCCAAGCGAAGCGAAGAAAAGAAGGGAATTTCAGTGAGTTAATTAGATGTTGCCGGTGACCTGCAAACAACATGATGGAGTTAAAAGTAGCTGAGAAGTATCATCGTCCCGCTTTTTATAGCCAGCCAGCCGTCCACTACATCTTCGCCTTGTCGAGGGTAAGATTAAGTTCCTGCACCACAGTGTCCTTCTCCGTCAAGCCCATATCAGCCGCGAAGGTAGAGTGGGGAACCCATTTAGAAGAGGTACGTGGGGTAGTCTCTTCCAGCATGCGGTCGACTTGTTCGAGAGTAAGTCCCTTGGTCTCAGGGATAAGTATGTAGGCGTAGACGAAGCAAGCGACGCAGAGGCCACCCCAAAGCCAAAAGACATGGGTGCCAAGGTTACCCTTATCGGTTCCAACGAGGTAGGGAGTAATGACGGCGATGATCTGGAGAATTATTTCGACTCATGTTAGTAAAATGTACTGAGAAAGTAAAGCGTACGTAAAATATCCGGGTAAAGAGTAGGACATACGCAATTCCACAGCCAGTTGGATGCTGTTGAAAGACCAACACCACGGGAACGAATGGGGAGAGGGAATATTTCTCCAATGACGACCCATGCACCAGGACCCCAGGTACTGGCAAAGAAGAAAATATAAAGGCAGATAAAAGCAATCATTGCCTTAACCACCTGGGGATCTTTTCCAGCTGTAGCTCCCATGATTGCAACGATAAACTCGCATGTAAACATGCCAACTGCACCCCAGATGAGCAAGGGCCGTCGGCCGAACTTTTCAATGGCCCAGAAGGAAATTGGAGTGGAGCAAACGTTGACCAGTGTTGTAATAAGACCTATCAAGAATGGGTTGTCAATGGTACGGAGATCTTGGAAGAATGTCGTGCCAAAATAGAATATAAAGTTGATACCGGTCCACTGTTGCATCATTTGCAGTGAAGTCCCCAAGATGGTTCGGCGCAGGTTACTGGATGGGTTGGACAGGTCGCCACGGAAGCAGTTGATCCATGAGTTAAAGTAGCTACCCTGGGGAACCATCTGTAGTTCGTATTGGTGATTTGCTATGATTTCAGCAAGCTCCTCCTGAATGAAATCGGAGTTGGTGGGATATCCTCGTAACTTAGAGAGCACCTCAAGGGCCCGCTTGTTGTTCCCTCTCTTCACAAAGTAACGTGGCGACTCGGGAAGCATAAGGAGACCAGAAGCCAGAATTATGGCCCAGAGCATTTGAAGGGCAACCGGTATGCGATAGGAACCCGTATCTCTCCGGTTCTGGGTACCGTAGTTGACACAAGAAGCAAGCAGCAGACCGAGGGTGATACAGAACTGATATCCAGAAACGATTGCTCCGCGAACCTTCTTTGGGGCAATTTCAGACATGTAGAGAATGAGAATGGCAGAGACGAAACCAACACCAAATCCAGCAATCAGGCGACCAGCAACAAGCAAACCCAAGGCGCTTGAGGCTGTTTGAAGCACGACCCCGACGATGAAGACACCGCAGCCTGCAACAATGGTAGTGCGACGGCCGATAAAATCTGCGAGGTCACCAGCGATGATCGCACCAAAGAATGTTCCGGCAGATAGAATAGAGGTGATTAGAGATTTCTTCCATGAAGGGAGGGAGAATTTATTGGAGTTTGGAGGGAAATCTGATTGCTTGAGACCGGTAAACAACTCGATAAAGTACGGCATGCCCATCACTCCGCTGATGTACCCTGAGTCGTAACCGAAGAAGATACCACCAAAGGCGGCAAAAGCACACATCAGGTACGCTCTCACGGTGACGGGCGCCTCCACGCGGGAGACGTCTGCAGTGCCCGTCATGGTGAAGATCCAAACAGTTCCCAACCTTCAAGCCCCCCTCGCGGTGTGTAGTCGTGTAGGAGAAGGAGAAAGAAGGGAATAGGGAATTGGCGGGAGATTTTAAATAAAAAAAAAAAAAAATCCCAAAGAGGATCGGCACAATGCTCGATGGGGAAATGGAGGCGATCAAAAAACGAAGAAGAAATGGGGAAAACAGGGCCTTTTAAAAAGCAATGTAACAACTCCGTACTCCATCTGGCAATGGGCATACAGCTCATACAAACCCGGAGCAGCCACCTCAGGCCCAGGCGTTCGATAGTTTGAAGTCAGACGATCGTCCCTCCGGCATGATGTTGCATTCAGTGCAGAATGTTTTCGAGCCATTGGATCCTCTCGATTGACCGCATACCCTATACCCCAAGTGCATATGCCCGGTTGGTTGTTTACCTTCCGGGGTGTCTAACAGGGGCCCCCAATTTATTATGAGCTGCAACATACATGTAATTTTGAACACCATTGACTCCCAGACATGGCCCATCACGACCTGCTTGTCCATGAAAACTTCGGAAAAGGGGAAGCGGACTTTTAACGGGTTTGTAGGAGACTCTCCTTTTGCGCAGGCTGGAAGAAAAGCCCAAGGGGCCTTGGCTCATCAAAACGGCTGAGCAGGGATGATGCCTTTTTGGGGGACTTCAGCCGACGATCCCCATCAAAGCGAACTGCCGAATGAACGGTGGTTGAGGTTTAGCGGAACTAGGTGAGTGACACCAGCTCTACCCAAAGTTCTGTCGGATTCGATGTATACACCTTCTTTCTTTCTTTTGTTTGTTTCTGGATATTTGCAAGAGCTGAAGTCGATGCAACCTTCATGTACAACTTGACTAACATAAAACCCCACACACCAGGCCGAAATTCGCTACAGAGGAATAATGAGCTGGAATAGTTCCAAAAACAACTATCCAGTCAGTGCAAAAAAAACCCCAATCTGACAAGCTGCGATTTGCTCCTGGCGCTGTCAACTCTGAAGACAGGGCCCGATGCCGAAGTGGTCGGAGCTGGATTAATATATCGATGTCGACTGCTATAATTATCTCGCTGGCTCTGCTGCTGGTGTGTTTTTGCGCTGGGATGGATATATTTCACTATTATTAAAAAACCAGAAAGCTTGTTGATTGATAACTACTCCAAACCCCCCTGCCGCAAGAGATTAACGGCGTAGGTAGACTCAGGATATGCTCTCCCGGTTTCGCGGTCTGAATCAGATTATACGACAGAAGTAGAGAGTTGAATATGGCGTTCCGGGGGTGGACCGTGGGGTACAAGATGAACGAAACCCTTGGTGAATGCCGATTGGTGAGCGCCCTGGAAATACAGGCTGGCAGCGGACTTTCGACTCAAACTCGGCCCCAACTTGTGACATGATTTTGGCTTGGGATGCTCGGGAGTTGGCAAGACAGCCAACCACAGACACGGCAATTTCAGCCGGTGAATCCCAGGGTTGCATCAATCGCTCAGGATAGCGCTTGTGCACCAGGGACTGACTCATTGTTCAGTCAAGGGATCCACGACTCCACGGGGATGTCCGCGCTGCCTCGACAGGGGAGTTAATAATGAACTTCTTCAACTACGTTAGTTACCGAGTAACTAGTTAGTTATTAGTTAGCTATGTAATTAGTGGGCTTGAGCTTGGAGAGATAATTCCGAGGTCTGTCAGAACCGGACGGAGTCGTTATGCTGGCTTGTGACATTCAATGGATGGATGCTTCTTGCACATAATTTTGCGCATACTTGTGCGCATACCTGGAGACGTTAACTACACTCCGCAACTAAGTGATGCACGCCACGCCACTTCAAGTCAGCCTGATGTCGTCAGCACAAGTCCGAGGAGGACGGGGGCAGAAGGACGGGAGGCGTTCAATCCGTATAGCTGGAGTGCTAGTTAACTCGTTACTGTTGTAGTTAATACAACAGGGTCTTTGTTATAGTTGAACTAAATAAAGGGGGAGGCAGTTAACTACACGGACCAAGCACAATATGTTGATTGGGATTTTAAATCTTCAAAACATATGCTTTAGTTAACTACGGACTACCCCTCGGGGGGATGGGTTATCAGATAAGTAAAGTAACTGACCTTGAGGTGCGCTGAGATCACAGCTGTTTGGTATGTCAACTAACTAACTAGTCCAACGCCAATCAGTTGAGAAAGCCTCATTCAGGATGAAACTGGCTGTGGCTGGCTGGCTATGGCTCTGCTGTGTCGGGCATTCTATCAATCGGATTCATCACAACATAACTACACCACATCGTACCTGGTAAGCTACAGAGTTCATCAATTCACTCAACCTCATAAGGACTGATGTTTCTGCATCAACATTGATTTGTCCTTCATTCTTTACTTAACTAGTATTGGCTCATGTTGTCTTCCAGGTCTCCACTGTCATGGGCTTCCGTCTGCAGCCACACTCATTGTCAGCGCAAAGCCCAGATGATGATCCGACCTTGAGCTACGGGATGCTCGAAATATAAACATAAGAACTGGGCTCTATCGAACGTCCCCTGTTCTCCTCCTTGCTGAAAGGGAGATTAAATGAAATTGACTGATATATTCTTCGGATGAACTCCTGCTCTACGTGTCTCCCTAAAGTATTAGTTCCTGATGCACTTTGGGGGGGGGGGGGAATCAGGGGATACATTGACCTCCTCGCAGACCCGTCAGGGGCGCACCCCTTGCTCTCTGATCCCGAGATTCTTTTTAAGTAATCTCGGGTCAACTCTATTCTCTCTCCTCGCTGCGGTTATTGGATCTGCTGGCAGCCTTCTCCGAATCGATGTAGAATATGGCTATGTGATCTCGAGCCATTCATAGATATATAGCTAAATTTGCTGGGTTAGCAAGGATCGGGTTTCGGATATATCTGTGTGGATTTAGCTGTGCTATTAAATGAGCCCTTTGCGACAGAGTCATAAGCGATCCCCTGAATATTCGTTCGGTCTTTTCAATGGTCTTTTTTCGTTGCTAGATGTCGTGAGAATGTCTATAATACGTACAGTCTAAAGGGCCGAAATTTGCTTGTTCATATATCTCCGCTTTATTCACGCTTTCCACATGGTTACCATTGATGTACTGGCTGAAATACTGGCTTTTATCATGGCCTCATTGTCATCTAGTAAAGTAGCTACCCCACCCTTCCCCTGAACCACCCTGAACCACTGAGTTTTCATGTGCTCAATGAAAAATTAAAATAAGATAACTTGTTGATAAAAGGGGTATTAAAGTCATATTTCGAAACCGGTTCATTCTAGCAATAACAATACTGTTTGTTTACCCCCTCCCAAATTTTCACCGAAGAAATCCTTTCGAATCTCAAGGGGATCGATCTCTGGGACCTAGTTATAGATGCGTTTTCCTTTCTACCGTATGAAAAAGAAAACGGCAGGAGTTCAACAACGAAAGATACAACATTGGTGCTGTAATCTCCGAAGACGTAGCGCGGGGTGCGCAAACAAATCCAGAATTGCTGTTCTAGATGAAGTCCACTGTTCGAGTGAAATTTACAGGAAAATATGTCACCGCGAAATTAAAAAAAATAAAAATAAAAATAAAAATAAAAATAAAAGTAACAAAATTGCAGGGTAAGAAGAGGTTGATACTCGCTACCAGCAACGCGCATTATCGTTATTGGATGATCTATATTGTATAACGGAAAGAAGGAGATCCCTCGATGACAAGCTCCCCGCGGTCCGCCTTTCTGTTGCACCGCCAGAAATAAAGGCTTAACATGCCAACGATGATCAGGAGGAGGACCTGGCAACTGGGGTTTTGCGGAAAAAACTAGTGTTAGCAAGTCAAGTTTCCACTCAGGGGCCCTGTGGCGTTCATTAGTTGAAGCTTGTTACGGGAATAGAAACTCACGTGATGGAAGCGTAAATCCCTGGGATGTATGCCGGCGCATCCTGCGACCTGAAAACCAGACTTCCTGCAACGCCCCCGATGCCTCCCATTGCTACGAGCGTGGTACTAGCCAATGCTCTTGTCCACTGACCGCGGATATTGTTGGCTTGGTAAGCAAGGGTGCATGGAATGTTAGCATTCACGCCCGCAGTCGCCAGGAACACCCCGAAGTACCGAACAGCACTGATCCTCCCAAAGCCCATGATCGGCAGGCCAATTATAGAGATAAGGCTGTTGAAGACGAGAACAGGCGCGCGTGTCTGGTACTTATCACCTAGGTAGGAGGTGACAAACATGAGGATTCCCGCCAGGACAAACGGTGGCGCGACGAGGCATTGTGAGGCACCGATGCTAAAGCCCAAATTGTTGTGGAGGATGATGGGGAGGAAATAGGCGATCGAGTAAGTTACGGTGGTCAAGCAGCTGGAGTAGAAATATCGTTAATGGGGTGGGAAATTTTCAGAAATACCAGAGGAGAAGAAGGGAAGAAAAACGGAGCAAAGGAGAGGCAACTTACAAAAATATCATTCCAAAGGCCCAGATCTTCAAGTCTAGAGCGGGGCGGAGGAATTTCTTCATGCTAAATGGTTCGGCATCGGCATCGCCTCGATCCTTGTTCAATCGTCGTATGACGAAGGCACATTCTTCTTTGGTGAGGAATCGCCAGGCTTTGTGAGCCTTGTCGGGAAAGTCTACTAGGTATATGTAGATGATGATGCCAATGGTGATGGTTAGCTAACGGACACCGTCAGCCTCTGTGGTCCATACTTTTAGAGACAGAACCAGTTGCCGCCACTCACCACGCCTTGCATAATAAAAATCCACCTCCAGCCTCTGTAACCGCGTAAGCCAGCCATTTGGCTGAAGCCGAACGCGAGGATGCCAGAGAGTGCGCTGGCCACACAACCGATCAGGTAGAAGATGGAATAGCGCTTTTGAACCTCATATCTAGAATACCATGTTGATAAAAGGTACACTGTTCCTGGGAAAAATCCAGCCTCCAAGAGTCCCAACAGAGCTCTGAGAATAGTAAGTTGATGCCAATTCCTACTTAGGCCAAATCCCTAATACAGATTGGATTAGTACAGCCAAAATGAGCGAAACATTTTAAAAACAGGGGCGATAGTAATACTTACGATCAAACAGATTCCCCATGTTATCACGATGACGCCAAGGAAAATCCTTGGCCCAACTTTGCGGATGACTGCTGTCATAGGAGGTTGACAGATAATATATGTGATGAAGAAGACCAGAGCGACAAGCGACTGCAGAGAAACAAGCGTGGTTAGAAAACAAGTAACTGGCTCAAAATAATGGATCCCCCCAGAGCGAATCACGAACATATCGATAGCCAATATCCAATCTTAACTCCTGGATCATGCCAGCGATTGCAGCCACTGACAAGTTCGTTCGGTCCATCAAGCTAACACAATAGCCCAGGCCGCACATAGACACGAGCCGCCGGTCGATACGATGGATGATTTTCCTCTGTTCGGCATAGCTGTAAACGCTGTCAACGTCAATGTCCTGGGAGATATGGTTGTTGACGTAGGTAGCGGAAGGGTTATAGGACGGTTTGTCAATGTCGGAACCCATCTTGTTGGGCCAATGCGCAGGGATGAGCTGTAGATAGGGCCGTGCTTCAATAAGGATATAGTAGATCGAGATGAACAGCTTATGTCCAGGAGCGTGCCTTCATGAATACGTGTCTGGCTGGGACTTTTATACCCGAATGATGCAAGTTCATTTCACTCACCAATAACATCTCTGTATCCCGATCCACTACTCGTAGATTTGACATATCCAAGTCTTTTGGGGACTTGAGAAATTTTAACGCCAATTCGAGTCATAGCTACTACTCAATGCGTCAGAATAGTTGAAATTGTGTTGAAAGGAAGCTTGCAAGAAAGTACCGGCCATAACTCTATTCCTGCAAGCAGGCCAGAGAAGAGACAAAGGGTGGAGCGTGGTCCACAGTCAATCACGACCGCTGATTCGCCTCCCAATTTGCGTCCTGTGGGGTATGGGTTGGAGATTCGTATAGAATCATTGGACAGTGGCATGGCAAAGCTGACACCGCATCATGTGAAAAGCATGTTAACTTTGCCAACTATTTTTCAAACGCCGGGTCGGATTTGAGGGTCTAGCGCTGTGGCCTTGGAACAGATACACATAAGAGTTGGATCTCTAACATTATTCCTCCCATCACTATACACGAGATATGGACGTGGATAGACAAAAACCCATGCTACCCTTATTTTTGGAAATATTCTGCGAAGCCCTCTCTTCATTCCACTCCTCCTCTTAGTTGGCAATCATCGGGCAATTACTTCTATAATGTCCATATTCAACTGTCAACTTCAGCGCTATCGAGATGCTGCATAGTGTAGGGCGTCTGGCACCTATGTAATTACCCAAGGATAGAATTATCTCTAAAACAACAAGCATCCCACCATATCGTTTAGCTGCAAGGCCCGAAAATCGTTAAGCAAGTCAAGGCTCAGGAACCCGTTCCTGAAGATGATATTGGAAGAATTCATCAATGCACAGCGCCCCGTTAAGTCTGGCCGCCCCAGACTAGCCACCCCAACGAACGAGTAAGTGGACATTTTCACCCCACAAATGAGCTAGGGAGAATTAACTCTCTCCAAAATGCGGAGAAGTTGCAAAGAATAATGGGGTCCGGAGGTCTCCCTTAGCCCCATTATCTATTGCTGTGGCAGCAGAATGGCAGTTTGCACCGTTTATCCAGTATCATACTATCAGAAGTAGTCTGTCTCACAGTCCTCACCAATTGCCAGATAATAACCGGGGTACTTCCATAAACAAGATCCTTGTGACTCTCTTTTCTTCCTGATTTATGCAGTATCAGCACCAATGCTTGAGAACATAAGCATTGAGGAAATGTAAGAGGAGCTGTATTCGTGCGCGTCAAAGACTTAGCAGATCAGCGTGGCAAGATTCGCAGGAGGGATAATTCGATGAAAGTCACTTTGATTGTACACTATTCGCGTACTCTCATGCTCCTGCTTGGAGGCGGTTTCGCACCGCTAGCCAATTCTAATTTAGCGCCGAAGTCAGTCGAAGTATGTTTGGGGGTGGGGGAGTGTATTTACACACAAAATTCGCAGAAAGGAGTATTCTCCATACGATGAGCCAGGCCAAACCCCATTATTTGGTCGCAGAAGAACCACAAATAGAAGGATGCTAAGGAATACGTGGGCTGGGTGCTGGCGGCCCATCGCAGGCTGTTGCCTGAGAACCAGGAGAAGAGCCGAGTGCCTTGCACCTACAATTGCCCTTTGCCTGCAATCCCTTCCTACCATCTCCATCGTCCCAAGAAACCATGTACAATTCATGATGGGGCTGAAGTCATCAAAAGTCTGGTCTGGAATCTTTGGAGCCTGCCTGTTGAGCTCCCTGGCGATCTGTGATGAATCAAGAGTGAAGGCCTGGGAATGGGAGTGTGCCTTTGGTACAAGAATATCGAAGGATGGAAGAAGAATATATATCTGTTAGGGATGTCAGGTGACCCTAGTGGGATGATGCTCCTCCTTAGTTCCAGTAAGTTATAGTGGACTAGTCACTGGCCATTGAGGGCCTTTTGCCAGGTACTATTAACTATATAATCATAGTCTAGCAATATTAGCCTGTGCGGGTTTCGGCACGTGACAGACAGATAGAAGACCTGCGGGACCTTGAATTTCTATGGGCTGCTCTGCAACCCGTATATCCATCCCTTCTTTGCATCATTACATCTTCTCGGGATGCCACCACCAAGAATGGCGGGTGGCCCATCTGAAGGAAAGGTGGAGGAAGTGATCGAATGCTGGAAAGCATAAATGCCAGCTGCTGCTTGATAGATTCCTTCTGGGCCTCGTGAGGTGTTTTCCAGTGGTCATTGAACATAAAAAGCTACAGCGCCCAGCTTGACGGACTCCGCGTATATCCAGAGACCGAAGTTGGGGAGGTTGCTGCTTGATGGAGTTCATCGTCGGGATATGGTCGATGTTGATGCCCACCCCCTTTCTCGAGGGGAAAATAAAACCTTTTGTTCCGCCATCGTGCGCAGCTTCCACCGTCTATTTCTGGGCTGAGGCCAAGTACAACGGTGGATCGATCACTTTTCCTAGCTGTTGCTCGATTAAGCCGCTGAATAATTGCGGCAAGGCTCCCCGCTCGGAGCCCTTCGCCAAGAAGCACATTGATTTGAGAGGAATTGGCTAAGAGCAGGCTAAGACCATGAAGAAACGGTGGCATCAGAAGGAACTTGTGAAGTCAAGCTGACATCTTGTGGCTCTCCATGTGGGAATAACCCATTGGCAAAAAAAAAAAAAAACATATTAGCTTGGGTTAAATCCTTTGATAATTTGCAATTCCTTACCAACGATAATTTAGCCAATCAAAAAGATGCGTATATGCCATTTGTAGATGATTCTCATTGGTTCTATAAAATTTAACATTATGCCTTAAATGTCCATTAGTATATGGGTTATGACAAACGCAATTGGCTGGCTGCTGCAAGGGGCCAGGAGAAAAGGGACCTCGAGAAAGGTAATTTTGTTCAGGAAAATAGTGTAGGAGCCTGAGGAGTTCTTCTAAGCTGTCATCCCAGCTCGATAAAGCAGCGCTCCTCCTGCGCTCCTCCAGGACTAGTGTTCAAGAGTGTTTTGGGGGCATCCAGACTCCCTCTTGGTTATGGTGATATTACGTGCTTGGAAAGAAGAGAATGTCCCCAGCCAACGATTCTTGCCATAGATTTATATTTATCCTTGTTATCTATTGAGGGTTAGATTTTGCACCATCGCTGTTTACTCGAAGGGTAGTTAACGCACCCATGGGTCTTACGTACAGTAAGTCGTACTTGGGATGTTGAGTAACAGCTACACAAGTAACAAGCAGCAGCAAGGCTTCATCAAAACCCAATCTTGTGATCCCCAAACTGTGACGATAGCTCTGTCAAGTGCGTTTATATTTCCAACACAGGTAGCTAGTAATAGTAGTATATCGATATGAGATGCATGACTCCAAGGAATTCGTGCACCGTCCGGGGGAAAAAGAGGGACGACACTGAGCTTTGAGATATTCGGGGGATAGAAGGAGATAATCTACCTCTGATGTCGGACGACACCATTGAACGGACCGGGTCTTTTGTTCGGCAGCGTAGCTCCATCTTCACGAAGCCCTGGCATGTGTTGGGCCTTTTCTTTTTCTTTTCCTTTTTATTGCTTTTCTCTTTTCTTTTCTTTTTCCTTTTCTTTCCTTTCTGTTTTTCTTTTCCATTTTTAGCACGACCAACAATATCCAGTTACCGAACTAGACTGGAATCCCAACAGAACTCATCTCAACAATGGTAGATTTCGACATTTTAGATGATAGACAATGATTTCTACATTAGCTTAGGGGGGAAAACAACTGGAAACCTGAAAAGAGTAAGCGAATTTCTATTTGCCCCGTGATTGAGCGATGAGTCTGTCACCGTTGTTGACCCGGCAGGGAAGGCTATGATCTTGTTGGACATTATTCCAAGAAGATGCTCCCAGGATCGTGGTCAAGACGACGCTAGATAGAAGATTAGCACATAGCGTTTAAGGCTTGCACAGACAAAATGTGGTGCATCAGGTTCACCGAAAAAGTTGTGTTCTGCCGTACACGAAAACAAGGTAAACTAAGACACAGAATTAACTAATGCTTGAACTGTCCAGATCAAAGCCGGGGAATATGTTTCCAGATTCTCCAGTTAATGAGATTGGAGGAGGGAGGGGGGGGGGGGGGGAATAAAGGCCAGGTTCTAATATCATCATTATTGACTTTTTTTGACAGCTGATGTTCAAGAGTTATGAGGTTCAACAACGATGATATCGCGTTGAAGGGTGGCAGACCGGAAAGCAGCAGGCGGGCGTTACAACGAGCCCTTCATCGCGACAGCCTCGATTGGAACATTACTCGCTTCATTGTCGAGGCCGGGTTAATCAGCATGCCTTCCACCACGTATTGTGACCCTGTAATTAAGGCATACAAATCTCAAGGGAGGAGTTTAATGCGGAATATCGAGAGGCTGTTCTGCAGCACAAGGTTGCAACGGGTTGGAGTAACGTCGTGGTTCGGCGACGGCAGCTTGCTTTAATTCAAAAATTGTTTGCTCCAAATATCTAACAAAGTGAGCCATGGGGTATGCAAGTCTGCATAAGCCTGTTTCTTTCATCGCATTGACAGAGTTTACTCCATGCTCCGTGCAATAGGAACTGACCTGAAGCAAATAATACGAAAAATATACAAACGTGTTCAAAGATCATTTTTCAGTCAAGTCTCGGCTTTTGCATGACGGAGGATGAGTCAGCGCCTGTGAATTGCCGAAGTTACACCGTCTTCTATATTCAGTAACATTGGTATCAGTGCAATGTTCAATACATACAGTACAAGCACAGCACAGTACAGTACAGTACAGTACCTGGGGGTTGTTATGCCAGCATAGAGCCAACCACAAGGTTCAACAAGCTGGTAATCTGGGGAAAATGTGCCGTAGTTGTTATACTCACCGCTTGCCTGCCTGTACTTTTTGTGCGGAAATTTAGCTAACATTCTATAATTATGCCGCCATTCGCTCACTAAATCAACTCACTCGACTCACTTCACTAATCCTACCCTCAACTCCCCTCCTATCCTATATCATATTGATGCCCTCTTTCACCCACTCTTCTTCCCCTGGTTTTCTCTTTTATCGCTTTGTGTTGTGGATGCTATAGACTGCTGTGCTTGTGTCATCTCTTGTCGTGCTCCCCTGTTAAGGCCGTCGCATGTCGTCAAGGTGCCTTCTCTGGTTACCGCTGTCCAACACCCACACGGTACTCACCAATCCCTTGTTGGCTCCATTTCGTTCTCCATCATACCCCAGAGCGGTTTCTCCACCTCTTATTACTGCCTCTACAGTCGCTGCCATCATCTCGCCTTGTCTGCTTCTTGTTTCCCCCGCCATCTGCTCTTCTGCTACTCGCCACTTATTCACCTCCGCCTTGTCTCCCCGTTTCTCGACACAATCTGCTCCCTTACCCTCTTTTCCAGAACAACACCAAAAGCACCACTACACTATGACAGCCGTTGAACGCCTTGCTGATGTTCTCGAGAAGCCCTCTGTTGATGATCGCTCTTATCGTGTTATCCGACTCCCAAATAAATTAGAGGCTCTGCTTGTTCACGATCCCGATACTGACAAGGCAAGTGCTTCGGTTAATGTGAATGTTGGCAATTTTTCAGACGATGATGACCTACCAGGAATTGCTCACGCTGTAGAACACGCTCTTTTTATGGGAACAGAAAAGGTGGGTGGTTCTTTAGTCTTCTCCTCCAGCTACTCAATAAATTAGCCATCTATGTATGGACTGGTTCTATATGTACAAGGACCCAGGCTAATCGTGCCATGCAGTACCCAAAAGAAAATGCCTATAATCAGTACCTGGCGGCACATTCAGGCTATTCAAACGCATATACAGCAGCAACAGAAACAAACTATTATTTCGAAGTAGCTGCCACAGCGACTTCCCAATCCAAAAGTTCACCGGAGATTCCTCCAGCTACTGCTGCATTTCCCGCAGAGGTGGAGCCACTGACCGATGGCCTTTCTAAACCGCCTTTCCCTAGTATTGCAGACAGCGCAGCATCCTCCTCCAATGACTTGGTTCCCCCGCTTTATGGCGCTCTTGATAGATTTGCCCAGTTCTTCATTGCTCCGTTGTTCCTTGAGTCTACTTTGGATCGCGAGCTAAGGGCGGTAGACTCGGAGAATAAAAAGAACCTTCAGAATGATGCCTGGAGACTTCTGCAACTCAACAAATCGCTTTCAAATCCCAAGCACCCTTACCACCACTTCTCAACAGGAAATTTGAAAACCCTAAGGGATGGACCTCAGTCACGTGGTATAAATGTACGGGACGAATTCATACGTTTCTACGAAACGAACTACTCTGCAAATCGTATGAAACTAGTTGTCCTTGGACAGGAATCTTTGGATGAGCTGGAAGGCTGGGTTGCGGAATTGTTTGCCGACGTCAAGAACAAAAGCTTGCCGCAAAATAGGTGGGATGATGTTCAACCGTTTACATCAGAGAATTTGCAGAAGATCTGCTTCGCAAAACCAGTCATGGATAGCCGGTCTTTGGACATGCTTTTCCCTTACCAGGATGAGGACGATATGTATGAATCAAAGCCCTCCAAGTATATCAGCCACTTGATTGGCCATGAAGGACCCGGTAGTATTCTTGCCTATATCAAAGCGAAGGGTTGGGCATACGGGCTTTCTGCCGGTGCCCTAGCTCTTTGCCCAGGCTCTGCTTTATTCACCATCTCTGTCCGTCTTACAGAAGATGGTCTGAAACATTATGAAGAAATTGTTAAAGTCATTTTCCAGTACATCTCCTTGATCAAGTCACGGGCACCTGAGGAATGGATTTTTGACGAGATGAAAAACCTTGCAGAGGTCGATTTCAAATTCAAACAGAAATCTCCGGCAAGCCGTTTCACAAGCAGCCTTAGCAGCGTCATGCAAAAGCCCTATCCGCGAGAATGGCTCCTCAGCGGCCCAAGCTTGATTCGGAAATTTGACGAACAAGCTATCAGACGTGGCCTCGACTTTTTCCGAGCGGATAATTTCAATATTGAGCTTGTTTCTCAAACTTATCCAGGAACCTGGGATTCTACCGAAAAATGGTACGGTACTGAGTACAGAGTCGAGAAGATTTCTAGTGATATGCTTTCCCAAATCGAGCGTATTCTACAGGCTCCGTCAAACAACCCGCTACCGGAACTTCACCTACCGCATAAGAACGAATTCGTTCCAACACGGCTCGAGGTTGAGAAGAAAGACGTGCTCGAGCCAGCAAAGAAGCCTACGCTTATCCGGAATGACGACCGTGTCAGGGCATGGTTCAAAAAGGATGACACATTTTTCGTTCCTAAAGCAACGCTTGAAATCACTCTTCGGAATCCGTTGGTATACGCAACCCCTGGTAATAATGTCCTTACCAAGATAGCATGCGGTTTAATCCGGGATGACCTTCAAGAGTATTCCTATGATGCCGAGCTGGGTGGACTTGATTATAGTTTATCGGCGAGTGTTTTTGGTCTCGAGGTGACCGTTTCCGGCTATAATGACAAGATGGCAGTCCTCTTGGAAAAGGTACTCCATAGCATGAGAGACTTCAAAGTTAAGCCAGACCGTTTCAAGATAGTTAAAGACCGGATGACCAAGGGCTTCTCCAATGCCGAATTTCAACAACCATACCATCAAGTTGGAAATGTGACCAGGTACCTGACAGCAGAGAAAGCATGGATTAATGAGCAGCTTGCTGCTGAGCTGGAGCACATCGAAGCCGAAGACGTGGCCGCTTTTTTCCCGCAACTACTCCGCCAAACCCATATCGAACTTCTGGGTCACGGCAATTTGTACAAGGAAGATGTATTGAAAATGGCAGATTTGATTGAATCTACATTCCATGCCCGCCCATTGCCCAAGTCTCAGTGGCACATGCGACGCAACATAATCTTCCCTCCAGGCAGCAATTTCGTCTACGAGAAAACGCTGAAGGACCCAGCAAACGTAAACCACTGCATTGAATATTATTTATTTGTGGGAAGCTTGATGGACCCGCAGCTGCGTGCCAAATCTCTCTTATTCGGTCAGCTTACCAACGAGCCAGCATTTGACCAACTCCGAACACAGGAGCAGCTTGGGTATGTTGTATGGAGTGGTGTGCGGTATGCAGCCACGACGCTGGGCTATCGCGTTATTATCCAGAGCGACCGAACCAACCAATACCTGGAGACTCGTATTGATGCGTTTTTAGCCGGCTTTGCAGAGACATTGGATAAGATGACGGGGGAGGAGTTCGAGGGCCACAAACGCAGCCTCATCAACAAACGGTTGGAGAAGCTGAAGAACCTGAACTCCGAAACGGGCCGGTTCTGGTCGCATATCGGATCGGAGTACTTTGACTTTTTACAACACGAAACAGATGCAACGATAATTGCAGAATTGAGTAAGGCGGAGATGATCGAGTACTATCACCAATATATCGATCCAAGTTCCCCAACTCGTGCTAAGCTTTCGGTGCACCTAGTCGCACAATCTCAAGCGCATAAGGCTGTCGGATCCGATGCTACGACGGAAGAGCGAAAGGCGAAGCTTGTGGAGCAGTTGTCGGTTATCCTATCCTCGTCCTCGATCGAGTTCGATAACAACAAGTTCAAGTCGTCGTTTGCCAATGTGGAAATAACCAATTGCAATAGTGAAACTAAGGATGCTATCATGTCTACGATCAAGGGTTTCCTGGAAGCCGAAGTGAAACTGGACGATGAGAAGGTTGCCAGCATTGTCGGCCCGACAGCCAACGTCCTTGATGAACTGCTGCAAGTTGTTAGCATTGTGGCGTCGCTTGAGGCAGACAAAGTTGCTAACGGGGTTGCTAATGACACTGTGATGACAAAATCTCAGAGTGTGAAACCGACGTACATCACCAACGTTCCTGAGTATAAGGCACGCCTTGAGATCAGCACCGCTCCGGCACCAATCGTGGATCTGAGCGAATTCGAGGAGGTCGATGCGAAGTTGTAAACGCAGGCGGGGTTGTGTCCACTTTATCAAGCAAAACGGCGGGGCATATTCTTGCTGGGTATGTTTAGGAACTTGGCCCCTGGGGCGTAGGTAGCATGGTACTGAGCGACGTGCGTTTCTTACGATTTTGGTTCTTGGTGACTTGGCAGTTGGGTTCAGAGCTTTTGGCAGGTTTTCGGAATTGGGAATCAATCATTGACTTATTATTTAGGCATTATTTTATTTTGAAAGTTAGATACTCTTTTACATGTTGCTGATACCTTTCTCACGATAGCTTAAAGAAAGATTTACATCCCTTACAAGAACTCGTATAATACATACTGCGTAGTTAACTAGACAATTAGTTAAATGATGAATTCAAGGCGATTCTGCGATGTGTTGATTCCAAACAGGAACTAGTTGGGCCTCCTAATCACATGATTAACCGTCTCCTGTTGACGGATAATAGATATTCCGCTGCTTCCACCGCAACGCGCATAAACCTCCTTCCCAAGAGCTTAGCTATCAATGAAGTAACGATGAAAACGAGCAGTCAATGATTTATGTTCAGCCTTATTCTGTTTTCACGAAGTGCCTGCTCTCTCTCCATAACAGCTCTCAGGTCCAGAGACTCGTATAGCCCATCCAACTAACCGCATACGGAGGAGCATATCCGGAGCACTATCCGTTCGGAATTGAGGAAAAGGATTGCGGAGCAGGACACGCGCCAGCGACAATGTCGACAGTGACCGCAACGGCACTACAGAGCTCAGCTCCGTAAGTCCCTTGTCGCGCATTTTACCCATGGTGTTTTTTCTGCTTTACCTGCGGGATGCTCCTTTGCGGTTTCGTGTTTTTCTTTTTATCATCAAGCAATCATTTACTGTACTGATTATCTTCATGCAGCCCCATCCTCCCGCAAGGCTTTTCAGCTAAGCAGCCGCCCACAATCCGACTATACCCACTTTCAAACTACACATTCGGAAACCAAGGAAACGCAGCCCGAAGAAGACCCATCTGTGCTGGCGCGGCTAAAGCGGTTGGAGGAGCACTATGAGCAGTATGGCATGCGCCGCACGTGCGAGGGTGTTTTGGTATGCCATGAGCACAACCACCCGCATGTGCTGATGTTGCAGATTGCGAATGCTTTTTTTAAGCTGTACGGTACCTTATGACGTCCGAAACTAAATGTGGAGTAGTTATTGATATATGGCAGGCCAGGTGATTACCTCCACCACGATGATGATGAGGTGGAAGGGTTCAAGGCCCGGCTGAACGAACGATTGGCCCCAGTTGGTTCACAATTTTCCGGCAAAGGGGTGAACGACGAGTGGGAAATAGGCGACACGCTGGCGCAATGGTGGCGGCCGAATTTTGAGACGTTCATGTACCCGTTTCTGCCAGGGCATGTGACGCGGCCGAAGGAGTGCAAGAAGTTGTATTTCATCCAGCTTCCAAAGAAGAGTATGCCTTTTTTTTTTTTTTTTCTCCTGTATATTTTCCATACTTATTTGTGTATCTACATGTTTTAATACTGACTATATCATGCAAAACAGAGGTCCTATCTGTGCCGAAGAACATGAAACTACTCGCCGTGCCGCTGTTTGAGCTGTACGATAACACAGCACGGTATGGGCCGCAGCTGTCAGCAATCCCACACCTTCTGTCACGGTATAACTTTGAGTTTGTAGATGAAAATGACAATGTGGTTGCGGTGACGCCGGGGGAGCATCCGGGCGGGGAAGTACCGCAGACCAAGGTGCTACTGAGTGGGGACGAGGGTAGTAAAGGTTCAAATAAGAATGGGGCCGGGCAGGGAGATACGGGGATGGGAGGGTTGGAGGGGCAGTGATGTAACTAATTCTTCTTCCCCTTCTTCTGCTTCTTCTCTTTTCTATACAGTTTTTTTTTTTTTTTCCAGCTTTTTATTTTGAATGGGTAATTTCGGCGTCGTGAGGTAGAATATCATATTCACATTCAATGAGCGAGAACATTAAGAACCTGGATAGTTAACTAAATTAGTCAAGTTACTTGATATAATCCAGATCAGATTCATATCAAGTTCCAAGTTTGCTGTGTCATTAGTATCAAAACTCCAACATATTCAAAATATGTTTTTAAGGTTCAGCAAGAGCAAGCTAATCAAGCCTGCTGTGATTTCATCTTATTGAAGCTCATAAATAAGCTGTGCTACACATCCAGTCAGCTTTTTTAAATCATTTTTTATTTGTATTATTGGATTTCTGTGGAGTTAAAAGAGGGGATTTGATTGATGTTGATATATTCTGATATTTCTGTCTCCTGGAGATGTGATTCACGGATGAATGACACATCACTTTATATTCAAATAAATATAATGTCGTGATTATCTTACTGTACATATCAAAGGGGTATCTTTTCTTTAAGAATTAGAGATAGTCAAATAGAAGAATTAACCTGTACATTATTCTTATCCACTTCCTCTTTGAGCATTTGTATCTGTATATTAATCATATCATATTGCGTGAATCACGTACTACTGCTCCGTATTCTACCAAAGATATTGACGCTCTCTTACCCGTACTCCACCCCCTTCCCGCGTACACCATCACCCACTTCTCACGACGCCCAACATCTGAAGGGATATCGGAGCGCGCAGGAGCATTCAGGAGACTGGATGGGAGATGATGGCGGGTCACCCCGGCAAGTCTGAAATAGAGGCCGCGGGTAGAAGCACACAAAATCCTTTCGGATGTTGCGTTGGGGGCGAGGGTGGGTTCAGTCCATTACCACTCGGTACTGTTTGTTCCATAATCCATACCATTTATTGAACTTCCAATTTGATTACTTAGGTTAAGTTAATTGTTTCATCCATTTTCCGCCACGCGGTTTCGGCTATCTCCCCAGCCCTCCGCAAAATCGCCTCCCTCACCCTGTTCCCAAAATCGGAGTCAAATACACCATACTCTCCACCAAGCCTCCCCACCGCCTCCAAAGGAACAGACAGGTACTGTTGCAGTTCATCTGGAATCCAGCAGCTAATCTCAATCAACCAGCGCATCTGCGGTAACATCAGCTGTGGAAATCTTGCCCGCAGCGGAATTGCGCGTGAGATAATCGGCAACATAACCGTTTGTAGCGCCGTAAAATGCATAAACGGTATCAGAAAAGCTTTACTTTTGCGCACTGGCGCCAATATCGAAATAATATGCTCCTGGAAGCTCGATTCGTCCATCGAGCACCACACTACATATGTATCCTGGAAGTGTATAAATGCATCAACCCACGCACGTCTCCGCAATGCCTCCAGAGCCGTAAGAATTAAGTTCATGATACTTCCAGTCCCAATCGTGCTGGAGGAGCGGTGAGAGCGCTCTCACCGCAACTGTCATGCACTGGATGGTGGGCATGTCCATGGCTACGAGACTAGCTTCGTCATCGCCATTATTGTTGCCGTCGACAAGATGAGGGTATAGAACGTACATATCTGGATCTTTCACGTTCAAAGGTAAGGGTCCTGAGTTCCGCGTTGTAGTGCGCCGAGAGATGGTTGTCGAGACGTCCGCAGCCGCGCACTAGGATGAGGAAATCGGTGAAGCCGTCCATTATGTGGCTGGATTGGACAGCTAGGGCATAGCAGGTTGCTAACATGGCGTTGAGTTCGTGGGTTTGGGTGCTGGTAGCCGTTGGTGAAGTATCGGTGGTGGAATGCAGTTGCTGGTGATGCTTTCCAATTGCTTCATGCAGTCCGCGCAAGGCGAGGCCGCGGTGGGATACCATGGCCGTATATAGCTAGGGGAGGTTTCAAGACCCGTGTTTACTGTGTTCATGAGAGAGAGGTGTGAGGTGCCAAGGGAGAGGATGGCGTGCATTAGGTACTCGTGCTTCGGCGATCGAGATCAGTTCGGAAAGCCAAATATATGAAGCCGGAGAAAAAATCTGGTTTACCTGGTGAGCAAGCTGGGGTATATATCATTTACCCAAACCCCATCACAGCCAAACGGCAGATACGGATGTGCCGCAATCATGTAATGGTGGAAGAAACGCATATCCTCGATCGTGAAGGATGCCGGAAGGAGCTGAAGAACGCCAATGGGCCTAATGAAAGATGAAAACAACGGCGATGGCGGCGTTGTAAGCCAAAAGACAGCAGCAGAACGATTCTTTTTGCTATGATCTGGTATCAACCGGCGTGCGACTTGCTGCTGTGATTGCAATTTGAATTGCACGGGATAGACGCAATCAAGCTTCCTTGCCGTACAGTTCTTGCATATCGGCCGCGTCTCGGGACACTTCTCATATATACACATGTAAGTATCTAGAAATTGAATGCAAATATATGCAGGGTTTCCATGTATCTACGTACCTTTACCTTGCGCGCCTTACAGCTGTAGCAGCCAGCGCGGGATTTGGTATGAGGTTTCCTACTCTTGATAGGAGTCGCCCGGGTAGGACCCTGCTCGATTTCTGCCATGATTCTTTGCTTGTCAATTGACAGGTTTTTAAGAATTGTCTGTTCATGTTTCCCAGGTCCTGAAGACGAGCTTATAAATCATCATGCTTAATATAGAAGTTCGATGTTAGAGGTGTAGTTGAATCCCTCCCAGGTTGTCTGTCGTCAGCTTTTGGAATTGACTCATTTAGTCTGGTTTGACGTAGACAGATACGAGAACTAGGCAACTCTTTTAACTTGCAGAGCTGGAGCCGGCGACTCTGGGCCTCGAGTAGATGAAGAAAGCTAGGAACAATAAAATTAATTAACGTGCAGATCGACTGAGGGATCAGGGGATTCAAGAAGTCGTATCAGAGATTGCGCGCGGCAGGTAAGAAAGTCCTAGTAAAAATTAATGCATTAATTTTGTCTCAATGAAAATGAGAACGCAGTCTTTCTGCGACTTTCGCACTCTTTTATTTCCAAGAGTTGTCGAGGTTTTCGCTCCCTTCTGACACTGTTCCAGCTCACAGATTCACTGTCACTTAGAAGTTCGGTGTCCATGAATCAGGTAAAATGACTACCATACCATTAGTTATCAGCAATTCCCCCCTGATATTCACGTATGAGGCCCGCCGGAATCCTTCTGACCAATTATCCACAGACTAAACAAGATATTTCTAACTCTAGATACACATCAATCGATTAAAACCGACGTTGGGAAGCACACAAATCACAGCGTCATTAGGAATTATAATGGAGCTGGAAATCTAACAAGTAACGTCATAAAATATGGACAGGGAAGAGAACATAAAAGAAAATCGGAAGAGAGAGAAATCATAAAACAGGAAATAAATCAAGAAATCAAAATGAAAAAAAAAAAAAAATCAAAACTCCACGTAAGTTTCCCAAACAATACAAGAGCGAGAGAAACATAGGATGAATCAAACCCACCTCCCCATCCCGTTTGAACCCTCAGGCAAATGCCCCCACAAGCGCCATAAGTATCATCCCAGCTGCAACGGCAATGCACGCCTCAACCCGACTTTTCCCCTTCAACGTCTCGTAACTCCTATCACTCAAAAAATCCTCCGCCAACAACTCCACCAGTCCCGCAAACAGCAACAACCCACTACTAAACGCATTTGTCATCCCCACCATCAGCAAGCCTGTCGTGCTGGCTGGATCGTACAGGTTATGCAAACCCAGGCCAATCGCCTGGCCAAGGGGTGTAGTAGCACCGTAGGCAAGTGCCATAAGCCACGGTTTGGGAGACGAGGCGGAGAAAAGGGTGGGGATCAGAGAGGAGATGCGCGCGCCCAGAGCGAAGCCTTCGAAGGTTTGGTGGAAGGAGATGGCGACGAGGAGGACGACGAAGGAGGTTCCTGTGGCGACGCTGAGGGCCATACCTATGAAGACGCTGTGGAAGAGGATGCCTGCTTCGAGGAGGAGGCACTGGAGAAGTTGCTTTTGCGGGTTTTGGGAAGCACTGACGCCTTGGGAAGAGAGGTGATGGTGGTGCTGATAGCGGTTATTGTGGTTGGAGTAATGGTGAGCGCGGGTGTCGTCGTAGTTGGAGGAGCTGTCGGGGTACGGGTCTAGTTCTTCGAGATCGAGATTTTCGTCGTCTCCGTCTTGGGGCTTGGGGAGCAGAGGGGTACTCCCTTCCTCCACACCCAAGCCATGCGACGGGGAGCCAGATTTTGGTGGAGAATCGGGGGGTGAATGGTGTGTATCGCGGACTTTGCCTAATCGAACCCCTACGCGGCTATCACCGTTTATTAGAGGCGTTGCACCAGTCTCATGATTTGGGGCCCCCTCGTCAATCAGCGTATCATATTCACTCCCATGAACATGTTTCGCGCCTCTGATGGCGAACAACATTTCGATAGTTACAACGATCATGACTGCAACCATCGCGACTAGACCAGCAGTTGCTGGGTAGCCCTTGTTCCAGAAGCTGGGTAGACATGGATGAGTTAAGGACATGAAAGCGGTTGGGAGGAGGTGGATGAAGGCGGTAGCAATCAGAACTCCAGTGCCGAAATGTCTAGATAAGAAGAGGAAGTGCCTGGGGATGGGGAGGTGCGGGAAACGACGGGCGATAATTGGGAATGAGCATGCTGGACGCGGTGATAGATGTAAGCAGCTAGATAATATGAATTGAAGCCAAAGAAAAAAGTCCAGGAGGGTCAACTGGATAACTAACCGAATGTACTGACCACCAAGATCAGTATCAATGCTGCAACGTGTAGCGGCGTGTTATATGACCCGGTCCTCACACCACTACCACATTTTGAGCCGGTTGATGTGTCTCCGTCTGCGACGTCGTTGTCCGCTCTAGTGCCAACATATCCTCGCCGTTCCAGCTCCGCCTGGATGATCGCAAGGGGAATATTTGTCAACGATGGCCCTACATGGTGAAATAGCCGTTAACCAAAGATTCCTCCCCTATTCTCTGGATCCATGCCAAATAGCAAAATGCATAGAGAGTAGCGACAGATTCCGGAATACATGTCACACGTACCTCTCGTTGAGTCCCCGGGACCTCTGTTATAATCGCCTCCATCCACCGCAATCATAATTGCCAGCTAAAAAACGTCGTTATTGAAAAATATCCCAGACTGTGCACTCCACCACATCCATGGCCCGTCCTGCCAGACAATTTGCCTTTTGTTTGTGTTTTCTCCTGGATAATTTTCCCTCGTCGTAATCACCATCGAAAAGTGAAATATGGCACCTGGCTGACAATGCCTCTCGCTCCCGCCCACTCAGGCTCTCCTCTTCCACTTTACTCCGTGTCTCCTCCTAACCAATAACCTGCTGTCGTGAGTGCCGTGTGTCTTCCCTGCGGTAGTTGTTCAGCAGTGTATAGTCGTCCCTCAGACCCAACTTCAGTAAAGCGGAATCAAAAGGAACAAAGGTAAGTCAACAACGACAACGGTTGGTCGGTTTTGAGGAGTCCCTTCAGTCTTGCCCAAATTTCCGGTTCCAAAGAACCCACCCGTAAACTTGAAGCTTGTTCGTAGTCGTTAATCACAGCCGTGCACTTGGCTGAGGGTTGACTTGGCGTTGGAGACCGTTCGGACGACGGAAGCAGCCAGATTTTCACTCAGCTAACGGCACCCTGGTTGGGAGGAAACTGGCCGTCGATTTTACCAGCACAAGTAGTTACCTCACACAACTCCACCAAGGTGCGGAAAAACGGGGACGTGCGAAATGACGGGCTGGTGTTGTTGCGTTATTGCTTCTGCTGATGCTTGTAGGGGTGCTTAGCCTCGGAGTATTATTTGCCAGTAAATTAGGGTCAGGAATGGATGAGGATATTTTCATTGGAACTCTCTCGACGGCATAGATGATGAGGTGATAGGTGATAGATGATTCGAATAGAGATAAGGATGGGATGAACTTGGAAGACTGTTTCAATGGCCCCCGCCGGCATCGTGAAAAGAGAGCGAGTTAGTCATGTTTAAGTTGAGTTAGATACATGGCTCAGAGATCTGTTTTTACCAAAAGACAACAACAACCTCAGAACTTCAATCTCAGACCCACTCTTCTAATATAACAAGCAGGGATACACAGCGGGCGTGGTTTGAGCTGGCTTTACTATATATATTCTTTTACAAATCTCGCTCCAATTTGCTTCTACGAAACTAATAACTGACCAAAGTACACAAACTACAAGAAGGGTACAGCGCACCGATGGGAAAACTACAAAACAAAATAATCTCTCTCATTCATCGTGATATTGGTTTATATGTGGCATTTTCAAGAAGAAAGGAACTGAAATTACAAATAACATAGCTGAACAAACAGATAAACAACAAGAGAGAAATAGAAAAGGGTATACAACAAGCCAGCAAGCCCGGGTCGGCGGGGTTTCATCCTCATCTTCATTTTCCGTTTGTTGGTTTTTGCGCATATATATATGTGTGTGACAAAAGATGGGCAAAGATTCATTTACACGAAGGAAAATTTTTGGAAAATGATGAGCTCCTCTGTTCCGTTGCGGGTTTTCAGGTTCAAAAAGAGTTGAGGAGAAGATTAATGGGAGAGAGACGATATGAACCCGCAGGACAGGTGTATAGACATGGAAAATCGATCACATATCACCTGCCTGGTCAAGAGTTGTCGTTCCAAAAATCAGACCCAGAGGAAGGCCCGCTTTGCCCCAGAAGACACGGGAGACGAGGGAGGCCGTGTCAAGCACCAGTGATTTCGCTTCGCAGCGATATATCCGGTCGATCAATTCCGCATGCTATTTGTTGCCATGACCCCATCTCTCCAAACCCAAGCACCCAAACCCGACAAGAACATTCTCCCCCCCAGGAAGAATACAAACAAGCCAAAAAGATATAAAAGAGAAGCCAAAATCACCCCAGGTCAACCCTTCAACCCTCCCTGCAACCTCTTCAACTCAACGCAAAAGTCGACGCACTCTCCGCCTCCTCCAAAATCGACGCAACATCCTTCCCATCGAGTGTCGGCTTAAACTCAAAGGAATCTTCCAGAATCTTAATATGTACTGATCTCCCCTCATTGTTGAAGACGACAGCAAGCTTGATGGGCGCCTGTGTTGGGCGCGTGAAGTAGTTGCTATCGCCACCAGAGAATGCTGCCGTGCAGCGTGGACTTGGCACGCATGTTGCCTGCATCGAGCACTTCGAAGATGTCCAGCTCACCGCATCCAGATTTCCAGCAGGAGCAGTCGGCTTTGCCGTATTGGAGGGTGCGTGGGATGGCGGCGTTAAGGATCCAAGCGGCGGGCATGTCTTCGTTCCACCCGGTTTTGCCGGTGAGGGGCATGGAAAATTCGACGAGGAAGATTTTGTAGTCGCCATCGAAGCCGTCTGGGATCGATAGGGGGTGTTAGTGGTTTGATATAGAAAATCTTTTGGGGGTTTGGGGTTGCTTTCATCTTTCGAACAATGGGGAAAAACATACGGTAAGCAACAGTGCCCTCACGGACGGTACCGCAGTCGCCATTGCAGACCTTGTCAGTCATGATGATAACTTCCTTATTGTCCGGGATCATCTTCGTCTTAAGGACCTTGGGGCTATCGGATCCAGAGCATCCGTCCTCGGAGGCGTAGGAGAGGGAATTTCCAAGCTCACTGCATTACTCTTAAGTCAGCAAATTAAAAAGTGGAAGAAAAAGAAGAAAAAAAGAGCAAACTTCCATCCCCAAAACAACATCGCAAATGCTGGATGAGAAAACACATACTAATCAAAAACACCAGATCCCTGACCACCGTTATGATTCAAGAACGTAAGGCCATCCGTGACACCAGAGTCCGCATTATAATAACCCTGACGACCCCACTTACCGGAGCCAGGGTTAACAACAGGCGACGATTTCTTAGGAGGGGTCGTTTTGTAAGAAACACCAGCAGCTGGAGCGCCTGGGGCCTGGGTTGGGGCCGCGTTCGCACCAACTTGATCCTTGTAGAGCCAGGAGACGACCTGGCCATCGATGGTTGCGGTGACATATTGGTCGCCGCGGCGCTTATGTTGGTGGCCATGGCGGCGCTTGTGGATGCTGGGTTTCACTTCGCGTTTAACTGGGGCGCTGTATTTGGTGCCTGCGCCGGAGCCGGAGCCTGAACCGGGCGAGTAGAAGGCGAATTGCTTCAGGATGAGCGGACCGCGGAAGTGCCAGGAGACCTGTTCGTGGGTCAGTTCGTTAGTCCGCAGTTGAATATGCACGAAACAAATATATATATATATATGCAAAGCATATCCCTTTTTCTCTATTTTCCCTCACATCTCCCCCCCCCCCCCCCGTGTTATGGTTAAGGGACGAAAACATTTCCAAAACAACTGGGAATAGTGCGCTAACGGAAACAAATAACCCCCCCCCCCTTATTTAAAGGAGCCAATGTCCGCTATATCCTTTGGCTTGGACGAGCAAAGCGCCGCCATTCATGGAGGTGATTTCATTGTAGGTGCCTCGGAGCCGAAGTTTGGTGTAGGTGATGGACTTGACGGCGGAGCAGTCCAGTTTCCGCCAATCTCCCTTGGCGGTCCGGGGGCGCAGGCTTGGGCGGAGACAGAGGAGAGGGATGCGGCGAGCACGGCGCCAACGGCTAGAGAGGCGCGCATGTTTTAATGTGAGTTTTTTTTTTTTTGTTCTGGGCGGGCTTTTGGGTTTTGTTTGTGCAAGATGGTTGTTAGGACTGCGTGAGGCGGCCGCTGTCGTGTTAGCGCTTGGGTTCTAGCTTGACCGGATGATTCTTGTGTATGCATGGCATTGGGTTAATCGGGTGATATTGGGAGTTGAGCAGAAGGTGTACATTGAAATGAAGACATTGTTGTGCATGCTTGGGAGTGTTTGGATGTGTTGGATATGGATGTCGGGCGCTTGCGATGTATTGTGATAGGGGCCAGGGGGGAGGATTTTGGAAGGATGGATCATAACACATCGGTGAGCGCCTATTGACTCGGGGTGCAACACACGACTCTCGATTCTCATTTTCCATGAATGCAAGAAATACAGATTGGAAAACGGGAGAATAAGGAGGAGTTGGAATGGTATTATTGATTTATTGACGAGCGAGTGAATGGACGTTCCAGTGAATAAATACAAACACATACATCTCTCTGCTTGGGGCACTCACCTTTCAAGAGGGAATAAATCCACCAATACCAATCAATCCAAAATATATATATATAATAATAGTAAAAAGAACGGCTGGCGTTGGAAACAACCGCCGTAAAAATGAGTGACTGGAGAAAGAGAGCGTGAATATATTAGGGATTAGAACATGGAGAGGGGGGGAAGAGAGAGAGAGAGAGAGAGAGAGAGAGAGAGAGAGAGAGAGAGAGAGAGAGAGAGAAGGAAAACCTGGGGGTTGCAGCAAGCGAGGGTCCGCGGAGGGTTCTAACTCAGGTTTCCTGGGTAAAACCACGCCTAACATAGAAAGTAGAGATTGGAGAATAGAAAAAACGCAAGCGGAAAATTGGTTTTTTAGCCCCTTGTTTTGTGCACGGGAAGATCCGCAGAAATGCGGGAGGGGGCAGAGGGGGGGCCCCCAAGAAGAGAAGCCCTCACAGGATCACGTGACTATCTTCTCTCTAT